AGGGGGCCCCCCAAAAATTTCTTTCACCCCGGGGCCGCCTTTAACACAATTTATTTTTCGGGCCCCTGCCCCGGGTGGGCCATTCCAAAAACCCCCCCCCCCCCCCCCCCCCCCCCCCCCGAAGCATTGCGCACGTCAATTGGCAGAATCACGACAATGAAGGCAGATATGAATTCTCTCTCCTCCCATGCACAGCTCCCCAATACGCTGCAGTACACGGCCAAGACCAGCAGAGGAGACTATCTTATCCAAGTCGCATGGCCACAACAGTGGTCAGCTGATCGCGTGCCGCACGATGAGCGCCCTGTGAATACACTGTAGGTCCCTGGGGGCTCTTCTTTCCTACAGATCAAAACCCTGACCATGGAGATATGTCGTGGACGGCAACGCGTACTTCTACACCGCCGTCGACATCACCCGACGGCTGGAATTTACAAACGCCGCTCGCACCGTCGTTGTGGCCATCGGATACCCTCCCTCTCGGTATGTGTACGATTGGAGGAGGGGCCCGGATCTCACGCCGCCCTGCGAAGAGTACGACATGCCACTAGACAGCGACGGAAACCCAAGGACCGACATCTCGTTTGGTGAAGCACACAAGTTCCTGGCTTTCATAAAGCAGGATGTCATCACACACGTCGAGGGCACACTGTTCAGACATGTCCAGCTGGGCCGAAGAGCACTGTACGGCCATTCTTACGGTGGCATTTTCTCGCTGACTACACTTTTCACGAGACCGGAAACGTTTGAAACAATCATCGCCGCCAGCCCGGTCGTGTGGTGGAACAAGGACCATCTCACCAAAGTCCTCGAGCCTTCATTCACATCGAGGGATGATATCGAAAGGCCAGTATCGCTCATTATGGCTTGGGGTTCGATGAAGCAAGACACCATCCAAGAAGACGACGAGTCAGAAGACGACTATAAGACAAGGCTGTCCAACGCTGAGGAGGACAAGATGAGGGATAGCGTGACGGCACTTGGACAGAGATTGCGAGACTGCAGGAACGTGAAAAGAGTGGCAATGAAGGAGTTTGTCGGTGAGGATCACGGGAGTGCGGCTGTCGCAGGGCTGCAGTATGGCATTCGGCAGTTCCTGTTTGGCAGAGTTTGATTGCTTTTGTATCGAACACTTTCTACCTATCTTGAAGCGATTCTGTCATAAATCTGAAGCACAATGTTTCGTATGGCCCCTATCATGCTTCGCCACCGAGACGGGTCTAAAAGACCGTTCCCTTGGTCTGGTGCATCTTCCTCAGATCATAGTTGCGAATCATAAACAGCGTGACAAAAGCCAGCGCCATGACACCTGTACCGACGCCCAGCATCCTCGCCTGTCCGTACCCATACGCGCGCTGAATCACCTTGCGCACCTCGCTGCCGACAGGATAGCTGAGCTGCGTCGACAGATCACCAGCAATATAGTCCAGGTTATCCAAGGCATCCGCGGGAAGCCAGTCGGCGAGCTTGGCCTGGAACGTGTTCGTCCAGATCGCCCCCGAGATGGAGGATCCGACCGCGCCCCCCACGCTGCCCGTCACGCTCAACACGGCCAAGCCCGTGGCCACGTACTGGTGGTCCACGGCAGCGAGCAGGCCGACCTGCATGCACAGGATAAAGGTGGCGCCCGCGATGCTGATGAGCACCTCGCACATGATCAGATACCCAATGGACTGGCCAGGCTGGCGGAAGTGGATCATTAATCCCTGGGAGAAGACGTAGAGCGGGATGCCGACGACAAGCAGCCACTTGAAGCGTCCCGTCTTGGACATGCTCCAGCCGACAAGGAACAGCAGCACGCCCGAGACAATGGTAAAGGTGTTGTCAATCCAGCCCGCCTCGCTGGGCGGTAGGTTGTTGACGACCTGCAGGAAGGACGAGAAGTAGCCCGCCCAGCACGAGTAGGCGATCATGTAGATAAAATCGAGCAGACACACGCCGAGCACGGTGCGGTCGACAAGCAAGTCGTACTTGAAGAAGGGCACGGGCGCCACGAAGCGCTCCCACAGGCCGAAGAGGACGAGGAGCACGAAGCCGACGACGATCATGGCGATGATGTAGGGCGTGCGCCAACCCTGAGGGGCAGACTCGGCAATGTTGAAGGGGACGAGGAAGATGATGAGTCCGGCCGCGAACAGGAAAGAGCCGGCGACTGTGTGCTTGTTAGCATGGCACTCTCTCCCCCCTTTTTTCCACCCTCGAGGAGAACTCACTGTCAAACTCGATGAACCCCCACTTGAGAGTCTGGAGGATACTCTGGCTCTCTGTATGCTTGGCGACCAGGAGACCCCTCTTCTTTGCCTTGTGCAGGTTCCACTTGAGCAGCAGGTACATTGGTGCCGCGACGACGGGCAGGATGATGGTGAAGGCGCCAAAGCCCCATCGCCAGCCGGGTCCGTTGAGGAAGGCCTCGGCAGACTTGGGCCCCGCAAACGCCGTGATCATGTAGGGCGACGATGTGAATGCGTAGGCGAGTCCTCGGTTGTGGAGTTTGGTCGAGTCCGCGGTGATCACGTCGATGGAGTAGATCAGGCCCGACCAGCCGACTTGCCAGAATACCTGCGTCAGATATTGTTAGGTTGTCTGTGCCTCGGGGCTAGGAAAAAAGGGGAGGCTTTGTCGACGTACATTGGCAACGCAATAAGTGGCAAGGTTCCCGCTGCCGGCCATCAAGCCCATGCCTGTGGTGGCCAACGCTGCCATGAGGAGGAAACCTTCCGCCCTGCCCCAAACGTCCAGGATCTTCGACAGTGGTATGTAGACGGCGGCCATCATGCAGTTTGTCACCACACTGATGACGGTGATCATCGAGTGGGCGTTCCACTCGGAGACCGCGTAGGGCTGGAGAGTGCCTCCGACGTTGGACTGGAAGCCGTTGACAAGGTAGACGCACCACATCCTGCTGTTGTGAGCCAAGTGAACCTCTTGTTAGGTGTCGCCTCCCAAGAGGGCCCATCATTGACTTACAAGACAAAGGCAGCAGCCAGAGAGCCCTTGCTCCAAACCAAGGTGGTAGCTTCGACGGCCTGCACACCGTGCTGGGCATCCTCTGCCACATTGTTGCGTGCGACCTCGTCGACGGGGCTTTCTTCGTCCTTTGGGTCCACGACAGTGCTGACCTGCACTGGATCCTCACCAGAATTGTTGGAAGACTTGTTTCGTCCAAACGTGGACTTAATGCTGTCGAACGGCGTCATGTCGAGTATCGAGGTTTGTCGGAGGCTGGAAGCGGGAGAAAAACACACTCGAGTGGCAGGACAGGCTAGCAGCTACAAGTACTATTCCACCGAAGGACCCGTGATGCCTCGAGATTTTCTCCTCCCTGTAGAAAAAAAAAAGGCCTCGCCGGAATCGTCTCACCGTCGTTCCCGGCCGTTCTCGTGCCCCAGTGGACCATCAGATCTAATCAGATCCAGATGGCACCATATCTCGGTCTCGGGGTGGAGCCTCTTCATGCAACGCGCAGCCGCACACGCGCGCGCATGGCCTGTTTGTGGATCAATGTGTCGGCGAGAACGGCATGCTCCTTGGCGCTCAGTCCAGCTTTAGAAGAGCAACAGTCTTTTCCAGCGGTTCTCATTACTAGCAGTCTCTGCTTGCGTAGGTATCCCTTAGAGATCAATGTTAGCCCTAGCTGGCGGCGTGATGTCGCAGTCTGGATTCGAGGCTGGAGCACATCAAACTCAGCTTCTATACTTGAGTTAGTGTGGATTGGCAGGATCAGTGGGAAAGCTGCGTCGCTTGGGTCAGCCCCGGTAAAACCACTCAATAGTTCCCCTGCTTCCTCTCCGTACATCGGCCGAGGCAGTTATGACCATTTCAGCAACAAGACAGACCCGGTGCGACCCCCATCCATTGTTGGGAAAAGGTCCCTGGATCGGCACCCATGGATGTGAATGGTAGGAGTGAGCGAAATCCTCCGCCTCTCCGATGCGTCTCGAGTCGCTATGCAATAGGCGTAGCTAGGACAGTCATCAGTTAGGACGTGAGGCTTGACAGCACGTGGATTACTTACAACAAATTAGCGAGGGCTGGCGGACTATAGGTATGTCTGCATTTGTGCATATGTGATATGTGTACCCAGCGAAGGCCCGTTCAGAGTCATGATATGTATAAACGTCTCCAATGCTGAACCTATCGACAAACACCGCATCGAACGACATCACTGCTACTATCATACTTGTATCGATCAGGCCATTCCTCCATCGGGACGTCTGGCAATCTCCCCTCCATGCGCGCCTGAACCCACTAGGCCTGCGTGTTCCAGCCGACCCAGCTCCGGGGCATTACTCGCCAGATCTTCACCTCGCCGCTCCGGAGGTCATCGAGCTTGAAACTCTCCATCTTCACCTTCTTGTTCTCACGCCCCTGCTCCCAGGCGCGGACCTTCTTCTTGGTGCCGTCCCACTCGGCCACAATGGCCACGTGGTCGGGTTTGCCCACCTCGACACTGTACTTGGCGTGCATCGGCCCGTGCTTGCCCTGGAACTTGGCGTTGCGGATGGACAGTATATCGCCGGGGCGGATCACGTCGTTTTGTTGCGTCGAGGCATTGGCCATGTTAGAGTATACGAGGGCGCCAAATGCACGGCTGCCAATGGGTCGGAGCGCATCCTTGAACGGCCGCAGGAGCTCCAGCACAAGGCCCATGGGCGTGCCATCTCCAACAACACTGTCCTTCTTGGAGCTGGCGGCGGTGGAGATGGGTAGACCAAAGCGCTCGTAAAAGTCTTCCATCTCGTCTTGGCGCAACGGTCGCGGCGGGGGCTCATGACGTTGATCCAGCTCTACATCAGAGGGGTCGTAAGGGTCATACCGGGCGGTGATGATCGTTTGAGAGTAGTCCTGGAACAGGATCCATGTTTCCCTCGTGACAATCGTCTTAGACCCTTGGTTTGTCGTGGTCGACTCGTCTGACTCGAAGAAAATGTCGCGCCTGCCCTGCAGCACAGGCGGGACCTGGCCGGCCTGCTTCCACCATCCACTCTGCACCGCCAGGTCAATGTCGTCCGCAATGAATCCTGACTCGCCGGCAGGACGTTGCTGGTCCGTTGAACGACGTGCGGACATGCTTTTCCTTCCGACATCAAGCGACTGACGGCCTCGTCCGCTGGGAGCTGGGGGCGGCGGCGCTCGCCCCGCCGGCGGCGACTGCGCAGGTGGCTGCTGGGCCTGCCGTGGGTCGGGGAAATACACCTCCTCCTCGATTCGCGGCGTCTTGCTCAGTAGAGTGGGCGTCGGCGCAGAGTAGTTGTAGGATGAGAACTCGTTCGGCGTGGCTCCCGGCGACACAGCCTCCATGGAAGGCGGTGGCGGAGGAGCGGCTCGCGGGACATCCACAGAGCGACGTTTGCTGGATGGTGACTGAGGGGGTTGCATCGGGACAGGCGGTGGCACTGCCCGCGGCGCTGCTGCCGACGGCACTTGAGGCGGTGCCGAGGGAGGCACATCGACAGGCGACTGCAGCTCTTGGCTGGACTCGCGCGTGTGAGCCTTGAGTGCGTCCTTGTGAGGCACCGAGGAGCCAATGTCGGTGTCGTAGTCCCCTTCATACTCTGTAGCTTCGCTCTCATTCTCTTCGCCGGCTTGAGGCGGCCTGACAGGCATCGGCACTGGTGGTACCTGCACGTCAGCCGTCGACTGCCGACTGAGGCCACCGGCGCCAGGAGGCGGTGGAGGAGGTGGTCGGCTACTGGATGGCGGTGGCGCAGGTGCAGAGCCAGGAACCGGAGGTGGCGGCCTGCTGTTACGCTTGTTGCCAGAAACGACGGGGGACATGGGCGGGAGGTCTTCCGTCCTGGGTGATGTGGGAGGAGAGCGAGCTGGTAATTGAGGAGCCGAGGACAGGTTGGGTGGCATGGGAGGTAGTAATCGAGGTGCCTTGGGAGCTTCGACACCTGCACTCTCAGGCTCCTGTTCTCTGGCAGCACCGGACAGTTCGTCGTCGGAGGCCGATCCGTCGGTTGGTGAGTCAGGCCCGGCTGCTGGGGGCGGAGGGGGTGGTGGACGAGCTACACATGTCAGAATTGATTTTCCATCATTCAACTGCTGGCTCACCTTCTGCCGGGACGGGAGGTGGTGCAGGTCGACCTCCAGGTACAGGGGGGACCGCCCTTGGTACTCCTCCAGTCACTGTCAGGGTTATTCACCATTCTTACAATGTGTGATAGTAACTCACCACTGATGACCGGGGTCACTGCTGGCGTCTCCTCGTCGTCTTCCTCTTCTTCTTCCTCTTCTTCTTCCTCTTCTCTCTGCTCCGCCGGTAGCTGTCTTGAAGGGACGGAAGGTGGAGGCCCACGCGCAGCAGCAGCTGGCTCATCCTCAACTGACCGTGCTGTATCTTCCGACTTCCTCGGGCCGCCCATCCCAGGCATGGCCATCATCGTAGGTACTGGCGGAGCAGCTGAGGGAGACATGGGCTCCTCGTCGTCTTCCACGATCGGGGCCGATTCAGTCTTGGGCGTAGTCGCTGGCTTTTTCTTTTTCGGAGCCGGAGCAGCACTAGGCATAGGCCCGCCGAACATGCCACCGAATCCCATGCCACCACTCATCTTGGCCATACGTGCACGCAGCTCTTCCCTACGCTTGACTTCGGGATCCACGTCTTCTTCTTCTTCTTCTTCGTCCTCCTCTTCTGCCTCTTCCCCCTCATCGTCTTCCTCTTCGACATCGGCCGTCTGTCCACGCTGTGCCTCTAGAGATTGTCGTGGAGGTACACTTGGAGCGGAGGCAGGCGGTACTTGTGGTCTCGCTGGCTGTCCAGCCGGCTCTTCGTTGTCTTCCCGCTCCGTAGTCTCGTCATGACCCTCCGTGGTGTCACCGGCACCCGACACATCGGCTTCATTCCCATCATGGGCTTGAGGCACCGGCGGCCTGACGGTGGACTTGCGGCGAGTTGGTGGCGGCTCGTATGTTCGAGTCTCCTCGGTCGATATTCTCGAAGCGGCTGACTCTTCGGTTGATGTGCGAGCGGGCGGTGACAAGACGGGTGTTGCGACATCCTCGTCCTCAGCTTCCCCGGCCGCGGTCGCGGGAACTGGGACAGGCTCAGACTTCTTGGCCGGCTTCTTTGGCTTTTCCTTCTTGGCAGCTGAGTCTGCGTGACGTTGGGCCTGCTCCCTCTGTTGCTGCTGGAGTAGTGCGATGCGCTCCTTGAGGGTAGTGGGTTTAGGCTGGTCCTCGCCCTCTTCGCCCTCTTGCTCTACGTCGCTGTGAGGCACCAGCCCAGCCTTCTCTGCCTGAACCTTGTTCTCGGCTTCCTTTTCTCGGATCTCGGGATCCTCGTCCCGTCGATAGACCTTGGAGACAGGCGCCTGTTGCGGGGGCGGGACGTAAGCGTTGCGGCTAGGAGGAGCAGCAACAAAGGGCTTTTTGATGAAGCTAGCGCCGCCGCCGCTGCTGCCCGCACTGGTGCTAAGTCCGCTAGGCTTGAATGGCGCGACAGGCGGCGCAGCCGATTTGTTGAAGGCTGCTATGCGGTCCTTGAAGGAATTGCTGGATGGTTTGTCGGACACGGGCGGGGTCGGGCTCGCAGCCTTTTCCTTGGCAGCTGGAACAGCAACCGGCTCGGTCCTCTTGGGAGGAGGAGCTGTAGACTCTTCAACGGGCTTCGTGGCGGCAGCAGGGGCTGGTACTGGAGCTGGGGGCTCGGGAGCTGCTGGCTCGGAAGAGCTCTGTTGCTCGATCTCGCCAGACTGCTGCCGCTGAGGCTTTTGCCGGTCCTCTTCCCTCGTCGCATCGGGCTCTGGCTGAGATTGCGGCACAGGAGCGGGCACGGGCACGGGTGCAGCAGCTGTCAGCTCAGGCTCCTCCTTCTTGGTTCTGGTCCTCGTGGGACGAGGCGGGGCGGCCGGCTCAATCTTCTCGACAAAGTTACGAGGGAAGATGCCCTCGCGCTTGTTGCCGTCGGCATCGGTGTACGCACCGCCGTACCAGTCATCGTCCTCCTCTTCTGTGACGGTGATGACTTGGCCGGCGTCGAAGTTGAGGTCGTCCTCGTGTGGGGAGATGTATTCGTAGAGGGCCTTGACGCGGAATAGAGCGGCCATTGTGGCGGAGAGTGTGCCAAGCACACACCGGATTGATTGGCAGGCGTCGTGTTTATTCCCTAGAGTCGCTACGTCGGAATAGGGATGGAAAGTGGTGAGGACGACTTTGACTGACTGGGGACGAGTCGAACTGACGACGAGCGTCAAGGTTGGGACTGGACTTGGAGGAGCACAAGCAGGCAGGCAGCTCCGCATCAATTGGCGGGTGGGGCAGTGCTCGTCAGCTCAAATGGGCGGGCAGCCTGGCCAGGTTTGGACTGTGGGGAGCTGTCTGTTCCTGCCTCTGTCGAGATGCTTGGATGCACAGGGTAAGGCTCACATGTAACCCTCGATGATCCTAATAATTCCAGAGACAACGAAGGCCGGTGCGAGAGTTCAACGGCTGCTTATGCAGTTCGCGATTGACAAAGGCGTGGCCCAGCAGCTTGGCCTAGTGATGATGATGTAGATCTGGCGCGACTTGACGACGTCAGCGAATTCCCCAGCCTCACTGCCCCTCTACCACTACGTTAGTACCAAGGAGTATCCACGAGGAACATCGCAAGCTAGTCTACTTAGTGGTGTCTACAAGATACGCTGGTTAACATCAGCCGGACGGTTGTGCGCATCGCTGCCTTCTTTCTGGTCGAACAACTACGTCGGACAGACAGCTTAGCCGATCTGACGCTGTCTAGTGTCGCTGCTGCAATCATCGCAGGCTGAAACCAGACGTGTCCAAGTACTGGACCCCGGTATTCACCCACGAATGCCATCGTGGACTATGCAAATGCGCCAATAGGCCACGATCGATCTAAAAGCGCCACTATGATAGCTAGCCGGTCGCTGTAACAGTCTGGGGTCCCTCCTAACGCCAGCGAGTCAGCGTCATCATCATCCGACTCGACATGTCCGTTTGCACATGCACGTAGGGTAGCCCAGACTCTGGCGTGGCAGGGTGGCGCGTATTGCGGTTGGTACTGTGGCCTTGGCCAGTACTTCTCAACGACGTCCTGTTCAATAATGACTGAAAAGGTGTCTTTATCGCCATGGTGTTTCCTAGTCGCTAGCTGTGTAGGTATCAAACTCGGGTGCACTTGTTTGATGATTCGTCTGCTAGACAGTGGAGCTCGACGGTCGAGTGACAAATCTGCTACTACCTCCTTGTGATGACTGGAAGTTTGTCCCACCTCACGCTCTAGGCCATCAGGCTTCTGAGGCAGTTCGCGACGAGCGGTAAAACCTGTGCATCAACAACACACTTCTCCTGCCAACATACCGTGCCAGAGTCACTTAAACGATAGGAAATGGACGACTATATCATCCCCAAATCGATTCGCCAGCCATCGCGCCCTTCCAAAGAAGACGCCCGCGCTCTTGCCGTCCAGCACGCCACGATCCTACAGCATCGCAAAGACCTCGAGGCGCAAATCCTCTCGTCGCTGGTTTACCTTTCCACATTCCCACCAAACACTACGGTCGCAAGTCAACCCAATCCAACAGACGCGCGCGAGTTCAGGAACCATATCCGCCTCTTCCAGCCGTCCGACTACGATGACCTGATAGCAGAGAGGAACGTCAACGACCTCTGCGGCTATGTCTTGTGCCCCCGCGAGAATCGCAAAACCGGCAGAGGTGGAGAATGGACACTTGCGCCTGGTGCGGGCGGCATCGTGAGAAGGAAGGAGGTCGAGATGTGGTGCACGCAGAAATGCAAGCGACGAGCCCTCTACGTCAAGGTCCAGTTATCCGAGACAGCGGCCTGGGAGAGAGCTGGCATCCCAGACATCGAAATCTATCTGTACGAGGAGCCAAGTTCGTCGGCTCCAGAAACGGAAGAAGACGCTACAGCCCGGAAGCTGAGCGAGATGAAGCTTGAGGACGAAAGGCAGTCTATGCGGGATGGTGCAAAGCTTGCCCTCGAGCGCGGCGAGGTTGGCAGTCTTCAGCCAGGCGCAAAGACCGCGGTGGGTGTGATGCTACAGGAGCACGTCGTAGAGTCAGCACCCCCGACTGGCGTCTTTGAGGATGAAGATGGCGACCACATGATGGTGGAGGGCTACAGAAGTAAGATCGAGGACAATCCGAATCTGATGAAATGAGCTACGAGACTGCGCAAGTGCAGTTCTACGAGAAGAGGAACACATGGTGACCAGCGGTACCAGCGCACAAATGAATACGTACGGCAACCGTTGAACGGCTTGGTACCACCAGCATGTAGTCATGGGAACGGCATCACACCTGGTTCAACATCACCACAGCAGAGCGGCGAGGGAGAGATTTGGCAATCAAGTATCATCCCGGACGCTGGGTCCAGGAATCAACGACACCTTGAGGGGGTATAAAGACCTGTCTTTGAGATCTTCCTAGTATGCACTCACTGTCGCCAATCCGAGATTCCCCCCGGGGGACCGTATGTTGCCGTGAGAAAAGCAGAGCCCGTAAAAAGTCGTAACATGCATAAATTCGCCCCGTAGACGCCCCATACCCCTATTTTTGTTGTTCCATCGTCCGTGCGAGAGTCGCTTAGCGGCGGTCGTTGAAGCGGCGAGGACCACGCTCGGGCTGCTGCTGCTGGGAGACGGCCTGGGCGTTGATGGGGATGTTGTCGAACTGCGTTTGTTAGAATCAAGAACAGATTGAGCATTATCAAGATACATACGCCAAGGTGCTTGAGCAGGTCGCGGGTCTCAAAGTCGACCTCGAGACGGCCCTCGTCGCTGAGCTGGGCGAAGTCGAGCGCCGAGATCTCGGGCACGTACTGATCCTTGCGCTCACGCTCCTCCTCCTGAAGCTTGAAGGAGATACCGCGGACGGGACCACGCTGGATACGGCGCATCAAGTGGGTGGTGTAGCCGGCAATCTTGTTGCGGAGGCGCTTGGAGGCAATGATGGCAATCTCATCGCAGATGCGCTTGTTGGTCTCGAAGTCGAGGGTGAGCTTGGGGTAGTAACGCTCAATGATGACCTTGGCGGACTTCTTCACGGTCTTGGTGCGAACGCGACCCATGTTGGCGGTATTGGCTGGGGGGGCTGTGAGGGTGGTTGTGGTGGTTAGTCGTGCGTTGAAAGGAGGCTTTTCGAGATGGACCAGCGCAGCCCAAATTTTGGTGCTCCCAACGTGCAGTGGGGCCCGGACGCAATTCGTGTTAGGGCTGTGGGAGGATGAGCGCACGTGACTTCAATCGGCCATCGGTCTTGGCCATTCAATGGCCCCACTTGCGACTGGGTTAGTAATCAGTACTCCGTGGTCTGTACAAAGGCAAGCAACGTCTTTGATGAATGTTCCAACGCTTCTACAATTGATACTATACATGTACATAGAAACACATTATACACCTAGCTCAGGCCGTACGTCTCCGAGCTGCCTAGGATGTCTGTCTCGGGGCGCTTTGCCTCCTCGAGCTGTGCAGCACGCTCCCTCTCCTTCTCCTCGGCAGCAGCCGCCTTGGTGCGCCTGATCTCCTTGTTGTTGTATATCGACCTGAAGCCCTTCTTCTCATCCGCAATGAGCTTCGCATCCTCCTTGGCCACGTTCGTTGAGATGACGACGGATCCGCGTGAGTTGACGACAGCCTTGGACGGTTCGACGTACGCCTTGGCACCACCGTAAGTGTCCAGGTCCAGTTGCTGGACGCCCTTGATCGTGTGGTGGGCGCTTCCGTACCGCCCGCCCAGCATACGCTTCGTAAACTCGTTCGACCCAGCGGGTATCTCTGCAATGAAACCGCCCACACCAATGTTGGCTTGCGCGTTCTTGTGCCTGGGGCGGATAATGCGGGCCAGAGTGGGTGTCTTCTGCTCCTGAGGTCCGTAGACAGGATGGTTCTCCATAAAGGCTGTTGTACGAAGATAGCCAATACCGGCAGAAGGGTGGCTCGGGGGAGGCCCATTCATCCCATAGGGACTGAACTCGGAGTTAGCCTTGGCGTATATGGCATCGGCAACGCCAACCTGCGTGACAGGTGGCAGGTCGAGGAAATCGGACACGTAGCCGTACAGCTCGGCTCTCGAGTCACGCAGCGTCCTGACAAAGTGGTCGTACTCGGCGTCCGTGACGTCCTTGGCCGTGGTAGTGGTCACAGCAGTTGAGCCGTCCTCCCTGGCTTTGTGGCGCGCCTCGTTCGTCATCTTCTGGGCGAGCACTTCCCTCAAATACGTGCGGAATTCCGATCTCCGAGGCTGGACTTGCTTCCGCATAAACTTCTTGAACTCTCCCTCGCTAAGCATGGCCAGCCAAGGGCCGTTGAACTTCCACCTCTTCGCCACAGCTTCCTTACTGCGATCGTTGGTGAGAATGTCGAGGTCCTCCTCAAAGACCGACCTCAAGGGATCGTGCTCCACCGAAGCGAATGCGCCAATGTTCCTCGATTGGGGCACCGGTACCGTCATTGCGACCCTCATTTCGCCAAACTTCTCGAGACTCATGACGTGGTCTGCTGCCGAGCCGTAGTCGGTAATCTTCTCAATCGAGTCGAACTGCCTAATCTTCACGAGCGGCGTCGTCGTGGCCATAGTCTGCTTCAGGGGAAGAGGGCGCTTGAGTCCCCAGTCACCCTTTTCACGGGACGACAGTGGTGAGGTGATGGCTTGGTATTGGGGCACATTGCGAGTCGCGGTCTCGGAGGCGAGGGTGTTCGTCATGAGTTCGGGCTGGGCCTTTGGCATGGCGAACAGGCGCGACGAGCGCAGCAGCGCCGCGCCGGGCGACACTGAGCTGGCCATCGTCAATTGTTGATCGTGCTTGATGCACTGACTTGATGGCCTCCCAAGACGCGATGGGGAAATTTCGAGGTTTGGCGATGGACCGGGGTTGAGCCGGACACCTTCGAGGTCGAGTGCGACTTTGCCTTTTTGGGAAGTTTTGCAGGTCCATCGACCTACCCGGTGCTGCATCGATCCCATTTGAGATCAAATCTCAGGCAACCACGGAACGTTCGAAAATATTCCTAGGACATGTGCTGTCGGCTGTTGAGCACCCTCTACTTGCACAGTCCTCAGCTATAGAACACACTTGATGGTAATGGCATTCAACGTTTATGAGTCACCTGCGCTCAAGTTTGAGCTAGTAGCAAAATGCAACGTAAGAGTGCACTTTCTCTTGAAGCTTGTCAGTGCGATACTAATAGATCCACTGACAGACAACCAGAGCGCGAGCGTCGAACCTCACGTTACCGCATGGCCCAGTCCAGCTACCTCTATTCATGCCAGTGGCCACCCAAGCCTCTCTCAAAGGCCTCACATATGAGCAGCTCGAACAGACGTCCTGCAGACTATGCCTGAACAACACCTACCATCTTGGTCTCAAGCCTGGTCAGGAGACCCTGGACGCTGTTGGAGGTGCCCATAAACTACAAGGATGGGATCACAACATTCTGACGGATAGCGGGGGGTACGACACATCCTGTCATGGCGGAAGATCTAGACTGACGGGTTGACAGCTTCCAAATGGTGTCACTCCTCGAGCTCGCCACGATCACAGAAGAAGGCGTCCGCTTTCTCAGTCCTCATGATGGCTCGCCTATGCTTCTCACGCCCGAACACTCAATGAGCCTCCAGAATTCGATAGGCAGCGACATTATGATGCAGCTTGACGATGTCCTCGTCACGACATCTCCCGACGCGGCACGCATGCGCCTTGCCATGGAACGCTCGGTGCGATGGCTAGACCGATGCATAGCAGCACACAAAAAGCCGGAGACACAAAACCTTTTCTGCATCATTCAGGGAGGACTGGATCTGGAGATGAGGAAGGAGTGCTGCGAGGAGATGGTGAAGCGAGATACGCCTGGGATCGCTATTGGTGGGTTGAGCGGTGGTGAGGCGAAGGACGACTTTTGCCGCGTCGTCGAGACCTGCACAGCACTACTTCCTGACCTGAAGCCGCGCTATGTCATGGGTATTGGGTTTCCGGAGGATCTCGTTGTGAGTGTAGCCCTTGGTGCAGACATGTTTGACTGCGTGTGGCCTACGCGTACAGCACGCTTTGGCGCCGCCGTCACTCGCCATGGGGTACTGAACATGCGCAACGCCCGATTCGCGCACGACTTTGGTCCTGTTGAGACAGGATGCGGGTGCAATTGCTGTCTCAGTGTGGAAAAGGGGGGCATGGCAGTGACGAGGGCCTTTGTGCACCACAACTCGGCCAAAGAGACGGTTGGGGCGCATCTGTTGACGATTCACAACGTGTACTACCAGCTGAATCTCATGCGGCAGATAAGGGAGTCAATCATTTCTCAGAGGTTCCCCGACTTTATCAAAGAGTTCTTCGGAAACCTGTACGAGGATAAAAAAGACTATCCTACCTGGGCAGTCGATGCCCTTCGCCGGGTCAACGTTGACCTGATGAAATAAAATGAATAGATTCCGAAGACGATTTGTCATTGGTCTCGTGCATGTTCAACACGTCTCAGGACAACTATCATTGATTCATTAATCAGATAACCATCCCGAGCGCGAGCGCAGCCACCGCCGCAGCGCCGTACCCTACTCTAACCGACGCAGCGGCATCAGGGTTATCAGTAGTCTCTTCCGCATCCTGAGCGTCCGTCTCAGTTGGCTCATTGTCCTTCTCTGCATCGGTGACAGTAGCCGTTCCAGTCTCTTTAGACTCGCACACGTCATCATAGTCCTCGCAGAAGGTGGCGAAGCGTGTTGCGACTAAGAAGACGGGTCAATGATGGAACGCTACAGAAAGCCAGTGCGGCTGAAGACTCACCAGGATAGACGGTGTAAGGTTCACCAGTGCTTGCCCACTTGGCACATACAGACGCAGACGAGTCGATCTCGTCGGTCCATTGTCCGGAGCCACCGCAGCTGTTACAACAGTCAATGTCTGCTCACAGGGTGTCTGGGTTATGTGAGAAGACTCACCAGTAGCAGGATGCTTGCACGGCATACGGCATGGTAGCGAAGCCGGCTGTTTCCGCTTCACACGAGTCAAACGTGGAGATCATGTCCCAACATTCAGACGGCTCGGTGGTCGTCGGTAAGTAATCCTCAGAGGCGATGGTTGTCACATCGATGATAGCAGTGGCGGTGACGGGCCCTTCATCGTAGCCAGGCCTTGTTACCATAGAGGCGTCTTCCTCGGTGGTGTCTGCTGTTAAACTGGAAGCGCCACATGAACTTTGGGCGTTGCAGACGGTGTAGAAGACTCCGTATGCTAATAACGCTCAGTAGGTGACTCTCGTCTAGGGTCCCATCTGCCGAGGAACTCACGCTCGTAGTCTGTGGCTTCGTAACCTGGCGCCCCAGTCAAGTAATCATAGCAGCTCGAGTAACCGTCCGCGAGGAGTGTCCCAGAAGAGCAGCAGACACAAGCAATCAGGTCTTCTTCCGGGGCGTTCAAGACATTGGTGAGGCCACCCAAGCTATCGGCACAGTCAAGAACATGATCGGCCGCGGTATTACAAGCGTCCAAGTCAGCCGCCGCCAAGTGGACGACATTGTTCAGGAGAGGTGCAAATGTGACGGCTGGGCCCTGAGGGCCCGTCATGGCAGCGAAAGCAGAGTCCATTTTTCAAAGTCCAAGATAGTGCTTGTTATGTGAGGTCGCAGGCCAACAGCAACTGTCAGTCAGTCTATCAGAGGGCAACCCTCGGGCCTTCATATACTGTGTGCGAAACATCATACGTAGCGATCAGCATCATGTCGGCCATTGCGGCTTCAAGTTCTGCCCGATTGCCTTGCGCCCAGCATCGACAGATGCATCGTTCTGGTTGGACAGGACGTTCAGCCAAGATCTTGGAAGCTTGATGATGTTGTGCGGCTGAAGCGGAAACGTGGGAGAATGACCAGGCTACTATTGACAGTTCCGCGCGCGGAATGATTTAACCGCGCCAAGGATGTCGAACTTTAATGCAAACTGGAACGTAGCCAAACAGTGGTTGGTCAGATAGGCGATTTGGGCTCGGCAACATATGGACCGACAGTTGGACGCGAGGGATCGTCACTCGCGCATGGAGGATGATGAACGGCAAGGCTGACTAGATCTGAAAATGCCCGAGGCGCATTCCATTCTGCCCGAAAGAACGAGCGGTGGGAAGCATTGCGTACTATCCGCGGTGTGTGGCTCGGATGAGTTCATGTCGTTGATGAGCATAAGCGACCTGTGGCACGGACGCACGGGTACGGATTGCCAACCCGGGACAAGATGTTGCCGCCTTCGGGTCCACATTGTTCCGGCCCGGGCAACTTTTCGAGATCGCGTTACGAGCATCGACTCTCAGCACAGAGCTGGTCGACATCACGAGATCCGCCGGTTCAGGCGCAACCACCACCATGTAGGTCCAATTGACTTTTGGAAGATGCAATCACTCTAACAGATATATCAGGTCGGCTCCTCGCATTAGCAGCATGCTGCTCTCGCGCGCACCGGCGCCTCGCGCCTTCACATCAACGCTCACCATGCGGCCTCTGACAACATCAAGTCGACTCCTCGCCAAGGATCGCCCTGTCCGTCACAATCCTCTGGTCGGGAACTACACTCCTCCCAAACCGCAGACCGCAACGCCGACGGAGGAGCCACTCGTCAGCACCGAGAACCCCCAATCATCGGAACCGCCCGCGTCGAGTGCAGAAGTCCCCCCCAACGCCGACATGCCACCGCCTCCTCCGCCTCCCCCGTCCGCCGAAGCTGCGACGAATGCGAAGCCCGGAGAGTCGACGAAGCCAGCGGCTCCCTCGCCTTTTGCCTACGACGCCACCCGTCACGTCGACATTCACAAAATCGTCTCGGAGAAGATGGAGCCGCTGGTGGCTACCACCTCGGCAGACCCCCTGAAGCAGCCGCGCATGCGCACCGCTCCCGTCGCCGGACGCACCGTCTTTGTCGACCAGTCGTTGGGACTACCGGCTGCTCTCAAGGCGCTGCAACGCCTCGTGTCCCTGAGCAAGATCAAGCGGCTCGCTACTCAGCAGAAGTTTCACGAGCGACCAGGCATGAAGAGGAAGAGGCTGAGGATGCTCAGGTGGAGGAAAAGGTTCAAGGATGGTTTCCAAGCGACGACGAGACGGGTGCGCGAGATGAAGAAGCAAGGCTGGTGAAAAAGGGGTGTGCGAGCGCGTACACGTGTAATACTGTACATTAAAGGAGGGACTTGTTAGAATACCATGTTATGAATCATAGAGATTATGCAAGGTCAATGTTGTATATCAGGTACATCCGTGGAAGGCTTCAATAATCGCCAAAGTCTTCCCTCGTCGGACTTGGCAATGGGCTCGCCTGGATCTTGGGTCTCGAGCGAAAGACAGCCTCCATGTCCTCCTCTGCGATCATTTCTTCCGTCAGGGTGTCCTGCTCCTCCAGCTTGGGGAAGTAGCTCCCTTCGCGCCGCGGGGGGACTCTAGACTTCCTCTGCGATCTCCGTCGCTCCACCTGGGCCTTTTGCCGCGCGTTCTCGAAGCCAGCCATGCTGCGGCGAGTGCGAGCAGCTAGATCCTCCAGAATGTCGTTTTCGAGAGTTTCCGTCGTTTCAGCTGACGTAGTAGCGGGGGTAGGCTTGTTGGTTTCTGAGCCCCCCTCGCCTTCTTCCTCTTCGAGGAAGATGGATGATCCACGAGGAGCCATTGAGAGACGGGTTCTATCGGCCAACGACAACGTATGTCTAGGTCTGGACTTCTTCTTGGGGGAAGGTGATGCGTCGTTCATGGACTCGAGGATCCGGTCAGCAGCAGCCTGTGTGAGAGACGGCGCGGCTTGCTGAATGGGCGTCTTTTGCCGCCGAATCGGGGACAGACTTGTGTCTGGCCTGAGCTTGGGTTGGAAGTCGAGGCGCACGGTATCGTCGTCTTCACCGTCGCCGGCCTCATCGTCGTCATCGTCTGTGAAATTTTGGCAGCGCCTCGGCTTTGAAGGACTGCTCAGTCCCTCGCTTGAAGAGCTGGCTCGTGAGAGGCCGGGGCGTATGGTTTGCTCGTCGTTCATTGCCGGGACAGAATGAACGAGACCTTCATCTGGTGATCGATCCATGGTGTCGTCTTCCAACTCACTCAGCTCCGAGATCTCGCTAATTGACTCTTGCGTGCCCATGGAGATTCTCTTCCCTTTCCCCTTTGCTTGAAGAAAGGGTAACGGGCTAGGCTTGTGCCCAGCCTCGGCAAGCTCGTCCTTCAGTCCTTGCAGCATCTCCTGATAGTCACTGGTGAGTCGTAGTCCTTGACTTGGAGTCTTGCTGGTCCCCGTCGCTCTGCACAGCCTCAGCTCCTCGTGCGCACCAAGCCCAAGATCCATGCCTTTCCCTTGTGACTCGGCTTTGGTTTTCGAGCTCGATGCCGTCTGCGCAGGCCTTTCACCGTACATGCTCGCGCGAAAGCGCTGCCATTTGTCGAGTCGTTCCCGGTGCATCGTCACCCGCCCGTGGAGCTGCTCCAGAAGCCCAGCATCTTTCGCCTCGACCTCGCCCAGCCTATCCTGCTCGACCCGCCTCCACACTCGATCGAGCGGCATACCGAACGGTCCGTCCTTCTTCTCTGTTGCGTCCCCTTGGACAAGGATGTTCATCCACTTCTCATTTCCTGTCCAGTTGGTTCTCACGAGTCTGGCCATCTCAGCTCTGGCCTCCTCAGATATCGTCTTTCCGGGTCCGCCCTGTTCCCGACGCAGGGCTTCCTCCTTTCTCTGGGCGAGACCTCTTTCTTTGACGCCCAGCAGTCCCTCAAAGTGGCGGTATCTCCTGGTGGTATCTCGTCTTCTTTCCTTGATCTTGCCCAGCGAATGCTTGTGCGCCAGAATCAGTGTGGACAGCTCATTCTTGTCGTCATTGTAACCCTTGTTCTCCAGTGTCAAAGTAAGTGACAGCGCTGGGTGGCCCTGTAGCTGGTCCACCGCGACCTTCCTCAGGACTGCCGCGGAGAATGCGGCCAAGACTTCTTCCAACCGCTCGCCTTTGCACTCGTCTAGCATGGTCTTTCGGAGAAGGGCATCGCGGCCTAGAACGCCGTTCTTCTTGGCGTTCTCGAGGGAGCGGAGCAGCGCAGCGCGAAGGTTGATAGACTGTACTTGATCGAGTGGCGGGAAATAGGGCTTCAGCTTCTGTTCAAATGTTAGTCAGGAGTATCGACGAGGAGTCATAGGGGGTCTTGCGTTTGCCGTCTCCTCTGGGTCCCAGAGGGCAAACAGCTGGAACAACGCCCATTCCACGCTCTGCACCCGCTTCTTCTGCCCCTGAGCTGTAGTCGTGCCTGTGGCAAAGGTTCGTGTCGATATATCCGGCCAGTCGCGCCTTCGATCGAGGTCCAAGAGTCGCAGATTTGTCAGAAATAGAGACAAAGGCGAGGCTGTCGGCACCGCGCCATGCGCGTTCGCTGATGGCGGTTGTTGGGGCGGTCTGGGGCCAGCTGACGGCTGCCCAGCTCGAGGCTTGCTGGACGCCTGCAGGCGTTGCTGAACAGACGTCATGGCCGTCGCATTGTGTTTGTGAATGTTTGTCGCTTTAATAGAGTCGCGCTCAAGAGGGATTGGGCCCCGGCGTCGGTGTTCAATGTTTATTTCATGTTGCACAACAGAGAATGGAGCTAATGCGGGCGACACGATGCATTAGTGCAATGCCGATTGTGGACTTGTGAATCCCGACTGTCAAAGCTCCCCCTGTTGTTGAATTTCTCCTGACAACAAACACCACTCACTAGCATGGGTTCATTATATTATTATATTCTGCTCTAATTATATTCAAAATTCACTTAAGAAAATCATATAAGAGCGAAACCTGTCAACTTTCAGCCTCTGGCCTTTGTCCATCACTGTCCTTAACATGGTGCTGAACGCGCGTCTCCTTGCACCCACGTCCTTTGGAAGCCCTCGTACTTTCGAAACATCGACACTCCGTAGTAGAATTCAGAGGTCTCCAGCACGTCTCAATGAAGCTCGGCCGTTCTCACTCCCTCTTCATGACCGATTGGTCCCCCTGTGCCCAGCAAAACTTGATCGTCCACTTTTGGATTTTCCACAAGTCGTCGCCAGCATCCTTGACGAGATCCATGAAATACATGACACCTGCCGTGTACTTGGGCGCGGCGGTATCGAGCCCCTCTCCAGGTCTGCAGTGCTGATTAGTTGCGTAAGCCGTGAGGCTGGCCTTGGTCGGGTCGTCTGTAAGATGAACGCGAACGTTGCTGATGGCGTGCAGTGTGTCCATGGGCCCGATCAACCCAAAGATATCAGCCCTGACCTCCTCTGCGCCATGCATTATCTTGCCTCCGAGGTCGAACTCGATTTCTGGGGTCAAGGCTGAGTTAAACATGTCCAAGTCATTGGTGTCGGCTCCATAAATAGCTCGGTACAAGGCATCTGTGACAGCCTCGCGAGGACTCAGTGCTGTGAGATGAACAGGGACAGACATGTTGTGAAGTGTCAGCGGGAGTTGTTTGACGTCTGGGTATGAGGACAGTTTGCAAGCAGCGCGCCATGTATTATATACCTTGCTATCTCCGAGATCTCAGCCTGCAGGATCAATCAGCCCTTGTGTGGCTAAGTCCAGTCCTTAAGTCCGCTCAATGTCCGTGGGAACATGAACCCAGAAACTCCCGCGAAGATCTTAAAGTGTAAATCGGCTGGGACATTCGTGTCTTTGTGGAGGATCGTTTGTGCTCGACTAGTTATGGTTGGGCGCGGATCCGTCCGACAACGTCTCAGTAGCTTCCTTGCCAACGCCTCGTGCGCCACCCACACTGAATAGAGCGTGTAGCTTTATATTTTTGACTTTCAAGCTGAACTCTGGAAGTTGATCTCTCTCGCCAAATTTGTCAAAGAAACCCCGACACTTGACTTCTCCAACACAGCCTTGGGCAGGCCCTGAGGAAGGGCGTACTCAACCTGCTGGACATCTCTCTGCAGGACAAGCCAAGAAGCCAGAAGAGCGCCCTCCAGAACCCACCTCACTCCTGTTCTTTCAAAGAGTGAGCCGTCAGATGCACTCAAGGTGGTAGCTTTCTGTGTCCACTCGTGCATAGCGCGGCACCAGGTTGTGCTGAAAGTGGCCGCAAGATCTCCGATAGAAGCATTTCGCTCCTTGAAAACGCCAGCCTCCGTTCTCATGTAAGAGACAACACATGAGTCTTCTCTGAAAGGTTCAATGCGGTATTGAGAGCTCGGCGGTCGACACTCGGTCTCGGAGAAGGCGATGTCATCGCTCAGATGGACAGTAATGGTTCCCCTGTCAACAGCAACACGAAGGCCGTAAAGTGTGTCAAACACAAGTTTATACTGCGAATGAGGCGATTGCATAATGTGAAGGAGGAAGTCGAGGCTCTTTGCGTCCATCATCGTGACGAAGAGGCCAAGTCAGGTTATCTGGTTGCTGCTTGGAGAACCGCAAGCTTCCATCTGACTTTATAGCTTCATTCTCGTCGTTCTCGCCGCGTAACAGAGGATGGCGAATATGCACTTTGTGACGAAACTCAGCCTGGCCGCGACCTAAGCGGGCAGTATGAAGCCATCTTATGCTGTTGGTTCGGACGCGCATAGTATTGCCAAGGCATCACTGCCCAGGTTGGTCGCCGCTTGCATGTTGTCGTGTTGCTTGTTGGAATGTCGTCAAGGCCTATTCAAAGTTCATGGATATCTGACCTCTTTGATCGAACCCATTCGTCAGGATTGCAAGCCAGAATTGCAAGCCAGAATGCCTCACGTTGTGAACAAGGATATTCCATCGAATTGACATGCTGCAGGTTATGACGGACGGCAGGCGTTCGGAGTTAGTCTCGCGGAACCCCGCTTACGGCTTATGTCATCCATGAAGTGCAGTAAATCCGAATCCGTCACAGCTGCCCGCGAAAAGTCGTGAACCCCGTCTGTCTTGTCTTGGAAATCTCACCGAGCAAGCCAGCACGCGATACACGAAGGTCGCGCGCTACCAAACCCAACCCGCCAACGCCGTCGCACACACGTCTAGAGCAAGACACTATTCTTCAGTCGAGTTCAACACGGATTTCAAGGGTCTTGCTCCTTTCCCGCGACGTCAGAGCCGCACAGCGCGCATCGTGCAGCCCGGAATCCCGGTTCGCTCATCGACAGATCACGGGGTTGGGCCACCCTCAGCGTCAAACTCCTGCCGGCTCACTGACGCCGCACGCGCATGGCACCTCCGGACTTGACGCCCAGGTCGGGCACGTCCTCGAGCAACCAGGCCGACGGGTCGCCTGCGGGCTACGGGCGTTCGTGCACCAACTGCTCGCGCGCCAAATGCAAGTGCATTTTCAAGTCGAGCGTCGGGAGCTGTGAGCGATGCCACCGCCTTGGCAAGGACTGCCAGCCCATTGCGGCCTCGAGGAAGCGCGTGGAGAAGAGGCAGACCCCGTCAAGGACAGCCCAACTCGAGGAGAAGCTCGATGATCTCGTGTCCATCTTGCGGTCCACGCAGGGGGGCTCCATGGCTGGCATCGCGGGTGGCAGGCAGCCCTTCCCTCCCATGTCTGCCGAGTCCAGCTACCCTCCGCCGCCCACGAGCCGGCTGGACTCGTTGGCCACTGCTGCTACGGCGACAGATCCTCATGGCTCGAACAATGCGGCCGCCGCTGCGGCGTACCCTGCCATTACAAAGGCCAACAACAGCAATTTGAATGCAAACTACAACGAGAGCGACGACAACTCGGAACCAACGCCCGCAGAGGCAGAACTTTATCTGCAAAAGTTTCGAGCGTGGCAGCAGAATCTGCCTTTCATGGTCCTTCCACCCAACATGGACGCAGCCCAGTTGCGACAAGAGAGCCCATTCTTGTGGCTGTGCATCATGAACATTACCAGCATGTCACTACCGCAAATGCAGGCGCTGAAGGAGCGTGTACGCAGGGAGTTGGCGGAAAGTATGGTCATACGGCACGAGCCCTCCATGGACATTATCCAAGGACTCATTGCCTATCTGAGCTGGTCACTCATGAACTCGGGCCCCGGCTGGAAGCCATTCTTGATTCTGTTCTCGCAGCTGGCCATGAGCGCTTGCTACGAGTTGGGCCTGACCAGGTCTTCTGCTGAAGAGGAGCATTTTGCGAGATGTTTCAAGGCTTGGGTCCCCAGGCCACCGCAAGTCAAGCTGCGAACCTCGGAAGAGAGGCGGGCCCTAGTGTCCCTCTGGTATCTGATATCCATGTACGTCGGGTACAGATGAAGCGTGATGCGCACCGCCACTGACAGTTTCGCAGCATCTCCACGTTCATCGGCAAGACGGATTCGCTACGCTGGACAAATCACATGGAGGAATGCCTCGAGGCACTAGACCAGGACAAGGAGCATATCCAGGACACCATTCTGGTCAGCCTTGTCCGCATTCAGCTCATTGCTGATGAGACGCACAAACTCGTGATTCAAGACGTTCTCAAAGGCGAGACTTTTGATTACACGCCAAGTTATGTGTATCGAAAGACATTGCTCAGCCGCCTGCGGATTTTACGCGAGGGCATGGGCCCTGTGGCTAACTCGAGCTGTAAGTGTGATTGGCAGCAATAGAGGAAGAATCATACTGACATGGCCGATTAGATGTTGTGCAGGCCCACCTGTATGCCACAGAGGTCATGATCAACTCCTTGGGGTTCTTCAAACCTTCGGTGCCAGAAGCTCAACGGCTCGACTCGATGTACTCCTGCCTGCGCGCCGTGCGCGGATGGTATGATGTCTGGTTCTCGATTCCCATGACGGACATTCCCGGCCTTCCGTTTGCTCTGCTTGTGCAGCTCTCGCATGTGCAAGTTGCCCTGTACAGATTGTCCACGTCCGACGATCCTGCTTGGGACAAGGATGTTCTTCGGAACACGGCCGATCTCTTGCTGATCTTGGACAAGATCATTGAGCGATTCGAGGCCATGCAGACTGTGTATCCCATGAAAACAGGCAAAGACGATGCCGAGTCCACACTGTGGTGTCGAGCGACCAAGATCATCAAGAATATCAAGGCCAGCTGGGAGCCGACATTGACGCAGAACTACAGCAGCAACAACAGCAACAGCAACAATAGCAACCCTGGTTTCCCGACACCGAATAGCCAGGGCCATGGTGTACCCGTCAATGGCGGAGGGATACCGATCGGTATGGGCCACACGATGGATCCAAGTCTCCCCGACCCGACGGCGGGCATGGGCTTTGTTGATCTGCCGTGGATGATGGACATGTTTGGACCTTGGGAGTTCAATTAGGCTATGCTAGCTACTGAGGTTTGCCCTGGCTCGCTGTACAAGTATACCCTGCGCTCGTCGCTTTGCCCTACAGTGTCTTGTCAGACGTACTTCTGTGACCCCATTGTGTCAGTAGGTTGTATGCGTAGCCGATAGTGATGTGTTTCGCCGCGCCACGTGGTTCCTGATTTCGTAGTTGTCCAGGGATAGACTAGGCACGTCGCATCGCTTCTGGAGTGAGACATATGAGTGCGTTGATCAGTGACGCGATGAGCAGGTACTTGGTAGGCATCCAATCCATCGGTCAAGGGCTGGAGGCCGTGGTGGAGCACGCACCATCAGGGTGCACAAAGCGCAATTGGACTTGATTTCACCTCTACATTTGAACACACGTATTCCCGTTACTCTCCCCTCTTGCATGATGCTCAATCGACCGCGTAACCGACAACCTCGACGAGGCGACCACCAGACGGGCAGTCCGCGCCCTAACAATCGCGGCGGCGGCGGCGGCGCAAGAGGTGGCAGAAGCTCCCAACACAGCGCACCACGACCAAACGGCAACGTCCCTGGCATCCACCAAGTCATACCGGGAGCAAGTGTCTGGATTGTCCTCAAAGAGGACCAGCCCACGGGCGACCAGACACACGGCATCATCGCGCGAGTGCTGACGCGGGGCAACCATCCTAGAGGGATCAAGGTCAAGCTTCGCGATGGCCAAGTCGGACGGGTGCAGAGAATGGGCGCACCCGTCACCGAGACCGCAGCGCCGCCCCAGTCGACCGACAGGAATGCACCGCCCTCTACGATGAACGCGACGAACACGACAAGATTCACGCACCGCTACACGGACGTGCGCTACGAGGACAACGACGACGACTACGCATCCGAGCCTCCGCCTCGCTCCCTCGCCGACTACTTCCCCGATGCGCCAGAGCCGCCCGCGACGCAGCCGAACAATAATACCACCGTGACGGCGACCTGCCCCATATGCGAGGCCTTTGAAGGAGACGAGATTGCTGTATCGCACCACGTCGAGCGAGAGCATTGAACGAGGTTGCTATCGCGCCTTGCCGCGTTATGATAAACCACCTTCTACACTTGGAGCTCAGGTGGCTGCTGAAACTTGGAAATCGTGCATCCTCGCGCACTCGGGGGAAAGATTATACAGCGCTTGGAGTGCTGTACCCCACGTTGGCATTGAAGCTCGACGGTACCTTTGCCAACAGGAGGCATAGTCTGCGCTCGGCATGCTGTGAACCACGGCTCTCTGGCTGGTCAAAGATAAGACGCAGTCAATATCCAGCTTCCTGATCGCGGCAAGGTTGAGGTACTTTCGGCTGGATAGCGTGTGATGGATGGGCTGGCCAGCCGGCGGCAGAGAGACAATCTGGCAGGTTCCTGGGTCATGCGTGCAGCCGCTGCAGCGACTCAGCGAGCGAGATGGGGCGCATCTGCCGGAACTACTGTAGTGTCTGCCAGGAGGGAGACAGGGGTTGTTCCGAGTTCATTGGACGACATGGATGCTGGGGTCAATTTCGTTTACACGACTCCTCTGCCAGACCCTGTCGATTGGGAAGGTCAGAATACGCGCGTGGCCGAGTTACCGAATTCGCTTCGAGCCAAGACGCTGCTTCATTACGGCACATCGGAGACGATAGGAGATCTCGAGCACAGGCGTCGTCTTGACAGCTGCTGCTATGATGGTAGGCAGCCCGATTCGCAACAAAGGGCCAAAGTTACCGGCGACCAAGTGAAGAAGAAGCGATACACCTAAATGATAGAGATGGGCCATCAATGATGGCAATTGCCAATTCAGCTGGATCACGTCCACAATCTGCGACCTAATTGACGCCCCCCTTGGTGCAGCAAAGTGCCGATCACCCAAGCCACATTTCCACCGACAGGTCCCACGACTCCCACGGCCTTCTTCTCGAAAAGGAAGCTACTTTTATTTGCCTTCATCTGGGCAGCCTCAAGTGCCATGCTGTGGCACTCGGAACAGCAGACCTCGGTAACCTCCGTCTAAGCATAAGTTCCTCCGCCGACAAGTGCGGTCCGAGGGGAGTTTACGAGTCATCCAGCTCGTTGGAATGCTCAACCGCGTGTCTAGCGCCCACGAGGACGACGACCTCTACATAGCAGGACGGGGCTCGTAGATCTCAACTACAATGCGATCACTCACGCGGATACATGCTCAGCGTCGACTCCAGACTTGAGAGTCCAGACTGAGGAAGGACGGATCCGTTTCCAGCAGACATGGGGTCCAGCCGGTCCACTTGACGGTACTGCTGCAGGTCGTGCATACTGGAGCCGCCCCTTTGCAGTCTGCACTTGTCCCCAAACGGTTGCTGAAGAAACTACCATCGGCTCACGATGCGGTCGGGGCAGCTCCTGTCTCAATGAAGCAGGAGATCGTCGTATATCCGACGCCTATGCTGACAAGATGAGATGGAGCGGACGAGTGTGGATTCAAGGTCGGTCACATCCCGCTGGTTGAGAGAGAGGCGTGGTCCTCGCTTGCAAAAGATCTATAAAAGTCCTCGCTATCCCAGATCTCGACAGACTTGGAAGAACCAGCTTCTCTCACTCAGCCTTCCAAGCATCTCCAGTCCAGTCCAGCCCAGTCCCGTCCATCATGTCTCTCAAGGCCATCCTCCTCTTCGCCGGCGCCGCCCTGGGCCACACCATCCACAGCCGCGACACCGTCCGTGGCTGCGGTGCCCCCGAGCCCAGCGAGGAGCTCCTCCAGGTCTCGCGCCAGTTCGCCAAGCAGGAGGCGGAAAGCGTGAATGGCTTCAGCGCCCAGGCGGCCATCAGCGTGCCCGTGTACCTGCACTCCGTCGCCGCCAGCCAGAGCACCGTCCTGAGTGTGAGTCGTCCCCGATCCTGGAATCCCTCCCAAAGCCGACCAGTCTAACACTCCGCAGGATGCCACCCTCCAGAGCCAGTTCAACGTCCTGCGCGACGACTACGCGCCCTACGGCATCAACCTGAGGCTTGCCGGCACCACCAAGACCGTCAACCCGACCTGGTCCCGGGACCAGGGCGAGATGGAGATGAAGCGCGCTCTCCGCAAGGGTGACTACGGCACCCTCAACATCTACCTGCAGGACGACCTCGGCAGCAACCTGGGCTACTGCTACTTCCCCACCAACGCGCCCTCGGGCTCGACCGCCTTCATCCGCGACGGCTGCTCCGTCCTCGCCGCCTCCGTTCCCGGCGGCTCGGCCACCGGCTTCAACCTGGGCAAGACGGCCACCCACGAGGCCGGCCACTGGTTCGGTCTCTACCACACCTTCCAGGGCGGCTGCACCAGCACCAACGACGGCGTCGCCGACACCCCCGCCCAGAGCAGCCCCAGCAGCGGCTGCCCTACCGGCCGCGACTCGTGCCCTAACCTGCCCGGTCTCGACCCCATCCACAACTACATGGACTACTCTCAGGAGTGAGTATACGCCGCTGGCTCTTGTGTTTTCGTGACAATGTTGGCTAACGGATGTATAGTTCTTGCTACGAGGAGTTCACCGCCGGCCAGGCGGCGCGCATCAGCAGCTTCTGGTCCGCGTACCGCGCGTAAGAGGCCCGGCGTGTGGGTTGGCTACGAGGATGGATGAATGTCATGATCTTGATGAGTATTGGAATAGGGTGTGGAAACGCTGGACGAACTTTGGGCACCGCGCGAGACGCGCTGCTGCCGCTGGTTAGTCGTATATATTTTGAATTCACGGTACATAAGGCATATTGCTTCGACTGGGTGTGATTCTTCGCTATGAGGCTACTACTGGCTAGTGCCATGAGACAACGTTCTACTCCCAACCACGCCGAAACCGCTTCTCTACCAGCAAAAAGTGCTAGCTGATGCCTCTAAACCCACTCGCCGCTTGCTTTGCGCATCCCGTCAGCCCCTGAACGGGTGTTAGGGCAGGCGCCTTCTCCTTGTCACCACGCCGCTGTGGAGAGGAGGTTACATGTCGGCCAACATTAAGGGTGTTTCGCGGGTCGGTTTGTTTGTGTCTCTTTCGCTGTTTAGGTGATGTTTCGCTGTTCATAGTTGCGCTGTCTTCATGTTGTTTGGTATGCCCCTGATGAATAGGCAACGTCTGTTAAGGGTGTATGGGTATAGGACGGTTGAGGCTGGTCATCCTTCGCGTCCAAACTATCTCGTTGTTTGATGTTTTGATTTCTGTTTATGCCCGTTTTCTTTCTCTGCTTTGTTTTGAAGTAATGGTTTCTTGTCTTCCGAGTCGGTAGACCGCGCATTGCGCCTGAACATGTCGGCAATCTTGCGGCGCCAATGCATCTTGCCGGTGTAAGGCAATGTTGATCTCGCGACAAGCAGTTTGAAAGAGTGGTAAGGGGGGAACAGCGTTTGGTATCTGAGTCCCCGGCCTCTCTGGCGCCAAAGGCTCCCATGTTGCGCACTGGTGCAGTCACCTGAACATGTTGTGTTTGGCTTGAACTTTACCTCTTCTCTATCACAAGCGCCGCGCGTATCAGAACTACAAAGTCAATGGCACGTGAGAACGACTGTAGACGAAAATCTGCGCGCACAACAAACCAAGATTGATATTCGGTTGGCGTTGATGTATGGTATTGTGCGTACATGTATATTCTAAATTGACCTAGGTCATGTTGTTGTCAGCTAGTACAGACCCAAAATTTGACAATCAGCTATACGTAGAAGACATAAATTCTGTTTTTGATACCACAGCAAGACTCTGAGTGTATCAGGAAGATGTCCAGAACTGCTCACATGCAGAATGTGTCCTCGTCCTGAAAACTCAGGGGTTTTCAAGTGACTCCTTCTTGGTGTTTGATTGGAAAAAGAATCTATTTTCAGAACATGATGAAAGCGAGTTAACTTGATCTCTCACTCATACCCCAGGTTCTCTTTCTATAGTTGATTCCAGGATCCGTCCTTGCTCTGTGATGTCCTTGAAGCAGCCATCGTCGGACAGAGAGTTATACCGGGTAGGCAAATACCACGGCATCTGACGTGACAGCCCGCCTGATCGACAATCAGCTTGGCTTGGCCTGCCTCAATCAAGATCTCGTCACTCAATCAACATCTCCTCTGCACACACCTCCCTCTCCGGCTCAATGGCGCACCACCGCCGCCACCACCACGACCATGTCTCTCCGCATCGCAGCACGAACCACTCTCCCGGGCCACCTTCGGCACCCGCCGTCCTCTAACGTTAGCCTGGCTCTGGCTCGCTCGCGCCAACAGCGACGCCTCCTCCACCTGGCGCCTCCCTTCCTACTCGATGGAGGCCCTTACGTACCCCGTTTCCAGATGCTCAGTTCGCGCGATGCAGCCCTCAAGCGGTCCCGCGCCTATGCCCACCTCCGGAACTGCAACTTGTGCCCGAGGCTCTGTGGCGTCAATAGATATGAGACGACGGGCATGTGCCTCGTCGGGGCCACGGCCATGGTGAACACCATTGCGCCGCACTTTGGCGAGGAGGCCTGCATCCAGGGCCACAATGGCAGTGGAAGCGTGTTCATGAGCGGCTGCAACATGCGGTGCATTTTCTGTCAGAACTACGACATTGCGCACCAGAGAAAGGGCATGGATCTCACGCCCGAGGCGCTGGGCGAGTGGTATCTCAAGCTGCAGGACGTGGGCAATGTGCATAACATCAACGTTGTTACGCCGGAGCACGTGGTGCCTCAGGTCGCCCTCTCCATCCTGCACGCCAAGGACCTCGGGCTCAAACTCCCCATTGTGTACAACACCTCGAGCTTCGACTCGCTCGATTCTCTGCGCTTGATGGATGGCCTGGTGGACATTTACCTCGCCGACTTCAAGGTCTGGAACGCAGCCTCGTCCCAGCGCCTGCTCAAGGCGGACGACTACGCCGCGACGGCCAGGGACTCCGTCAAGGTGATGCAGCAGCAGGTTGGTGATCTGTGCTTCACGCCCGATGGTATCGCCAAGCGAGGGCTGCTGGTCAGGCACCTTGTCATGCCGGGGATGGAGGAGGAGGGTGCTGCCATTATGCGCTTCGTGGCCGAGCAAGTGTCTACAGATTGTTTCGTGCACATTATGGAGCAGTATCACCCTGACGCCCACGTCGGCAAGAAGACTAGGCGCAGGCCAAAACAAGGCTTCGAGGACGAGTCTGTCAGGTACGCCGAGATCAATCGTGCCGTCACCCACGACGAGGTCTCTTTCGTGCGCAAGGCGGCGGAAGACGCTGGGCTGTGGCGTTTCAATGACCCGCCCAAGCACGAGGGGTTTGCCATCTGAGTGGCTGTATATCCTCAATGAATGTTTGCTCTACTAGTCCTGTGTTGGGAATGGGACACATAGACCAACTAGCTCAGCTGTCTCTCGATTAGGCTGCAGACATTGCTTGCAGGCACAGTTCCGCGCCGAGTTCCTGGAATGCTGAAGAGATCGGGACGGCTCAAGAACGAGGCCGTACAAACAATCCTTATGTACGTGTCCGGAGGGGGGGCATGAGCCATTGGGAACTCTGCTCAATAAAATGGGCTACACTGCGTGCACAGATCACGTCGGTCCTTGTTCGCGTCCTCGGAACGCACCACGAACCAGGCTATTGGGTGACCTGAACAGACTGGACCCCAACACCCTGACCACCCAGTACGAATAATGTGGAAGCTTGGACCCCGTTGGTGCTCGAGGACGCCAGGAACAAGGTCTTTCACACACTGGGCTCGCCTCGGGCGGAACTTCTGGCTAGTAGGCCCAAGCCATATAATTTGCAGGGAGCGAGGATGAAGAGGAGAAGGACGGTCTTGCTTTGAATCCGCAAACATACCATTTTATCCAAACCATCGACATAAACACCACATGATCATCACCATGGAAGCACCTTCAACATACAGACCCGAAGGCCACCACACATCCGTTCCCATGACCCCCCCTCCCGAGAAGGCAGACTGCGACCGCCAGCAGCAGCCCCTGACGATTGTGCCGCCACCACAACCACAGAGCCTTGAACCTCCAACGCCAGACTCGCTCCCCAAGGACTTTCCATCTGGCCACTGTTCGACAAGCAGCGAGAGTATCTCTTCCAGCAGCAGACGTCAGCGGAACCGCCCTCGTCGTCAATCCACCCCAGCGTATGAACTTGCCTGCTCGCCCCGCGACCCCTTGTCGCTCCACACGGAACGAGCCTACCTCCATCAAGAGCTCATGAGGCGCGCGGCCTGGTCTCAGAAACTCTACCGAGATCACTGCCTAGCAAATGAAACCTTCAGAGCCGCCACCAACGCCAAGGAGCAGCGTCGGTGGAAGAAGAAGCTGAGTCTACTCAGAGAGAAGATCAACGAGGCCGCCTGCCAGGAACGCGTCATCTACCAGCGCCTGGGCGACTTGAGCTTCGCCCTATCCAGCCAGGATCGATGGACACATGCTCAGCGTGCCACGACCCTAACCTACTCGCCAACTACACTGCCACAGATGGACTATCCGACGGACTGCAAAGAGCCCAGCACGCCTCGCATTCTCAATGCTACCTCGCCAACGTTTGTGCCCCGTAGCTTGTCCTTGAACTCGTGCTTGGAGCCCGAGCGAGGACTGGATCCAGTCGGAGAGGAAGACGAGGGCCATGCCGATGTCGTTGAAGACCATTCCAGCAGCGAGGCCGGGCACATGGAGGCATCGCCCCGCGAAAGACGACGCTCTGTGTCCTCGCCCCGCGAAAGACGACGCTCTGTGTCCTCGCCCCGCGAAAGACGACGCTCTGTGTCCTCGCCCGTCTGTTCGCCTCTGGAAAAGCGTCTCTCTATGCCGGATCTGCCGGCTTTGTGGTCTTGAATGAACTGTCTACTGCATGCTGGCGTCGGGGAGGGGTGTCTTTGCATTCAAGTGTCGTTTTAGCATTAGTTACATCAGCCATTAAATCATCAGCGTTCCGGCCAGCCGGATCGGTCCGTCTACATGTTCTCCCCGCCGTGTGTATGTACTTTTTACTTTGTGACAACGCCTCATGCAAACTCGCCGAACTGTCCGTCGTCAAAGCCCAGCTGCTGCGCTGAGCGCCTCTTTCTTTTCACATCATCTGCACTCGGTGGCGGTGGAAGACTGAAGCCACCACCACCAGGCGGCGGCGCCAATGCGAAAGACTGCAGATCCCCGCCCGTGCTCTCCTCGCCCTGCTCCTGCTTCTCCTGTGCCTTCCTCCTCCCAATGCCCGTCCTGCCAAGGTTGACTGTGATGGTCTCCCCCTCCTTGAGAGAGTAGTCCTTTGCCCCTCTTTCTGGCTGCTGCTGCTGCTTCTTCTGGCCACTCTCCCAGCCCAGGACCCGACGGGCCTCCTGCAGCGCCACGCCAAAATCAAAGGCCTCGCTCCTCTCCTCAAAGCCGATACCGAGCACGGCCTTTTTGCCAGACGGATCGCGCACCGTCACGGCGAAGAAGCGAGAGCTGTCGATGACGGGCTCCACGGCGTTGGCGGCGCTGTAGGGGCTGGCCGCGAAGAGGGCGCCCGTCTTGGGGTCCTCGAGGAGGACGTCGACCTTGAGCGTGTCCGAGTGGGACGTCTCGAGGAGACGCAGGCGGGCGGTGAAGATGTGCCGCTGGGGCTCGGCCGTCCAGGTTGAGGCGGAATGGCCCCGGGTTGACTGGAGGGGTGGGATGTTGTAGACGTGGACGGCGGGGCCGATGAAGAGCACGCGCTGGAGGGCGTCGTCGGGGAGGGCGTGGCCGGTCGCGGGGTCTATAGACTCCATTGTGTAGGTGAGCGGGCGAGGGACATGAATCAGCGCTTGTCGTGGTGCTTGGTCTGGAACAGTGAAGAGCGCAACGACTGGAGACTGATGGTGGGAGGATTCGATATGGCCAGTACTGGATGGAGGGGCAGTGCCGGAGGAGCTGCAGGCAGCAGGCGGCTGGCAGGGGTCCCGGGTAAGGCGAGGCACCATTGCCGAGAGCCTGCACGTGATTGACCTGGTCTTGACTCTTCACCAACCACGATCTGTCATCAGCCCACGATCTTCGCCCTTGACCCATCGTGCTTCAAAGAATGGTCAGTGCTAAATGCTAGGTTCAATGCCCCGTTCTATGTGATTGAGAAGATCGCAGAACTATTCTAGCCCGCGTTATTGAAGACTTTGCCCAGAACAATGACGGCTGTCTCCATGTCGCTCCCAGGGTCAACATGGAGTGCATCATGGCGAGCGCTTCTGTATTCACATGCTACGAATATAAGGCAATCAAAAGATCTATATTCAAACTCACCGCTATGTCGCATATCTAGGAAACACGCAGACTTCCACTTTCCTGCTAAGTAAACATCACATCGCTTGTTTCTACAGTCCCTGCCTGGCCAGACAGCGTCTTGCGTTCCTCTTGCCATTGAGCTCTCTCTGCACGTCGCATCTGCTTCAGCTTCGTGGCGCGATGCACAGGTTCGTGTGGCTCTGGCACAGTCACAATCCGGGGTGTGCTTTCCAATGCCAAAGTGTCCCGCGTGCCAGGATGGTGCTTCACCGCAGGGAGGAGGAAGATGGCGCTGTCCGACCCAGCCCCCTTGACACGATACAACCGCGAGAGCATGTCGAGCTTGATCAGTGCCGGGCTGTGGGCGGCGGCGTCGACAGATCGTCCGCTCACCCCGTTTAGGGACGCGCGAGCTTCCGTTCCGATGTGCTTCCTCTCCGCCTCGTCAAACAGCCCATGCATCACACGCTCCATGTCTTCCGTCACGTTGACAAGGACAAATCTGCGTTGCGCCTCCTTCTGGTACTGTTGGGGATCTTGCGATCCGTCCACGCTCCTCACTTGCAAGGGCGCAAAGGCAGCAGGGGTTAGAGCATCCAGAGCTTGCGCATAGAGATACTCCAACTGCAGGATTCTTTCGGCGGACTTTTCCTCTCGGAGAAGTAGTTGCCCTATCAAGGTGTTCTCGAAGTCTTGGAAGCCCACGGAGTTGACCTCGGGTACCAGAGCCATGATGCCGCCCTTGTCAACCAAGTCATGGTCCAGGATGCTGAGGCACTCGTTCGCGTGCTGGGTCAGGTGAGCGTACGACATCTGAGCCTGGTGTTCGGGGGAATTTCTGTCGTCCTTGGCCGGTTCGTGAAACGTAGCGAGAGGTCAGCGGTGTTCTGGGCCATCCAACTCGGATTCAGATGCCACGTGGTTGTGAAGAGCCCAAAGAGGTCGGTTGTGGTGCTCGTCATCGTTGGCGTACGGCGCCGACAGATCATTCAACCAGTCGAACGCTTCGTTCTCAACGAACCGTGGGACACAACCCTCCTCGGGGTAATTCTCGTTATCGATCACGCCGAATGCCGTCGACAGTGACACTTTACGGATGAGAATGGCGAGAGATTGGGCATGCTGCTTGAGTTCGAGCAAAGTGGGTGCCCTGCTGCCCGACAGATACGAGCAGTTGATATGCGAGAGCGTCTTCAAGTCTTCAGGGGTGAGGCCATGCGCATAGCCTGCGGCTGTGAATGCACTAACGTATGAAATGGCGAACTCAGTGGCAGGGATGACTGGCACGAGTGGTTGAGTAGGTGTCTTTGAGCTCGCCATGTTGAAGCAGTTTGGCCACAAAAAGGGGCTTTCACTTGAGTGTTCAAGTTACTGATGTCGGGATGATGAACCTCTGTCCTGATAAATGCGCTTCGGCATGCTTGCCTTTATCACTGTTGCACTCCTTTGTCTGTTTGCTGGACGTTGATTCTCGTGCGTTTGCAGCCGTGGTCCGAGCACATGATTGAGCACTCTCTATCTTGGGAACAAAGATACAATCATAGCCTCACACGGGCACGCCAGCAGACGCTCGGGCAAGTCACTGCCACTCCAGAACACATCCCAAACGACATCAAGATTAGTGCAAGGAGACCACCAGCACAGACCTGCACTCACTTTCAGGATACACGCCCAGGTCCTGTCGCTCGCTGAGGACTGCCTTGCACTTTCAACCATGCCTCTTTCACGTATGAATGATCAACCAATAACCATGCAGAAGCCAAGTGGCATTGTGATTGTGGCCCAGAAACGGTGTTGCAGCTCGCTTGGACTTGTAGCTGGGTGAGAGGGGGCCAATGGAATGATCACATGCCTACTCGGCAACGCTCTCAAAAGTAGGCAAGCTACGCACGTTGCCAAAGCTGAGCGATCGCATTGCATGTGCTTTCATTGTTCCTCGATTGGCATGTAGGCATTGGAGAAGCCGCATTGCGAGTCGTCGCACGAAAACAGTCACGTCGGTCGAGTTGCGGCCTAGAGGGTGGGATGCAGCGAGCGATGACGCCGATGACGGTATCAAGGGAGCCAACAACTCAATCGAGAGGTCGGCGGTCGCAGATCAGTGTGGTGGGGACGGGAGGTACGGTGTTCACAATGGACCTCAGGACCGCTAGTCCTGACACCATCGCTGGGCGCTGCCACGCTGAACAGGTTCACCATTCGATTGCCGCTCGAACTTCGATGATGGCGTAAACCTTAAAGCGCATCCAAACTTAACTGGAACAGAGGCAGACGGACGCGGTGAGGGGCTGGCTGCAGGCAGCAGACGGGCAGATAATTACCTATGATGTTCTTATACGCAAGTACAGCCCCCTACGGATAGTCTAGCGATACTATTTGTTTTCCCTGCACAGTAGCGTCATTGAATTATTGATGGGTGTGCATGGTCCACGGCAATCTGCGTTGTCCCCTTGTCGGACGCTTGGCGAGTCGCGAGTCGAGACACCTCCAGGTCGTCGAGGACGTTGCAAAGAGCAGGTTGCTAGGAAATGGTTACCGGCAGGCAAGCATCGCCAACATTGGGTCGGTTTTTAGCTGGCCGGCGCCCTCCCTCGATGGGCCGATGGCTTGATCTGAGTCAGGGGTCTCGGGAGCCAGACGCATCTTTGCGAGATCTCCTTTATTATTGCAACGTCGACGGCTCGGTCGAGAATTCGTCAGGCTCCACCGCAGCGACGCCAGTCCCAGCCCAACAGGGGTTCTTCACGCAAGATTTCCTGCAGCTTCAGCTGCGATGCTCGCCAGGGATCCAAAGGGATGTGGGCGGCCGTCAGCAAGAGCAGTCTAGGCTCGCGTGATGCAGCACAATTGTCAATTTTTTGCACGAACAATCTTTGTCAATAGTGTGCTGTGTTTTGATGCTGGTCACGCGGCTGCTGCTGTTGTTGCTGGCATGCTGCTGCGACCAGAGCTGGAGCTCTCAGCTAGTGCATGCAAGCTGAGACACGACTTATTGCTGGCGTCCAGTCGCAGTCTCAATCGGGGGCTGCTGCTGGAGCGATAGTTGGAGCTCCTTTTAGCGCCCTCGCCAACAACACGTCACTTTGCGAAGGCTCCAGTCGCTATAAGAAGTAGTTGCGTGCGCACAGCTCATGGTTGTAATACACTGCCCACCGTCATTACAACGGATTTCAAGTCTTAAAGTTCGTCAAATTCAGACACTGACATTTGTTGCTTCGCGCTAAAATCTCCGTACATCTTGACATCATTTAACTACTGCGGTCGACCTAAGACAGCCCCACTCGGCTAGCTGCAGTGCCTGTGCGAGTGCAGCGACCCCCCGGGCCTGTTTACGGCAGTGACTGGACCCCAGCACTGGGAAGCTGGTGCCGTATCGATCCTTCCTTGAATTCTGGCACGCGCCTTGGCGCACATTCTCTGATATCACCAACTTTGTGCCCCTTCTTTCCTGTCCCGTCCTCTTCCTCCTTCCCTTCTCCCAATCCCAGACCTGTCACCAGTGAGGTACTCAGTACCCAATCGCCAGCGGACGAGCTTTCACAGTCCAGCAGCTGTCGCAACCATGGGTAGCTTCATATCCTGGATCAAGACGAACCTTGGGGGCTCGCAGGGCTCCGACTCGCGCACGGGTGAGGCCCGCAGTCAGCAGCCTCAGTCCCTCTCGGGCATGCTGAGCACTCTTGTGCCACTGCTCGTCATCTCCTCCATCTACATCATCATCTTCCTCGTCCTGAGGCGATCCAAGAGGCGGTTCTACGCGCCGAGGACGTACCTAGGCGCGTTGCGAGAGAGGTGAGTACTCATCCATGGCATCAAACAGCCGCCAGATCCTGACGAGAAAAATAGTGAGCGATCGCCTGAGCTCCCCAGGGGCTTCTTCAACTGGTTCGGCACCTTCTGGAAAATCCCCGACGAGTATGCGCTCCAGCACCAGAGTCTCGATGCCTATCTGTTCCTGCGCTTCCTCCGCGTTTGCACGACAATCACCTTTGTGTCCATGATCATCACCTGGGTTGTCCTCTTCCCCGTCAACGCGACAGGCGGCAATGGGAAGACGCAGCTGGAAATCCTATCGTACTCGAACATCAACATTGACACCCAATACAATCGCTTCTACGCCCACACCTTTGTGGCATGGATCGTCTACGGCTTCATCATGTACACAATTACCCGCGAGTGCATCTTCTACATCAACATCCGCCAGGCCTATCTCCTGACGCCTCAATACGCGAAGCGCATCTCGTCGCGCACCGTCTTGTTTCTATCTGTGCCTGACGACTATCTCGACGAGGCCCGTCTGCGCGCCATCTTCAGCAACGATGCGGTCAAGAATGTCTGGATCGCGGGCGAGACCAAGGAGCTGGACGATCTCGTGGAAGAACGCGACAAGGTTGCGATGAAGCTCGAGAAGGGCACCATCAAGCTACTCAAGGCCGTCAACAAGGAGCGCGCAAAGGTCGCCAAGAAGTCTGGGGGTCAGGTCGCCCAAGAGAGCGACCAGGACGCTGAGCACGGCAACATCGCCGCGCGCTGGATCACCGACAAGAAGCGCCCCACGCACCGCACTGGGCCTCTTGGGCTCATTGGCAAAAAGGTTGACACGATCGAATGGGGCCGCAGCGAGCTGCACAGCTTGGTTCCCAAGACGGATGCGGCCCAGGCCGAGTTCATCGCCGGTAACTACAAGAAGCACAATGCCGTCTTTGTCGAGTTCTACCACCAATCTGACGCCCAGGCTGCCTTCCAGGTCGTCTCGCACCACCAGGTTCTGCACATGGCACCCAAATACACCGGCGTTAAGCCCGAAGAGATTATCTGGAAGAACCTGAACATCCCCTGGTGGCAGCTCATCATCCGCCGCTACGTGGCCTACTTCTTGATCGCCATCATGGTCATCTTCTGGGCCATTCCGGTGGGCATCGTCGGTATCATTGCTCAAGTAGACACGCTGAAGCAGCTGCCTGGCTTGACCTGGATTGCCGACATCCCCTCGGTCATCCTTGGTGTCGTGTCAGGTCTACTGCCCTCGGTGGCGCTGGCCATCCTGATGAGCTTGGTTCCGATCTTCATCCGCATGTTCGCCCGCCTCGCCGGCGAGGTCACCGAGTCCCGTGTCGAACTCTTCACGCAGAACGGCTACTTTGTCTTCCAGATTGTCCAGGTCTTCCTGATCCGCACCCTTACCGACACGGCGTCCACGGCGATTGTGCAGATTGTCGACAACCCTAGTTCGGTCTTTAGCATCCTGTCTACGGCCCTGCCTACATCGTCCAACTTCTACGTCTCCTACTTCATTCTGCAGGGTATCACCATTGCTACCAGCGTGCTGACCCAGGTCATTGGCTGCATCATCTTCAACCTCATGTACAAGTTTCTGACCGGCACCCCTCGCGCCATGTACAACAAATGGACTTCGCTCAGCGCCATCATGTGGGGTAGCACCATGCCCGTCTACGCAGCGATTGTGGTCATCAGTAAGTCCTCTAGTAAGGATACTTCGTTTCGACGCTAACCGAGCAGGCATCACGTACGCTGTCATCGCCCCCATCATTCTCTTCTGGGCCACCTTGGCGCTCTTCCTGTTCCACCTGGCCTACCGTTACAACATCCTCTTCATGTCGGACACCAGTATCGACACGCGCGGCCTCTTCTATCCCCGCGCCCTCAAGCAGCTCTTCACCGGCCTGTACCTTGCTGAGATCTGCATGGTCGGCATGTTCGCCATCTCCAAGTCGCCTGGCCCCGCCGTCCTGATGGGCGCCTTCCTCGTCTTCACCGTTCTCTTCCACATTACGCTGATGCGGTCCCTGGGCCCCCACCTGTCCGCCCTCCCTCGCACTCTCCAGGTGGAGGAAGAGCTGTTCCAGGAGCGCGCTGCTGTCAATGGTTCCGACCCCGAGGCCGACTGCGGCCGCGTCCCCAAGGAAGATTCCAACGGCAAGGCTGCCAAGCTGAAGGGCATGGGATCCAACCTGTTGCCCGGCAGCAAGCCCGGCGCCGCGCCCAAGAAAGGCAACTTCTTGATGCGCTGGCTCAAGCCCTGGGTGTATGCTGACTACGCGTCGCTCCGTAAGATGGTGCCTCACGAGGACATGGTCGACATGCGCGCCGAGTACTCGCCTGAGGTTGAGCAGAATGCCTACTACCCCCCGTCGGTGACCAGCGAGACACCCATCCTGTGGATCCCCGCCGACTCGCTGGGCGTGTCCAAGCAGGAGGTTGCCCTGACGAGCAAGGTGATTCCCATCACCGACGAGGGCTGCACGCTGGACGAGAAGAACAAGCTGCACTGGGATAGCGAGAGCGCCCGCCCTCCTATCTGGACCGAGAAGATTTACTACTGATACCCGTGCCTGGTACAAGCCGGTACAAAACGTACTTATGTCGGGGTGGGATGAAATTTTGAGAGGCGCTCGGTCGAGTTTGCTGATTAATTTCTTTGTTTAATGTTAATATATCGAATGTCTTCATGTGGAGTAAATGCCCAGTTAGTGAAGCACAATAGTCTATTATTTGTTCACAACCTTGGCCAGCCAAGTTACTGACGACATGGACCTTGTTGATCACACCGCAATGCGAACTAACCCTGCCGTTCCCCGATAACACGCAGCGAGGGGGAGAAGAATGATAAATTAATAGCGCAATCCTCCATCCATTGCTGGTTGGACCTGCGGGATTCTGGAATCTGGAGAGCGCCTATCTGGCCGAATGGGACGTTTCACGCTGCCAAAGGCCTTGAGCTGTCCCGAATCCAAACGTAACCACAGGGGTTGCTTGCTTGCTTGCTAGGAACGTGCCTTGTTTTTGGCTCACCTGACGAGAGACCTTCCTTGTTGGGGACGAGGGCGCGGCCGCAAGTCACAAACCATCATGCCTGGTGAGATAGATAGGCAACGTAGAGGCAGTGAAGCGGACGAGTTGCCTCTGATGGTGATCGCCCATCACCAATCAAGCCAGCCAGCCAGCCAGCCAGCCCCTGCGACAAAACAGAGTGTCACAGCTTGATGAATCGTCAATCTGTCAATCAGAGAGATCACATGTCATCTCCCATTGTATCATCCATCCCTGCGTCGCCCGCATGCACGCAGCACGGTCGCCTCCACCTGGATTCCCCCCCCACCGAACAGAGTTCGCCGTCACCAGGACAACGCGCCGTGCCGCGTCAGGTAAACAATCAACATCACCCCCGACGACGACCAATGGCCGCACTGAACCGGCTGCATCCGAACCAGAACTTGGCAGATTGGAGTCTGGAACTTTGACTCAGGATCTGATTGAGTGCATGAGCTTGCAAGGCTCCCACTCTCGAGGTGTCTAGCAGGGGGGAGGGAGGCATCCCAAGATCGAGAGGGGACTGTTGATCTTTGTCTTTCATCCTTGGGTAGTCTTAGTTGACACATCTCTGCTTCATCTGCTTCTGCAACATCATTAAGATCATCTTGTCTTGCGCGCAAGAGTTTCGCCCATAGCGCTGATCGCCAAAAAACAGTACAGAAGAAAAGAAAAGCCGAGTAAGAGAAAGACAGGAAGAATCCGCCTCCTCCATTCGACTGCTGGCGGGCGCGTCCTGGTGATGCCGTCATGAGAGCACGTTAATCCTCATCCCGCGCACCAACCATGGCCCTCTTCCTCGCGCTGGCGGCATTGGCGACAGCGCAGAGCATACCGTACACGCCGACGCGACTGTTTACATCCAGCTGCGGCAGAAACAATAGCGACAACAATGACTGCTCGGGCGGGGATCTCGCATACATCTTGACGGACGGGTCACTTTTGTCCTACAACTACTCCTCATCGTCCACCGATCTCGACGTGGTGACCGACAAGTTGCCGTTTAACAGCACCGACGATGAAACGTACAACGCCGTCAGGACGAGTGCGGGCCTGACAGTGTATGGAGGAAAGTGTGGTTCCGCAAATGGGCAGATGTGGACATATACGACGAAATGGGAACAAGTTACTCTCAAGAACGATGGCAACGGATATGGACCGTGGTTCCTGGGTGGCATGATCGCGCAAGAGTCCGACTCCGCAAACGACACGACTCTGTACGCCTACGGAGGCATGTGCGGATCATCACAATCAGCGGGCGAGTACACCAAGACCATGCTCAGCATCGCGCCAGTCAACGAGGATCAGGCAGCGATCCCTGACAGGGCGGGCTTCAGCTTGGGCGTGGCCTCGACAGGGGGGCCAAGGGTTCCCATGGCCGGCTTCAGTCTGACGACGTTGGAGGATGGGGGCACTGTCCTGCTGGGAGGTCATGCGCAGGCTGGGTTCATCAACATGAGCACGGCAGCGGTGTGGTCTCTGCCGGGGGAGACCTGGGATTTCGTCGGCATCAATGCGCCCAGCTCGGCTTCATTAGGGGAACTGGTCAAGGATGAAGCCAGTGGTGTCTTCTCCCGCTCTGGCCATACAGCTGTCCTCAGTGACGATGGAAGTAGGATCGTCATCTTGGGGGGTTGGGTTGGGGACGTTGATACCCCGGCTGAGCCACAGCTTGCCGTCCTCGACCTCGGGAACGGATATGACGACTGGACGTGGGACATCCCCAAGGAGCAACCCACAGATGGACTGTACGGCCATGGCTCCGCCATCTTGCCGGGGGACGTGATGGTCGTCTACGGAGGATGGACCATTGGCGGTGGCAAGAGCAAGAGAAGCGACAAAGGACTGACTTTCTTGAGCCTTGAGGACATGACCTGGTCGAACAGCTATACGAACCCAAACAGCGCCAGCGGAGGCAGCGACAACACTAAGGGCAGCAGCAGCAGCAATAACGATGGGGGCAACACAGCAGGCGGCAGTGAGGGAGAGTCCGACGCTGCGCCTGACAGCACCGACGATGGTTCAGGACCAAGAACCCTTGGTCTGGGCCTGGGTCTTGGCTTAGGACTGGGCCTCATCCTGATCGTGGCCCTTGTGCTCCTGGGCTGCCGTTACTGGCGGCGAAAGAAGAAGCGTGACAGCAGGGACTCGATGGTCCGAGGACTCGCAACGAACATGACGCCCCATGCGGAGATGTCCGAACAGGACGACTTCTTCTCCGTCTGGGGCCGAGGCAACTGGGACGCAGGGTCGATGCAGGATCCGTACAGCCTGGGACGCAAGAGCTTGGGATACGAGAGCTTACGGGGCCAACGAGCTGGTCTCCATGAGCCCAGTGCCATGCCACCACCGTTGCGAATACCAGGCAATACGAGGCCTTTGCGGACGGGGTATGCGCCTGCCCAGGGGAATCGCATCCACCCGATCCTCGAAGACGATGAGGACGCGGACTACCGGAATCCTCAGACACCCACGTCCGACGTGCTGACCGACCCATTCGCCACGCCAACTACCGCGCCTGTAACAGCAGCAGCAGCATACTCTCCTATGAGGGGACTAGCGACGCCTAGCCCAGAGGGGAGACGACGTCACGATCCTGATGTGCAGGATTGGGTGTCGGATGTGGACGCCTCTGACGGGCTGCTCGCCAGGATGGGAAGAGTTTCGCCCACGAGAAGGGACGACGACAGTCGAACGGGCAGCAATCTCAGTGAGGCATCGTCGATGCTGAAATTCACGCCTAACGGACGACGGCAGCAGGGACAGCACGAGAAGCCGGGGAGCTCAAGTGGCAGCTCGCTCAGCTACAATACTGCGCAGTCGCATGCCGCCTCGTTCAACATGCTGCAACGCGAGGGACCAGGTCTGCTGCTCGGCCACACGGGACCGACATCCCCCGCCTACGACGACGACGAGGCGCCTGGGTCGCCGTCCAAATCCAAGCCCCGACGCGGCTGGCTGGGCTCGCTGCGACGCGTGTTCAGCACGACGGACAGCGCCAGCTCTCGAGAGACGATCACGCCCTCGCCACAGTCGTGGCAGCACGACGACAGCCAGGGTTATTCGGAGGACCGCATGCCCGGACTGAGCGGCGAGCTTCTTAGGAGGAAGCAAGGTCGTCGCGACTGGGAGTTTGGGCACCCGCCTGAACAAGCACACGGAGGTGGTCCGGGGCAAGACGACGCAGGCCCCAGTGAGTGGGATATCGAGCGGGCGGCGGAGCAGCGCCTTGTGCAGGTCATGTTCACCGTACCCAAGGAGAGACTACGGGTGGTCAACAGGGCGGAGAATGACGGGATCAGCGAGAGGAGCGTGGTGAGTGTCATACCGCCGCACCAACCACCGTCGCCTCCGCCCCCGATGCCTGCCATTACGACCACGAGAGGGGAGGAGGACGACAAGATCAAGCGGGTGACGCTGAGTGACGGTGATGTCTTTGTGGACGATCACCATGATGGTGGTGATCTGGGTGTGCGTGAGAAGGACTATCTGATGCCCATCGATGCGAGGAGTGCCGGCGGGAAAAGCAGTCTGAGTTTGACGGACGATGGGGACAGTAGCTCACGGCGGCATAGCGCGGTCATTGAGACGGCGGAGACGATGACGATGGAGAGGCCCAAGCCTGCGTCCAAGGTGCTGAGGATGGTGCAGAGCATTGAATCGGCCAAGAGCCTGGGCTTGGCCAAGGATGCGTATGTAGAAGGATAAGGGCTGGATGATTTGGGGGGATAACACACTTGGGCACGGGTAGCATGGAGTTTGGTGGTTCTGTCTAATTGTCTCGGGTACGACAGATATATATATAGGTATATTTTTATGCGTGTATGTATGTACTATAGGTACGCAATGGGTATCTATCACGTCTTGTAGCCAAATCAGATATTGTATGCCCCTGTGTATGTCCGTCTAAACCATCAGCCGTTTGTTCCAGGCCAGTATGGCCTCGACGAGGCGCCGCCCGGGAAAGTCGAGGATCACAATGCCCGTTCTCGAGACGCCCTCGACCTTTTCAAAGTCGCGCAGCCACTGGCCCGTCATGTCGTTCATACCAACGACGGTCCTATTCATGGGCCCGGCGGCGGCCTCGATAGGCAGCACGCCCACCGAGGCAGAGACGTGCGCGAGGTGGAGCTTCTTGTTGTCGAGCGGCGCGGTGGCGGCGTCCATGAGTGCGTCGCGGATCGCCGTCCACTTGTCCGACAGGTGGTAGATGTCGGGGATGATCCAGTAGTCCTCCAGCACCATCTGGTCGCCCTCCCAGGCGAGGCCGTACGGCTTGGCGTTTTCCGTTTGGAAGTTCTGGAGCAGGAAGATGCGGGAGCGCAGCTCGCCCAGCGTCGGGATCGGGCGGATGCGGTCGTAGAGGTAGAGGTGCGACTGCGCGCCCTCGGCCGTCTCGGGGGACGAGTCGAGGTAGTAGTTGAACGTCTCCTCAAACGACCGCGTGTTGGCCTTGCCGATTGGTTTTCCCTCCTCCTTGAGCCGCATGACAATGGCCTCGCTGGGGTGTGCGTCCAGAAAGTCAAACATGGCCAGCAGGACCTCGTCGTACTCGAACCCCGTGAAGCCATTGGCGTGGTATATCCTCAGCTTGTTGTCCTCGAGCCGCGCGCGGATGTCAAAGTAGCGCAGGCCGCTCTCCAGCTGGGTCGTCAAGTTTGCGTTTTGGCACTGCAGCTTGATATTGTCCGTCATGTTGTAGGTCATGGTGTCGTGCGTGCCGGGGATGCTGAGGCTCGTAATGGGCGTCTCATCCGGGATGGAGGCCATCCAGTCCGCGTGCTGGACGCTCGAGGCATCGAAAGACCAGCTGCTGGCATAGCCGCGGTAGCAGGTGCCTGAGGGGATCATGCAGGGCGCGAGGGAGAGGAGGGTGTAGAAGAGCACCATGCAGAACGCCGTGGCTGTGAGGATGAAGGACGGCAGCCGGCGAGGTCGGAGGATTGCCGGGCGCGGGAGGCTGGGGAGCTTCTCGGGAAGACCCATGATGGATATATGTGGCGGGGGGCAACAAGACAAATACTGCGATCACATTGGGAGCACGATTCTCCTGGAAATGGAATGCTCAAGGTGGAAGCTCGCGGTTTGATGCAGTGGTCATGGTCCCATGGTTGTGCTTCAGGGTCCAGCTTGACGACGTCACAGCTGCGCGGCCGGCTCCGTGTTGCTATTGCAGCCTGTGATTGGTAGGGCATCCTGGTTACCCTAAGCCTCTTAATGGTGTCACAGCTGGTGTACCCTATCGCTGCCGGTGATAGGATATCATCGCCTCTTGGTGCTTCGTGTGAGTAGGTATTCTCTGTTTATTGATGAAAGCTGGTTTTGCTATTTATCTTGGGGAGACAACGATGGTGAGCGTTGGGTGTTTGTGCAGGCTGGACACACTCAACAAGCCTCTCAAAAGCAGGTACACATTCAAAAGTGCAAAGAAAAGGACATGTACATCCCACACAGGTTCAATTGAAACCACAGCAAATTAGGCGATGCCAAAGGAGCCAGGAGCACTGCATATCGAAGCACGCAAGGACTGAAAAGAACTCCGTATTCATCAATGTTGCAAATGAGCGAACCATGTGAGGTAACTTGTCTTCACTAAAGCACCTGATCACTCGCCTACCCGGTAGAGAGACCTCCAGCGAAGCCAACGCAGCAGCTTGTCCACGGAACCGAGGCTGGCAGCCAAACTCAACCATTGAACCTTATCACGAGGCGCAATCTAGACGCCGTTGAGCGATAGCATAATCTGCACAGTTCTGGCGTCCGTGTGGGCGTAGAGCTTTGGGTTGGCCAAGAGGTGGAGATGCCTCTTAGTCCGTCGAACACCGAAAAAAGTTCCCAAACTTCCCCAAGTGCATGCATCGTATGATTGTCCATCTCACTAGGCAACGCGGGGCTGAGCACAATGATTAAAACAATCATTCAACACCCCGCGTCGTCTGCAGGCATGTGCATCGGCGGAGAAGTAGAGAGCACCCTGACCAGTGACTACCACATCGCATGGTCGGTTTCGAGGACGAACTTCCATGCAATAAACGCATGAGGGGGCTTTGCGTCCAGGCAAAACTCAAAACAAAAAAAAGGTTCAAATACGTAAATGCAGGGCGGCAGCCTTCCTAGCGAGAGGGTTGCACGCTCAGCGGGAAATACGAGTTGAGCCTATTGCTGATCGTCACGAACCGCCTCCTCGTACCATTTCACCCGCTGCGTGGTGTGTTCCTCGTGAGCTTTTTGCCCGATGCCACTGTAATAAGTGTGCTCAGCAACCTCCATATCGTCTGGCCTGGCGTTGTTTTGGAGCTTCAGAGTCAATGAGGATCGCTGTATTCTCGCGTTCTACTAGTGTCGATGCTAGCGCACGAAGGCGCAAGCCCACCGACCTTCCTCTGACGATGGCTGGCCGAGCATCTAGTCTAATAAATCGTAAAAGACAGTAAGGACTCGGGGAGGATGGTGGGGATGCCCCCTCGCTTTCACCCTTTTGCCTTGCTAAGAAGTCTCGGCAGTAAAAAATCTTTCAGGTCGTTGACGTCGTGGTGGGGGACACTCCAGTCGCATTGGCATCTCGCACGCGCCGCAGCTCAGCGAAATGATACGAGGGTGGTTAGGGTCAGGATAAATCAAACACAGCCTGTGAGGAGCAAGCGGACAAGCCTGATAATCACATCAGTTGACCACCGGGAATACGCAACGCGGCATACGCCGTATTTCGAAGCAGTTCACTAAATGAACTCACACTACGTACGTACAGCATCAGCGAAGATGGCGCCTCCAGTCGCGTGGTGATCTCGTGGGCATGCGTGTCTCAGGAGTCAGGGCGATGAAAGAAAGTGACAGAGTGTGGCTGCGGGGGCTAGCACTATACTAAACTGCAATTGCCATCCACTGTTCATAATCGGGACACACTGCAGAATCTTTTGGGTGTCCGAGACAGCCGTAATATTGGTTGTGAGGAATTCGATCAGATCTCATGTCGGCACCAGCAGAAAATGCGTCCCAAACTTCACATGTGATGTTGTCGCATTGCACAGTCGCAAAACGTGGCACGATAGATGCAGTATTAGTTAGGTAGGAGGAGTTCGTACGTACGTAGTAGCCGCAATTGATAGACAAGAGTCCATCAACTCGAAACATATCGAGCACCGATCCTCCCGCCTGTGGACGTCGAGAGCGAGTCGTGGGTGCTGGAATGATTTCACTCTGCTGGGGCCGACAGATGAGCTTCATTTCGTTCCGAGGGAGGACATGGAGCCAGTGCAAGCCACACTCGAAACCCCGTAACACCCACCAATTTGTTTCCCATAACATCGCCGCGAGCGTGCCATGAACACTGTTTATATAAAAGTTGTCTACGTACCAAAAAGTCAACAAAGGGCCAATGATCCTGCACACGCGATCGAGTCGAGTCTCGCGTCTTGTGTACGGATGCTGGGAATTGTTGACCTCGTATTCTGCTTCGTACTGCGGGCCGCCGAGGCGCCAGTGGTGACAAGCGCCCAAGCTACGGAGCTTTTGGTGCAAACTCCAGGTGCTGCGCAGCTCCAGTCAGCGCTGTGCAGTGGTCTGCTGTCCGCGGCTCCACTCAGTTACTCGGGCCGTGCAGCTCACCAGATGGTGATGCATCCATTTCTGATCAAACCCGCAAGTGGCAGTTAGCGCAGAGCTTGATAGTACTTTGCACTGCGCACTATGTCCAGTGGGCTTCGAAGTACCCTCGAGGCACTCTATAACTCCTGGCCGGCACGTTTCTCTTCCGCCTGGGCAGCGTCTGTAACATCAACAACCGGAAGGAGCAAGCGATCGCCCAGGCCCTGTATGCGTACGGGGCCCTCCAGTCCAGCGATACTGGACGCTCTCTGTCTGTCTCTGCCAGGCGGCTCCATGTCGTCCAGTCCCAGCCCCAGCCCCAATCCAAACCGCCCTCGTCAACTTGGCCTCCTCTCTTCCTTCACCTCTCGATAGCCTCAATCGACCAGCGATCCTCGACGCCGGCTGCTGTTCTATTTTCCTTTCTTGGAGGACCTGGCTTGGCAACGCTCCTTTTTTCTTCTCTTTCTGTTCTGTACTTTTCGCACCTTCTCGATCTGCAGGAAGCCAGTCTGCCGTCCCAACAAAGCCCCCGAGGACGTTTTCAGAGCCATCAACACGCCACCACATTCCAGTCAGACCTCGTCTTCGAGTCTTCCCCTCCCGCCCGGCTCCTGCTTATTTTCAATCGAAACCGGCCGACAACACGGGAATAATCGATCCCCCCAGGCAACGTCCCTGGCCTCGCACACATTCCCACGCAGCCGTGGTATCCGCCCTTTGCCCCAGATTCAGTGCTTCGTTGCATACTGTTTCCGGGTCCTGGTCGTTGATCATCGTCCACGATTTACCAGGTTTGGGTTTCCACCATTGTCGGCAACGGTCGCGGAGGAGTCCCCAGAAACCGCTCGCGTCGGCACATCGCGAGGGGCTAACAGATTCAAGGTGGCTACCTATCGAACTGGACTTGCCCTCCCCCTGGCCACACCTCGGACTCATCCCACATCGACAGCCCTCTCACGCGACACAACTATCGGCATAAGGTTCAACCACCCTGATATGAGCTTGAAACAGGCCCGCTGTGCTACCCTGGCTTGTATCTAAGCGCATCTTCTTGGACACACCTTCCATCACATCAACATGGCCTCGCCGATATCGAGGAGAGCAGGCCTCGGGGTTCTGCTTTTCCTCGCAGCAACTCCGGCGCTCGTGAGCGCCTCTGTGCCACTCGATCTCTGCGCCTCGTTCAACTCGGGAACCACGGATGAATGTAGGTCACACTCATGATAGTCTCGAGTTGGGACACTGACTCTTCCCAGTCCGCGATGATTACCAAACGAACGGTCTTTGCTTCGATCACTGCAAAGAAAATTACGCCTTTGCTATCACCCAGCAAAATTCCTGCTGGTGTTCCGATTTCGCCCCGTCAGAAGACAGCCAAGTGAACCTGTCAAAGTGCAACCTGCCCTGTCCAGCATATCCCGCCGAGAACTGTGGTGGGCGTGGTCTGTATGGCTATGTCATACTCAACGGCAAGCTCCCAGAGGGGACACGTGGGCCTACGGAGTCGACGTCGACAACAACAACAACAACAGTAAGTCTTGCTGATTCTTGCCCTGCTTTGACATGATTCTGCTGGTCACGATTCCGCCATGACGACCCTACTACTGCCTGGTTGACAACACTGATTTACCGAATGCGGTCCTCATTCTATGCGCTCTGCCCTCGAACCGACGACGAAGCAAGTGCTTGCCCTCATCCCAATTGCCGTTCTTGTTGCGTCGGACAGCCAGTGTAGCTAAAGCCCCATGTGCAGTCTGAGGAACCCACATCGACAGAGAAAACCCAGGAGGAGTCGACATCGCAAGAGCCGAGCACTACGACCACGGCCACGTCAACCGAGGAAGAATCAACCACCACCACAACTGTATGGCCAATTTGCCTTGACGATGCATCTGTGATGGACTGTGATGTTGTCCAATTTGCGAGTGCCTTTACTGACATATCTTTGCCCAGACCAAGTCGAAAGCCGAATCAACAACGACGACTGAGACGGACACGGATGTCCCGCAGTCAACGACAATGACCCAGACCGTGACTACCGACGGCGAAGTGAGGACGGTCACTGTCATCCCTACAATAACCAGTGGCGGCGGCAACAGCGGGGAAAGCGCCAATGACTCGGCCGGGTCACAAAGCAAGAATGACGGCGGTGGTCTTGGCACGGGCGCCGTCGTTGGCATTGTGGTCGGTGTCATTGCTGCCGTTCTCATTGCAGCGGGAGCCATTCTGTTCTGGTTCTTCAAGCGCCGCAAGAGGAATCAGCAGAGTGATTACACCGAGGACCCGAGTGTGCGTGGCAACTCGTCGGATCGGGTGGGCTCCTCGCACCCTGAGATGAGCAAGGGCGCTGGCGCACTCTCAGGCGCCGGCAGCAACTCGCCTACTTCCACCAGCAACCGGAACAGCATGCTAGCTATCGATCCTCGCATGGATCCCTTTAAGCAAGGGCTGTACATGCGCAACGGCAGTCACGAGAGCATCAACACGCTGCGCGACGACCACGACTATTCGAGACGGATCCAATCGCCCAAGGTCCTCCGGGCGACAAACCCGGATCCCGATAACAATGGTTGATGGTCTCACACGCCGTGACAGATTTCTTTTCCGGGCCAATATTCTTCGGGGTCGTCTTGGAACATCAGACAAATGACGACGCGCACGAACTTTCATGCTGTCTACACTGGGAGTCGGGTTTCCAGTGGTTGGGATACTCTTTGCATTTTCGAGATACCACGATGGCGTTTGCATCTTCCGGCTACACACACACACCCACACACACACTCATCACATTACCGCTCATATTACATTGCACGTCAAGCCGTGCCCATGCGCGGCCTCGGCGCGTGAGAAGTAGGAGAAAAGTATCTGCGCCACACTTGCACATATCACTCCATCTTTTCGAGTCCCCGAGTGCGTCATTCATCACCATCGCTAGGCGCGGCAGAGATCAAGCAGTAGCAGCAGCAGCAATGATACAGCAGGAGATATAATACAGTTCGCTACGGCATGGAGAGAAGATGGGACGGGCGGATTCTTGTACATATATGGTTGACGATCCTGGTTTGAGCGTACGGTATATACACAGCACCATGGCACGAGGCGCCCAATATGAATTGCATTTTAAGATGATTGAACTTGTCACCGCGGCACACATGCAAGAGTTGTCAGAGTTACAAGAGTGGTCAACGTACATTATCATTCGCATCTCCTCGCCTTCCTACCCTAACGCCATTCTCATGCTGTACATGTCCGCAAAAAAAAAAAGAAGAGAAAAAGGAAAGAAATACGGGAGTAGAAAACGCCCCCTCCACATTGCATCGGACTCTCTGCTGTCTCCTCTGATCTCTCGCGTTTCATCCTCGCACATTGATAGTACACGTAGTGAGTATGGGTGGCACGCACTGCTGCCGCCGTCAGAAACGCTCATTCCCCATCCTCGTCTCGGGCCATCGTGGTTGTTGGTGCAATTTCCGCCCGGTCGTGTTTGTTGTAGCGTTCAACTCTTCCATAGCGGACAATTGCGTGCCCTAACGCCGTTGTCGTTTCTCGCGACTATGGTCACCGCCTCCACCGGGAGGGCCTTGGGGGGGTGGTATTTGTGGTGGCGGTGGCAGTCCCGAGCCATCGTCTGTCCTCCGTCGGCGACGATCGTCACCGCCTCGGCTGCGGCTGCCGTCGTCGTTGCGGTAGCGCCCTGAGCCAGAAGACGATGATGGCGGGAGCATGCCGTCCTTGAGTAGGCTGCCGCCGCCACTGGCTCCGTTTTGTCGACGAGACGACGAGTCGCGAGACTCGCTGCCGCCACCGGCGCCGGATCGTCTGCCTTCCCTCTCGCGGTATTCTCGGTGGTCCTTATGCTCCTTGTCACGCGCGGGGCTGCGCTCTCGCTCGCGGTCCCGGCTGCTGCGGCGGGATCGGTAGGATCTGTCGGACCTGTCCCTGTCCCGGTTGTCGCGACGGTCGCGGCTGTCGTGGCTGCCGCTGCCGCTGCCTTCATCGAAGCCGCCGTTGGGGGGTTTGCTTCCCAGCATAGGGTCGGCACGCTCGTGACCTGGCGTCGTGACGGGCGAGCCTCCCGTGAGGACCTGCACATCCGAGTTGGCCAGCATGGTGCGTGGCTGGCCTCGACGAGGGCCGTTGCCTGCGTTGCCGCCTCCAACACCACCGCCGACGCTGGGGCTGTTGGCCTGCAGTACGTTGTTGATGCCAGCGAGCTGCCTCGTGCCTTGTCTGGCATTGTTGTTGTTCGGTGGTCGATCCCTCGAAGAGTTGTCGGCAGCAGCAGCGGCAGCTGCAGCGTGCGCATTGGCACGAGGGTCACTCCTGGGGCGATCTGGGGCATCTGCAGTCGGGCCTTGCGGTGTAGGGCCAGGTCCAGCTGACGGTGAGGCCGGTGCTCCTCGTCCGGAGTTGCCAAGCTGGGCCAGACGTTCAGGATGGACCCCACCGCCGGACGGAGCGTCGTTCATGTTCCTTGATCGGTCATTGTGATGCGAGTGACCGCCCCCGGGTCCCATAGGCGGCTGATTGGGCGGACCAGGGGGAGGAGGTCCGTCGTTGCGTCGCCCACCACCGTGTCCACCAGGCCCATGAGAATGCGTGCGTCCGGATGCAGGCCCCGTAGGCGGCTGTCGCTCTGGCGCTTGTTGCGCGCTGTCCTGCTGTGAATGCGGTCGCGGCGGTAGGGCTCCAGACGAGGAATGGGCCCCATAGCGCTGGTCAGCTCCAGGCGCGCTGGGAGAAGGCAGAGGGGGTGCGTGTCCGTGACCCTGAGGACCAAGATGTCCGCCCCTAGCACCACGTCCGCGACTCCTAGGGCCGGAGGGAATGTCTGGGGTCGACTGGACGGGGTTGAGTCGCCCGTAGTTGGAGTCTTCGTGGGCGCGAGGGTCAAAGTTCTGACGCATAGTGTCCGGTCCACTGGGAAAAGGTCGATCTCGAGGACCGGGGGATCGCTCTCGGCCGCCACGAGCAGGCGGACGCCTATCATACGGTTGATCGAGCTGGCCAGGGCCGCCCCGTCGTGGGGAGTGCGTCCTTCCACCTCTGTCTCTCACGTCATCTCGGGCAGGCCGGGATGGTGTACCACTGGCATCAGCAGCTGGGCCGCCCAACAGGGCTGCGCGGTCGGGGTTGATGTGCTCTGGTGTCTCTGCCGGCCCGGGACGGCGTCCACGACTCGGCTTTTCCGAGTCACTGACACCGCGAGGTCCGGGAGCAGAGCCGGGCGCATCGTGACGCAGCAGTGCCGCACGCTCAGGGTTGATGGGCAAGTCGGGATTTTGAGGTGTTGGCAATTGATGAGCGGACGGTGGTCGCTCAGGAGGCAACTCACTCACCCTGCCACCACCACGGCCTTCACGTAGAGGTCGATCGCGCTCCTGGCCGGGAACGGGTCGTGGCCCATGATGAGATTCGCGGGGGTCGAGGCCACGTCGATCCGGTGGCTGGCTCATGTTATGCTCCGCCCAGTCCTTCTCCTGACGCCAGTTGTCACGCGGATCGTGGCGGTGTTCGCGAGTGTCGCGTACGTCACGAGGCCCTCGCGAATCTGAACGAGGGTCCCGAGCAGGAAGTCCTTCACGTGGGGAGCTGCGCGCGTCAAGCCCTTCGCGGCCACCTCGAGCATCCCGAGGCTCTCTAGTCTCCCTAGGGTCACGTCGGTCGCCTGGACGAGCAGGTGCGTGAGCGAATCGATCACTGCTGTTGGGGTGAGCGGGTATCGGGACATCGGGTCGGGTGGGCAGATGGTGAATGGGGCGATTCGGCAGGTTCCCAGGTCTGTTATTATCGTTCCTGGATGTCGAAGAGCGTGAGGTATTGGACGAGGCAACGTCTCTCTTTGGTGTATCTCGCCCATGGGCAGGCGAGGGCTTTGACGGGAGCGAGTCGGTGTTGGACTTGGATGGTTGAGTCGAGCTGTCTGCGCCTCTTGTCTTCGCGGCATCAGCCACCTCGCCATCTTCCGCTTCGTTGCCGCCGCCAGTCCTCCTGGTGTCGGCGCTTGTTGGCTTGAATTCGGCTGCTGCCGCGTTCAAGCTACCCTTGTCTTCGGACCTTTGGCCGCCTCCCACCTGGTCTGTGTTAATCGAGCGATCCGTGGACTGCGTCGGAGATGTACGTACCGAATTAGGGCGGAAGGCCTGAACCATCATCCACTTGGGTTTCCGCCGCATGAGTTCAGACAATGTACCTTGGGCGGCCACAGACAAGTCCACCCGGTGGGCTGCCTCCTCGTCGCCGGATGACTTGGACGAGGCACCCTCCCTCTCGTGGATGGTCTCGAGCTGCTTCATAAACTGCTTGGCCTGGAAGTCAATGGCAGGGAAGAAGTCAATGACGCGGTTGAGCACAGTCAGTGCGTTGCGGATGTGCATCCACTCCATGCCGCCCAGGCAGCTCTTGAGAGCCGTGTTGAGATTCCTGTGCCACTTGAAGAGCATGTCCTGGAACTGTGCGTGCTCGACAAACGTGCTGGGCTTGCCATTCTCGTCGACTGTCAGTGCGAAGCCAAGCTTGGGCTGCTCCGCCGGCCCCTTGGCTTCCCGCTCGTAGACGCCAAGCTTTGGGTGATCCTTGCTGGCCTTCTCGGTTGGCAGAGGGGCATTCTTGTGCCACAGCGATAGATTCTCCAGGATGAGCGAGAGGAAGCGTCCGACATTCTCGGCTTCCCGGACAGATGTGGCGAAGATCAGGGCGCGGAGACGATTTGCATTGAAAAGCCGGTCGTAGAGCGTCATGAGCTTGAAGCCAGGCGCGTTGCACTCGTGCATCATCCTGATGAAACGATAGGTATACTCAGCATCGGCCGGGGAGACAACCACACGGGGTAGAAAGCAGCTTTCGAGCAGCTCGTCCGCAATCGCCTCTGGGCTTGGCTTGGGGTCAGGAAACGCCGACTGAAAGTGCTTGGAGAGGTAGAACTTCCACCGACCCTGACGCAACGCGTGCTCCTGACGTTCCTCGTGCAAGCCAATCTGGAAATTCATAAGTTCCTTTCTCTTGGCAAGCCTGCGGTCCATCACACGGCGATTTGTCATGTCCGTTCGATCTTGGGCCAGAGCCTTCTCGGTCTGCTCGACGTGCTTGGCCTCTTGGCGGTAGATGTGGTCCGGGCAGTACAGATCACCCAACTGGAGTGCCCAGAACGTGACGAAGAGGTCGGGCGTGATCTTCTCCCAGACGTCAGCAGGCAAAATGTCCCTGATGGACTCAGCGATGGGGGTGAGAACAGCGCCATCGAGGGACGGCTCGTCGGTCTTTTGAACCTCTGTCGCCGTCGTCTCCTGGCCCGCCTCTTTCGCAGATCCTGCCTCGACCATCTTCGCGTCCCCATCCTGGTCTTTTGCGGCGTCCTCCTTCTCCTGTGTCTCCTTTGACTTCCAAGGGAACATTCGGTGCGAGAGGCTGCTCCTTCCAATGTGGAACGCCAAACTGGCGTCCAGTCCAAACGTCCTCATGAGGTCCAGTATCGAAGGGACAAGTTTGTCAAAGGTGGCTGGATCAACGTTGCTCCAGAGGAAGTCGACGTACTGGTACAGAATCTTGTGCGAGTCGTCCACAATCGTCGACAGATACTTGATATGCGCCTCGTCCTCATCGATCTGGAACGGACGCGCTTGTCTGAACTGCGCGAGGTTGGTGAGGATTTGGGATGCTAGTTCGGTCTCCGTCAAGGCCTGGATCAGGCGCTTGGAGCTCCGGGCGTTGTCGTAGCGCAGGTCGCCCGACTTGACGAGGGTTTGCTTGCGGAGGTACTCGCCACCCGCCATGCCGAGGATCTGGTCGTACGAGAAGTCGGACGCGTCGACAATGCCGCCCATGGAGGAGAGGAACTCCTTCAGAATGACCAGGTCTGTCGAATTACCAAGCGACAGCTGCTCATCGACGTAGCTGAGCACTGGCACGGGTGTGAGGTTCGAATAGCGGCGGTATACCTTGCCGACGAAGCGCGACAAGGCCGAGAGCCACTTGCTGGTAGTCAGGGCGTGCTCGGCCTGTGTGCGGCTGCGGGGCTTGCCGAGGGAGCTCAACAGAGACCAGATCAGTACGTCGTACGACAGGTCCGTAAAGTACTTGGCGCACTCAACAAACGCCTCGATCAGATTCGGGTACGACTCCAACTGGCCAAAGGCGACGGTGAAGACGACGCCGGGTGAGGAGTAGGAGGTTTTGGCCAGGCGCTTGGCCATCTCGCTCAGGTTGGTCAGCGAGACACGCTTCATGGTAGCTCGCGTCTCCGCCCTGGCGCGCTCAAAGGCTGTCTTCATGCTGGGCAAGCGGGAGGTCTGGCCTTCAAACCACTCGGCGTACAGGGCGTAGCGAGTGGTGGTGTCGAAACGCTTCAAGAGGGTCCAGATAGCATCCACCACCGAGGCGTTCGCGTGGGTGTGGCTGAGCGCTGGTAGGAGGAGGCGTTTCAAGAGTTCCCTCCATCGTGTCTTGTTCGACTCCGAGGGGTCAACATGCAAACTCTTGGCGCCAATTGTGGCCAGCTTGCCGAGAAGGGCAGCGTCCTTGCCAATGTTGACGCCGGAGAAGTTGAGGAAGGACTCGCAGAGCGTGAAGATGTCGTCGACGGTTTGGCAAACGGGTATGTTGTCGGTCCATTCATCCCAGTAGTAGTGGTAATCCTGGTTGTCGCCATGGTCGTTCTTGTCCGGCGTCGGCCACTTGAGGGTCTTCTTGATGGTCATCGGGCTGACCTTGACGCTCCCCTTGGGCACGCCTGTTTGGTCGTAGTCTGGCATATTCTTGACGGGACATGTGGCCGACGTCGAGAGTTTGGGCTTTGACTCTTCAAAGACCTTGCTCACACAGACATGCAAAATACGATGGATGCCATCGAGCACGTCTGGATATGCTTCGGGTATCCAGGGGAAACGACCAAGGATAAAAGTGGCTTCTGGCAGTGCGCCGATGGTGAGGAGTTGGATGAGCAGAGACACCTTTTGCTCGTGAGGTTCGTCCTTTTTCGCCTCCTCAGGCTCCTTCTTCGTCGTCTGCGTCTTGTCGGGCTCATTTTTGCCTGCTGGCAGCCGGCGAGGGGGGGCATGTGGATTCTCGTCCTCGTCGTTGGTCAGCGCACCAGCCATCAGCAAGGCATTCATAGAGCCTCCGCGCGCCTTGCGCTCGGCCTCCTCCACCTCCTTCATCTTGGCCTCTCGAACCTTCTCCATGCCTTCGTCAGGTGGTGATAGGTGGGGGTAGAGATCGGGGAACGAAACGAATCCAATCTTGATGAGGAGCGCGGCAAGGTAGAGTAGGTTGGCAGGCAGTACGTCGGTAGGGTTGCGGTTTGGCGAGTAGTAGAAGAGCAGCTTGAATCCGAGAAGGTTGGCGGCGACGTAGTTGCCATGGGGCGGGATTGTCTTTGTGATCTCGACCCATGCTTTCCGCGCAGCGACGACGGCATCATCGCCATCCTTGCTTTGCCAGGCATCGCTGTCTGGTTGAGAAACACGTCGGCCGCCGATTTCGAAAAAGGCCTCGGTTCGCACCTCGCGCGCTCTGTCCCAGAAGCTGACATCCCGAAGCAGGCGCTTGGCGCTGTTGTCTGCCTCGTCCTCATCCGAGGTGAACCACGCTGGGTAGCCAGGTGTGGCCCACGTAGGCAGGCCGCCGATGAAAGCGTCGTTCCCTTCGACGAGACCCCCCTTGGGCCACCAGGAGCTGTCGTGCAGGAGCCTGACGAAGAACTTGAACTGCTTGACGAGCATAACGGCAAACACGTCCAAGGTCACATCCAGTGTGCGGCCCACGTCAATGTCAAATGTGCCCACGAGGGCCTTGATGCGCTCAAAGGTCTCCTTGGGCACGTCCGTGCTGAAGTTGTCGCTCGTCATGTGCAACTCTGTGATGAGCTTGGCGTAGCCTTCCGACTCCTCGCGAAGCAGGTTGTAGTTGGCCTGGCGGTAGAGATAGTTGGTCGCATGCTTGACGCCCGTCCTATCGAATTGATTCCGCACAAGACCTAGTTGCGAGAGGACGGTTCCTTCCAGCACGCGCCGCGCCAAGTCGACCGAGATGCCCGTTTCCTCGAGAAAGACACCAAGGGTGGGCACGAACCTGCCCGCGCCGACATCGAGGATGAGCTGAAGCAGGTCGAGAAGAAGATTATGTGGTGAGAACACGGGTTCCTTAGACGGGTTGGCCTCACCCAACATCTCCCTGACACAGCGCCCAGCCTCTGTCGGCGGCATGCGCCCCTCCATGACCGAGTATATGAATTCCTGGAAAAGCACCGAGAGCTCTGCTGTGTCCTGGTCGTCTCGAGACTGGCAGCCGTGGCTGACAATCTGATTTCGTGAGCCGTCGGTCCAGCTCTTGAGCTTTTCGTCTGTGAGGTGTTCGTATCGGCGGTCGAAAAGGGCAGGGTTCGTGGATGCTGGCGTGGGTGGCTGCATTGTGGTCGTCGTGGGCGTCGTGAAAGATTTGGGAGGTGCTTGTGTCGTAGCTGGCGTCGTAGGGGGGCCACCGTTGTGCGCGTTCGATTCTCTGCGTGAAGGCGACGGGCTTGGCTGCGTCTGGTTCCTACCGCTCTGACTAGCCGAAGAGTCTCGACGATGGAAGCTGTTGTTCCTGTGGCCTCCCCCGCGACCGCGACCCCGGTTGCCAGCGTCCCGATCATGCTGAGCAAGGGACGTGTCACCTGGGCGGTGCGGCGAGGGTCGCCCACCCTCCGGGGGAGCGGGTTCGGGGCGCTTGCGCTTCTGAGGCATGGCTCAGGAAGAGTCGCTAATGGCAATTATGGTGCGTGTATCATTTGAAGGCTGTTTTTCTGTGCACGGGAAGCTGAAGTGGTGATCAGCAGCGGGTCCTCAAACGGTCGAACAGAGCGGGTTGCGACAAACATCGTGGGCGGGCTTCTCGAATCAGAGTCGCAGCTGCTCTTGAGCTGTAGTAGATGGAGCACAGGATTGGAGCCGTCCAGAACGCTTTGTAGGTTCTTCCTTGCGCTGGCGTTGATTGCACGTAGTCGTGAAGGGAGCGGTAGAGCTGTGTACGAGAGCTCGTGATTGGAGACAAAGAGAAAAGCTCAGGCCAGCGCGGCTCGATGTGAATGGAGGACTTCGCAAGGGCGCTCGAGCAAAGTCAACGCTGACGCGATTCAGCAGTCGCTCTCGACACTGCAGAGGCGGAGAGAGGAAGAATGGGCGATGGTCGCGTCGCTGTGCGGGAAACTGGAGCGAGCATGCGATGAACTCCAATCGTCCGCTTGTCTGTCTGTCAGGCAAAATTGACAGGCGACGAACGAGCGTCGCGAATTCACGTTGGGGACCGATTACGTAAGGCCTGGCGGTGTGCCTGTTTGTCTGCGAATTAAGGCAGCCAGCCAGCGACAGCAAATCTTGCATTAATTGTGTCTGCATCTGGCAAATAATAGCTTAAGGCTCACCGAACACACCTTTTGGGACAGTCACACACACCAGACTTTCAGATTGTTGATGATTCACATCATCGTCCATGTCCACACTCTGATCCTCGCCTCACTTGGCCCTGTGGCTTGACGTGCGAGAGCAGGCGGTCCCTGTGGCTGCAGAGGCGATTTCTGATTGGGCGCTGAGTCACTGGGTCCTCCGAAATCCGCTGCTTCCACGATCACGACATCGACATGAACGTGGAGGAGACATTTTCACGCCTGTGGTATTTGATACCTGGACCATTCGGATATTCCAAACGTCGAGCTCCCCTCGAATCTAATCAATTGGATATTTTGAGACACCGTTATTTCGGTCATATTTGAAGAGACACTGTTCTTGGAGGCACTCATCACGCAGTGGCCTCTTCCTGCATCCAACTGCCTCGCTGAGGCCTTACTCACATTCGACGCTTATCAGCCTTTCTCCCAAGACATCCGTCCACCATGTCTTCACAGTCACAACCCCCCGCAGACGTCTCGCAAGGGACATCTACGCATCGTTACGGTCAGTACGCCCCCCAAAACCCCAAAGTCATTGGCTGCCGACATCGGCTGCCTGGATATGCCCCAAGCACGGTGACTGAATACCAGGAAGAAAGAACGCACAAGCAGCCTGAGAACCCGTTTGCTGCGCTCATTCCGGAGCAGCAGTTTGCCATCATACCCGAGTTCACGCTCGAGTCGGGCATTGTGTTGAAGAACGTGCCAGTCGCGTACACCGTACGAGGCACGCTCAACGCCAATGGCGACAATGCCATGGTCATCTGCCATGCGTTGACTGGCAGCGCCGATGTCAGCGACTGGTGGGGGCCCCTTCTGGGCGGACCTGGGCAGGCCTTTGACGAGACGCGCTTCTTCATTGTCTGCATGAACAGCCTGGGCAGCCCGTACGGCTCAGCGAGTCCGGTCACGGCAAAGGACGGCAATCCAGAGAATGGACACTATGGGCCCGAGTTTCCTCTGACGACGATCCGCGACGATGTCAAGTAAGTCATCAACGGCTAGGACCTGTATGTGTGCATGCGGGCTAATCTTCAAAAGCCTCCACAAAATGCTGCTGGACGATCTCGGCGTGAAGCAAGTTGCCGCCGTCATTGGAGGATCGCTGGGCGGCATGTTTGTGCTCGAGTGGGCGTACTTTGGCAAAGACTACATCCGGTGTATTGTGCCCATTGCCACGTCGAGCAGACACAGCGCATGGGGCATCAGCTGGGGTGAGGCGCAGCGCCAGAGCATCTACGCGGACCCCAAGTACGACGACGGCTACTACGCCTTTGACGATCCGCCGTCGACTGGGCTGGGTGCCGCGCGCATGTCGGCGCTGTTGACATACAGGAGCCGCAACTCGTTCGAGTCGCGCTTTGGGCGGAATATCCCAGACCCAGCCAAGGTGCAGACCATCAGCGGACGGGGGCGACCAGCGACGCCTGGCGAGGCGCACTTTCACATCCACAATGACGGCCACATTGTGAAGCGCTCGTCCATTTCGCGCACCAACAGCGAGAGCACGATTGGCAAGGGCGCGGCGCTCATTGAGCAGACCGTGTCGGCAGACCCCCAGTTCCGCGGACCCGCGTCGTCCAACGGAGGTCTGACGGGGGACGACGCCACGATGCCGACGTCGACCTACTTCTCGGCGCAGTCGTACCTCCGGTACCAGGGGACCAAGTTTGTCAAGCGGTTCGACAGCAACTGCTACATTGCCATGACGCGCAAGCTGGACACGCACGACGTGTCGCGCAACCGGGCGGCGACGATTGGCGAGGCGCTGGCGCAGATTGAGCAGCCGACGCTGGTGCTGGGGATCGAGAGCGACGGGCTGTTCACGTTTGCGGAGCAGCAGGAGATTGCCGAGCACGTGAGGGATGCGCGTCTGGAGCGCATCGAGAGCCCCGAGGGCCACGACGCGTTCCTGCTGCAATTTGAGCAGGTCAACCGGTACGTGCTGGGCTTTCTGAAGGAGGTGCTGCCGGACATTATGGGCAAGGAGGGCGTGACGCCCGAGGCGGTGTCGGTGGGCAAGCTCACAAAGTCGAGCACGTTTGGCGAGGCCGAGGTGGAGGACATAACAGCGTGGTGATAGTACTTGCAGCGAATAATTACATATTCAATCTATGTATTAGGGTCAGTAGACTCTTTTTGACTTGACTATCGAAGTCCCACGACTCCTGTTACGTGGTGTCCTTCTCGGACCGAAGGCAGTTCGCCGAATCAAGTGGGTCATCGGGTTGTCGAGTCCGGCGGGTCCCCGACTTCCGGGTCCCCGACTCCCCGGGTCGCCGAACTAATAAGTAAGATCAGTTGCCGTCCATAATTATGTAGACTGCCCTCGGATGCATCGCCAGGGACTGGGAGCTATCGATGTGACTGATGAATTTCCCGTTTCCCAAACAGAGCAAAAAAGCGTTATAGACTGTTGGACCCCCTAGTCCACCCTCTTTCCGTCGCTATACGCAACATACAAGGTTCACGGCCGTCTGTCTCCTGTAGTTTGCTGCACGCCTGTAAGTCTACACACCGCTGAGCGTAGGATGGCAATTGGCATTGACAAAACTAGCCCTGCTCACATTGACCGAGATGGGGGCTCGCGTGCCATCACTTACTTCGCCAATGAAGGCATCCATGAAGAACGGTGCCCGCCAGTATCTTGCGGCAGAACTCAAGGTCGACTTCCTCCTCGAGATACAACTGCTTCTCCTTACGTTCAGCACCGGCATCCAGGACGCCATTAGCTACCCCGACTTCCAGTGCTTCGCCTCCAACCAGACGGGCAACTCGGTAGTTCTCGCCGTAGGCCTCGCAGGCCACGCCGGAAACCTCTTCAGCCTCGGCAATGTCGGCCTCAGCCTCGGCATGTTCATAGCGGGCGCAATCATCACCGGTCAGATCGCCAATGCCGTCGGGCCTCGAGGGCGGGCATGGCTGGTGCTCAGTAACCTGGCGCAGACTCTCATGATATTTGGCGCCGCCGCGATCCAAGCCGTGACGCACGCTCGAGGAACGGGCCCCTCGGCCATGGGGTCGCTGACCCTGCTTGCTTTTGCGTCTGGCGCCCAGGTTGCCGCCATGCGGCCCTTTAGGATCCAGGAGATTACCACGGCGATGGCTACCGCAGCGTGGGTTGATCTCGTGATTGACCCCAAGTTGCTGGGTTTGAGAAACCGCCCTAGAGACCGGCGTCTGGGGTTTCTCGTTGCTTTGGTCGCTGGAAGTTTCGCTGGTGCGTATATGCGGACCGGCATCGGTTCCTCGAATGCACTGATCGTTTCGGCTTCGGGGAAAATGCTCGTCACTTTGTTGTTATTGCTAAATCGTCAGGAGCAACCTGCTCCTTAGTCTTGTATGCGAGACGATACATGTATAAACCCCACCACTTTGCCCGTAGCCTCTCAAGAAGTTAAGAACATACCGCTCTGTAGAACTTTCGGTGCAATTCCATGAAAGCAAGTATGCACACAGTGTGCCAAATCCCACGAATCATCGCTTCCAGCCCTTCGGGCCTGCCCACGTTCCCTCCACCATGAATTTGTAGTAGACCCAGGGGAAGAAGTCCTTCTTCAGGTGATAGAAAGCCCTCCTCGGGGTTCCTTGGTCCACAAAGGTGCCAAAGGTCTCGTGCGGCGTGCCTCCATACTTGAACTCTGCTAACATGACTTTGCCATACTCGGTCAGGAGCGGGCACGACGTGTAGCCGTTGTACACAGCCTGCAAAGGCCTCTTATCGAGCGAGCTCAGGAGGTTCGAAACAAGAACGGGTGCCTGCGCAGTGATTGCTGCCGCCGTTTTGGATGTCGGCAGCCCCGAGGCATCGCCAGCAGACCAGACGTTGCCGTAGGTGTTATGCTGCAGAGTAGCCTGATCAATATCAACAAAGCCTGACTCGTTCGCTAGTGAGCTAGCTTTGACGAAATCATATGGCTTCATCTTAGGCACGGCGTGCAGAAGGTCGAAATGCTTCTCTACTAGAGATCCATCTGGCTTGGCTAGAGTGGCAGTGTTCCCGTTGATGCCAACAAGGTCGTGCTCAAAAAGGCCGTCGACAGCTCGTTGCTCCCTCAACTCGTTGAGTCTTTGGCTGTATTTGGGGACGCCAAACATGACGGGCATCGCGGTGGCAAAGGTGATCTGAGTGTCGGACTTGGAGGGGTCACCCGGGTTGTAGAGACCAGCACGCCGCCAACCATCCAGTGCAAGCCACATGATCTTCTGAGGGGCGCCGGCACACTTGACAACCCCAGCGGGATGAGTGAATATCGCCTTGCCCTTCTTGAAGCTTGCAATGTTGCGGGCCGTCTTGTCGCATGTGTCGTAGCTGTAGATGGACGAAACCGGCGAATGTGGATCGTGTACGGCCTCATCCAGGCCTTTGATGCTTTTGAAGTCGACCTTGATCCCTGGGCAGACGACGAGCTGGTCGTAGGTGATTCGATGGCCATTGATGAGGTCGATTGTGTTTTGCTCGGGGGTGAAGTTCGAGACGCCTTGCGCATAGAGGCTGATCTTGGGATCCACAAGAGACGAGAGCCGTGCTCGCAGCTGTCGTTTGTCCTTGAGGCCGCCTCCGACCAAGGTCCACCCTGGCTGATAGTGATGCCACTCGTTTGGATCGACAATGGCAATGTCTTGGGCCCGGAAGGCACCTGTGCGCAGCAACTGGTGTCCTATAGTTAGGCCAGCGCTGCCGCCGCCAACTATTGCCACTTTGTGGCTTCGAGATGCCACGCTGGCAGAGTGTGATGCGGATAGGGTCGCAAGGTCTCGGGAGCCTGATTTCACACAGGTATGGGCGCCTAGCCGAAGAGCCTGGAGCATCGCCATGTCGGGTCAAGTGATGAGGTGGTCGTAGGGTGCTGCAAAAGACGGCAAGTAGTGCAGGCAGGGTTTGTTGGTTTGCACGAGGTGATGTTCAGGGCCTCGAAACTCTACTCGTTGATTCTGGAAATTAAAGCTCGAATATCATCATTTTGGTGTCATTCCAACGTATTGTGACCGGGGACGGGGGTTTCCGGGAATTGCTTCGGCGAGGTCGAGCACGGTCTGGGGCTTGGATGCCGAACACCACTGCAGTTCCCCGAAGCAGCTGCTACTTGACGTGTACTGCCACAGAGTTTCTACATTCCAACGCCAATACGAGTATTTAGCATGTTGCGGCCCGCTCTGCTCGTCTCAACTAATATCTGCCATTGTCTACATACGGAGCCTTCCCAGCTGCTACAAACACAACCACGACACTATGACACGGACCCTGCTCCTCCGCGCCAGACCTACCACACCTGCACGCAAGATCATCTCTACAAAGTGTTTACAATGTTCAATTCCCTCTGCGCGAGCAATTCATGTCAGCACAGGCAGCACTGCGCCAGTTGTTTCCAGAACTCCTTGCATGGCAAGTGGTTCCACCATGGCAGCTACTGGCCAGCTTAATGACAGGAGGGCGATCGAGTCAGCACGCTCAACTCAGTGTCACAACTGCTTCGGCAACAACAGCACAATCCAGCGTCGGAACCTTGCAACAGCCCCCACGATGATGCCGGAGCCCAAGGTGCACGAGCTCTTCGAGCCTGTCACTGGTTCGTGGCAGTACGTGGTCGCAGACCCTACCTCGTCCAGCGCAGTCATCATCGACCCGGTCCTGAACTACGACGCCGCCAAAGGCGTCATCTCGACCCAGTCAGCAGACGAGCTGATCAAGATTGTGACCGACAAGGGCTACAAGGTCGAGATGATCCTAGAAACTCACATCCACGCCGACCACATCACCGCAGCGTCATACATTCAGGCGACACTTGCCAAGGACCAGGACTACAAGCCACTGGTCGGTATCGGCGGTCGCATCCGAAATACGCAAAAGATGTTTGGTGAGCGATACGGCATAGCGGCCAGCGAGTACGAGAACGTGTTTGACCGCATGTGGGAGGACGACGAGGCCTTCAGCATCGGCTCCCTGACTGTCCGTGCCATCCACCTCCCCGGACACACGCCTGACCACATGGGCTACAAGATTGGCGGTAAGCCAGATTCCCTTTGGCGCTCCCGTACTACGTATGCAGAAAAGAGCCCTTGCTGATGGTGGAATTTCTTCTTCTTCTAAAAAACAGGCAACGTCTTTGTTGGAGACTCCATCTTTCACGTGGACATTGGTTCTGCCCGTGCTGACTTCCCAGGAGGAAGCGCGGAAGCGGTCTACAACTCGGGGCGGAAGCTCCTGGCTCTGCCCGACGAGACCAAGGTCTGGGTGGGACACGACTACCCGCCAGACGGACGACGGGCGCCCGTGCCGTTCGTGACTGTCAAACAGCACAGGGAGGAGAACAAGCACCTGAAGGACGGGACCCACGAGGCCGAGTTTGTCGAGACGCGCCGCAAGCGGGATGCCACGCTCGCTGCACCGCGCCTGATCCATCCGTCGCTGCAGATGAACATCCGGGGCGGGCGACTCCCTGCGCCGACGGCGTCGGGGCTTCGAATGGTGCATCTCCCTTTGCAGGTGCCCGACTCGCCATGGTGAGGACTGGAAGATGGTCTACAGAAACACAAGGGCAAACAAAGCGTCTGTCTGCCAATGTCTCAATGCTTGGTGCTGTATCTATTCTCGTGCCGTGTCATTATAGTCTCAAGTTCACCTAAGACAAGGTTTCCCAGTACTTTGTGCTTTTGCGTGTCGCTCTTCTGCCGGTCAGGGTTCTCCGGTTGTCTTGCTCCGTGCTCGGCGACCTCGGGCTCGGGGACCACCGTCGACAGACCAAGGTCGCGGCGATGCCGCAGTGGGTACGTATCCCCGGTCCCCGGTCCCCGATTGCCGGTCCCCGATCCCCGACAGCACTCTCCGAGCCCCAAATGCCAACGGATCATCGACGGGCTCGCCCAACGGTCCAAGGTGTTCCTGGCGTCCATCAGCCCATGGACGCTTCGTGATGTCAATGTTGCGGATGGTGGAGCAGTCTATGGCAACCGCTTCTAGCTTTGGCAGGCCCTTGGGCTGTGTCCTGCCTCAAGAGGCCGGGGCGGCATGTTGGTATACACGTGACTCTGCGGGAGGATGAGACCTATGAAATCCGGGCTCAGGGTCGGTGGCCCTGCGTACACAAAGCCTGATGATCAGGTTAGTCCGCTGCAGTCGTTCAAGATTCACTGCTCAGGATCCAGCGGCGTGCTGCCGGGGTTCTTCAGTGTCTGGATCAACACTCTGTAAGGCTCCTATCGCGTGTTGATGTCCGGAATGCCCAGCAGCACAGGGAGCTGCGTGCACATCATGGTGAGGCTGGCCGCCGTGATGAATTCCGAGACGGCAGGGGATGTAAGGAATGACCTCTACGAGCCACCCCAGGCGCAGTAAGCTAATGGCGAATGGGATCAGTCCGGTCATGAAGGGAAGAGACTTTGCGACTTCCACGCTCGTGTAGACACCCGGGCGAGCCTCGCGCACGTGAGCAATGATGCAAAAGATCATGCAGTCCGAAGCCGGCGTCTCAGACAAAAGCGACCTGAAGGCAACGGGGCCAGTCGACTGAGCACCGCCCTCCGTTCGGAAGCATCGCGTTATGGTTGATCAGATCCTGCAGCCACTCATCTTCCATCGGAGAGGGCGCTAGTCGTCGAGCGACGACGTGAAACAAGCGTCCGATGTGAAGATGAACATCAGAAGAGAGCGAGAATGATCATTCACTATCTGAAGAAGATGCTGATGCTAAGTAAAGACATGAGGAAGAACGCGATAGCGCGAAGATGCTGCCCTTTGAAGGCAGCTGTGGGCCGAATGTGCAGCCTGACTAAGCAGGGCAGTCACTGGCCTGCCAGCCAGGGCCGCCAGGCCACCCACCAATCACGAGACGCAGCCGACGCACGCTCCACGGCGTTTGTCGGCCCAGCGGCCCAGCGGACGGCAATGCCTGTCAAGCCTCAAGCCATGCGCCGAGCCGCCGCAGTGGCTCCAGTGCTGTCCATGTGCCATTCCCGATCGAGGAGGAAGCCAGCTCAAGCTGCTCAACAGCCGGGCTTCCATTCGTCTTCCATTTGAGGGCTTGGATGGTGAATGCTGCCCCCCCCCTTGACTCTGCTTCTTGTCGCTCGCACCATGAACCCGACTGGACTCTGACCCTCTGTCTCACCAGTATCCAGCGCATGACTCCACAGGCGTGGACCGACCAGCTCGTCGACCCGCCGCTAAACCGCCGACGGGCCCGTCCCATTGTTCTAGAGGCTTTCCATTCTTCTGTCGACCCTCCATCACGTTCTGCTTGGCATTTGTTTGATGACAATTTGTCTGCACTGCGCTGCACGTGTGGTGAGCATCACTTCAACGCTGCCCTGTGCGCCTCACTCTCCTCTCTGTCCTCTCCTGTCCTGTCGCCCGTATGAAGCGATAGAAGCGCCTCTTCCCCAGGCACATTGGCGGCGACAACCTCGCGTGTGTTTCTGGCCCCTCCCTCATCAACTCGCCCATCATGTCCAGCGACGAGGAGAGCCGGCCGCCGCCGCGCAGGGCCCCAGCGACGCAGGACCGCACCGTCGGAGGCAACACGGCCTTCCACAACTTCTACAACGACTACTCGCACATTCCCGATCCCAACCTGCGCCGTCGCCTGGCCCTGTCCGACATTGACAAGGTGCCCTTTGGCTGGTACCACGTGCGCGCCATCCTGGTGGCCGGCGTCGGCTTCTTCCTCGACTCGTACGACATCTTTGCCATCAACCTCATCACGTCCCTCCTGGGCTTGGTCTTTTGGGGCGGAGGCGACCCCGACGATGGCTATGGAGGGAATCAAGGGCACCTCCCGGGGCCCATCAACCAGGCGCTCAAGGCGTCCACGAGCTCGGGCATCATCATTGGCATGATCCTGTTTGGCTGGTTGGCAGAGTGCGTGGCCTTTCTCTCTCTCCCTCTCTCTCGTATGATGCAGTGTACTGACAAAAATCTCCAGCGCCTTTGGTCGTCGACGGATGTACGGATATGAGCTCGCCATCATCATCTTCGCCACGTTCAGCTGCGCCCTCGTCGCCTCCAGCCCAGGCATCGGCTCCGCAGGCATCATGATCTTCTGGCGCGTCGTCATGGGCATCGGCATCGGCGGCGACTACCCCCTGAGCTCCGTCATCACGGCCGAGTTTGCGCCCACCCGCTGGCGAGGCGCCATGGTCGGCGCCGTCTTCTCCATGCAGGGCCTGGGCCAGCTGGCCGCCGCCGTCGTCGCCCTCGTCATGACCGCCGCCTTCAAGGACGCCTACGTCCACGTGCCCAGCGAATCCGCCTGCGACGCGCAGTGCCGTCTCGCCGCCGACCGCTCGTGGCGCATCATTGTCGGCGTGGGCGCCCTCCCGGCCTGTCTCGCCCTCTACTACCGCCTTACCATTCCCGAGACCCCACGCTACACGTTTGACGTCCAGCTCGACGTCGACAAGGCCGACAGGGACATCCAGACCTACATGGCCAGCAAACACCCCAAGGACGAGGTCAGCGCCCTCCCCACGCACACACGCCAGCACATTATTGCTGGTCCGACGCTCGACGCGCCGCAAGCGTCGTGGCGCGACTTTGCCACCTACTTTAGCGAGGGCAAGAATTTTAGGGTCCTCGTTGGAACCTCCATGTCGTGGTTCTTTCTGGATTTGGCCTACTATGGCCTGGGCCTCAATAACAGCATCGTCCTGCATGCCATTGGTTATGGGGACGGGGCCAATCTGTACGACAAGCTACACAACCAGGCCGTGGGCATGATTATACTGGCCTGCGCAGGGTCCATACCGGGATACTGGGCGGCTGTCTTCACGATAGACACATTTGGGCGCAAGCCCTTGCAGATTGGAGGGTTCCTACTCCTCACCATCCTGTTCAGCATTATTGGCTTTCGACTGCACTCGTTGAGCGAGACGACGCTTCTAGGACTGTACGTGATTGCGCAGTTCCTCTTCAACGCGGGCCCGAACACGACGACATTTATCGTCTCGGGTGAGTGCTTCCCCACGAGATACCGGGCTCTGGCCCACGGCATATCCGCGGCCATGGGCAAGCTGGGCGCTGTTGTCGCGCAGGTCATGACCATCCCCATCCTGGGCCACGGCAAGCAAGACGGCTGCATCGGGAACGCGTGCTCTCCGCATCTCGATCGTCTGCTGCAGCTGTTCGCGTTGTTCATGCTCCTGGGCACCTTGGTGTCGCTACTGATCCCGGAGACCAAGGGTCTCACTTTGGAAGAGCTGGCGGGGGAGTCTCGCACGTCGTATAATGCAGGCTGTAATGGCAGTATCAACCTGGCCCCTTCGAGGGGGGTTTGGAATCCATTTTCCGGAGGGCAACCCGCTGGCTTCGCCTATCCAAAGGCTCACGCGGCCACATTTGCAAAAGGGACACGCTCACGAGGCACTACCAACACGACGTGTGGGACACGTGACAGCATACGACGGAGACGAGCGCCGTTCTGGAGGAGCAGGAGACGGGCGCGCACGAATAGCAACGACACATCCGACATTGTGCTCGATGCTAGGATCTCGGCGGCCGCGGAGAGCCCCATGCCACCCGCGACACCGATGCAAGGCATGGGCGTGTCCTCAATACCACACCAGCAGATGCCCATGTGGGGAGCGGGCTGGGGACGGATCGACCGCGGCACGCCGACGGTGGAAATGGACGAGGTGCGGCTTCACGATGTTGGGTCGCTGCTCCCTTCGCCTAGGGAGTCGTTGACGTGATGATACATGTAGGGGGGGTCTGTTTTGAGCGCTTCACGAACTTGCATACATGATGATACCACTTAGACTTTGGCTGGCACATGTCGAGATGAATACGATTTGTAGTGATCACAGTGCTATCTTCTGACCACTCGATATATGTCCTACTACTCCTGCCCGTCGACTCGAAGTCGACCGTGCTCGTCCCAGGACACGCAAACATCCCTCGACCACAGGGCAAAAGCCTCCTTGTCGGGGACCACCTTGGTCGTGATGGCAAAGACGCCTGTGGCCAGCCAGACCTCCCTCGACCCGTCCCTGGAGGCGACGCGATACTTCAAGCACGGGATAAACGTCCGCTGGGACATAATGTTGGTGTTGGGATCGGCCTTGAGCACCAGTGGCTCTGCTCGCTTGTCCTGAACCGCGCCAGACAATCCACTGCTGAGGTCGCGGATACCACATGTACCAGCAGCCGATCTTACGAGGGCGCCACGATCGCTTCGACAGAACCCTTCGGACACGGTCTCGAGATCTGGCTCCGGCATTTTAGGTACGTGGTAGCCTTGCCGGGTCAGCGCTGGCACTGCAAATCCGCCATCCACGAGCTGTATTGCCTCATCCAACAGCGCCGCCTCGGCAGCCAGTGACCACATCAGTCGATGGACACGCAGATGCCAGCCGGGGAAGTGTGCGCCCAGTGGGATCAAAGTCGTCTCGACGTCGAGGTCAAGCCGGCTCCATGGGTGCCACGTGCTGACCAAGGCATCGACCGACTCCTCGCCGACAGACACGCACTGAAGCCTCGCGTCGTCTGGCCTGCATCGGACCCTCCACGACTCGCCCCCGTCGATGCTGAGACTCAGCGTGCTGTCGGGCGCGATCTGTCCCAGGGTATCGCTGCCGCAGGGCACGCTGAAGCCAAAGGTAGACGAGTACGCAAATTTGCAGTACTTTGCATCCCTGGCCTTGTGCGGCTTGGTCGTCATCTGGCCGGACGAGAGGAGGTAGTGATGGCCCGGCCAGCTGTCAATGACCTGACGCGCTGGCCAGATGGTGCGCGTCATGTTTCTGAGGCTCAAGGTGAGCACCGGATGCGACGCCTCGTCGACCTGCCAAAAGGCGTGCTCTGCCGGTAAGAGAAGCACGACGAAGCTCTTGAGACACCAGTACACCGACTGAGGCGAGTTGTAGTCCTCGCTCAGGTACATGTTGGGATAGGAAAAGCCAATGTTCAGCGTGCCGTCGACGTTGAACATGTCCTCCTGCCCACGCCACCACCGCAGGTGACGGAGCAGCATGCCCTTGAGCATGGCCAGCCCCGACGCAGGCCACGCACCGGACGCGGCGGCTGCCGCCCAAAAGGCACCCATGGCGAAGCGGTAGGTCATGCTCCGGCCAAAGGGGATGGCAGACCCGTCGGCGTCAAAGTAGCGCCAGTAGTCCTGGGCAAACGCAGACGCCCACTGCATGTACTTGTTCTTTCTCTCCTTGTCGGCGTCGGGCCCAAAGCGGACGTAGAGCAGCTGCGCGAACTGCATGGCGAAGCTGCCAGAGTAGTAGTCGGCTTGTCTCCTCTCGTCGCCCCATGCGCCGTCGCTCGACCAGCCATGGCCCAAGTAGAACGAGTCCAGGAGGGCAAAGTCGGCTTCCATCTCGTGCTCGACCTCTTGTGGCGGCATATCTAGGTGCTGTGTAAGCGTGACGCTGACGAGGATGCGGAACCAGCGCCAGTTGTTCGCTGGCATGGCCTTGCCGTACATCTGGGCGAGCCATGTCCTTAGATGTCCCTTGCCCTCCTGGCTCATCCGGCCAAGGATCTCGTCGGGGTAGCCCAGTATCGCCAGACAGATACTTTCCGTCTCGACCATGCGCTGGTCAACGTCGCCAATGTCGCCCCAGTACCCAGGCGCGTCGACACGTACGCCCTCCTCGAGGCCCTTGATCCAGGTGGCGAGGCGCTCGTCATCGTGCAGCTGGACGACGGCGTGGATACCGAGCAACGGACGCGCAAAGCCCTCGAGCTGCGCGGCGACGTCGTCAAAGGCGGCGCACGTCGCAGGGCGGATCTTGGTCCGGGACGGGTGGGACGTTGTGTGAGGCTCCAAGGCCTTGATCAGACTGTGTAAGGCTCTGAGGAGGTCAGAGCGCGATTGCATGGGGTTGTCGGTGAATCCAGCGAGCGGCGGCATCTTGAAGGCTGCGTGGCTGCCTATCAGAGTCAAGTCAATACTGTCCTTTCTGCGTACTATGCGATATCACACGACAAGGGTCTGGGGATGGTCTGGTGGAGAGCTTCTCCAACGCTTCGGTCTTCGGGCTATTGCGCGCGGAGCTCGACACAGGGGGCGGGTCGATGCCGATCCTATTGATCATAAACGACCGGTGTCGTTACTGAAGTCTTTGGTAGGCCCCTTTTTATGGTGGCTCGGTTCATGATAGTGGAAGGACTGATTGACTGAGCTTCTCACAGAAACAGCAACCAACACTCGGCGAGGATACTATTATGCTCGACGATGAACAAACAACTACCATGGCCCAGCCTCAAACTCGGAGCCAAACATACCGTCATCGTAGCTAATGATCCGATCCATGTCTACAAACTGCTGGTCCATGAGGAGCTGCGAAATCTCGCCAAGGTTACTCGTAGGAATGCTCGCTCTACGGTACTGACTAGACTGGCCTCTTGGTCCATCCATGGCCTGCTGAGCGGGATCGATTGACGGAGGCGGCTGCATGCTGCGTGTGGTCGGTGTCGCCATACCCAAGGGCGCACCATACGTTGCCCTGGCCGACGCTCTCGTGCGAGTCGTCGTGGGTGGGCGATATTCCTGTTGTGCCGTCTCGTCAATCTCTCCAATATAGCCGAGAACGTGGATGTGGAACGCCCCGTCCCCCAAGCAGCGCTGATACAGATCTCTCAACTTGGCTGCATACTTTGACGCCAGGTTCCACGCAGCATCCATGTCCACAGCGTGAGGCCCAGCCCACCGCTGAGCCATAATGTCTAGACTCTCGAGGAGGAGCCAGAAGGCCGGGGCAAGGGGCGCCACCGCCATCGCCGTCGACTGTCCATGGCGCCACTGGACAAGGCAGACCCGGGAGGCCACGTACAGGCAAAACGCAAACTGACTGGTGACAGGAACTGCTGGGGGCGCATTCTGGAGGTAGTTGCGTGCAATCGTGGCAATCTCACCGGCCGCTGCCTGGCACGTGTGGGCGCTGCAGTGGCTGGGCAGCCGGTCCTTGAACGGCCATGCGGGCAAGGGGAAGGCGATGGGCTGATGGAGCAGGATCATGGAGGCGTTGTGCGTGATGTGCGCGAGGGTCAGGTTCGGATCCATGCGCGCGCGCTGCGAGGACGTGTCGACCTTCCACTTGTGCGGGAGCAGCATCTTCCAGTGCACGAGGCGCAGATCGAGCTCTTTGAAGCGCGTGAGCCAGCGTCCCAGGTCGCGCTGATCGCGCATGTTGACTCTTTGCTGCAAAAAGTACGTCGTCACGCGGCTCAGGGACTCGGTGGCCTCGATGCAGTACGCGAACGCACCCACTGTACTCATATCCACGGGGCTGGACGCGGTGCCTGGCGAGGTACCCGTCTCAGAGGGCGTCTGGACCTCGGGGAGGAAGGCGATGGGGTTCCCGATCCGGGCAGCCGACTTGTCCCAGATGCCAAAGTACGGGGTTGTCACTTCATCTTCCTTGCGCCACTTGATGCCGTCGCAGGGGAGCCGGCGATGGACGTCGTCCGAGGTCAGGCTCGTGTTCCAGCCTGTCGTGACAGAGCACAGCCTGTCCAGGTTGAAGGCGTTCCAGAAGACGCGCCGTCGCTCCTCGACTTCGGTCCAGTCCTCAGGGGCGGGTAGGGAGATGCAGGGGCGCAGGAGAGTCTGGCGCTCTGCGTCGTCTTCGTCGCCTTCGACGGCAAGCTGGAGGTACTCGACGCTGCGACTCAGCGCGCCGACAATCGGCCATGCGCGCGAGGCCATGCCGCAGCCAATCTTGTGGGCGGTTCGTTCAGCCAGGTGGACACGATAGAATAGGGGGGAAGACTCACGTCGTCAAACGCAAGCATGATGAGTGCTTGCACATTTTCCACCGACAGACTCCTCATGGCGACTGCGATCAGGTGGTCTCGTGAATCGGAAGCGTGATCAGGACCAAGTGTCCATCTCTTGGAGGCTTGCTCGTCTGGGATGAACTTGGCTGCGACCAGTGTCATGGCGTGGAGGACGATGCCCAGTTCCAGCTGCTCAGTATCCGCAGCAAGACGACGGCGCAGCCGAGCCTCGTGAATCATAGGGATCCACGGATGCACATGCGTAAAGTAGGCCTCCAAGACAGAAGCGAGGTCATCATCAAGCGGAAGACGGTCGATGTGGATTGCATCCGTGGGAGGCGCAGCGAAGGACTCCAGGCGTCTTCTCTTCTGGGGCCGACCAGAATCACCATTTGAAGATGACGGCGTGTTGTACTGGTTTTGCGACTCATTGAAGCGTTGGAATTCCCGCGCAAAGAAGGCCAAGGTGTTGTATTGTTCATGCTGGTTGTCGTCGAGGTGAGTAGGGAGACTGGACTGACTCTGAGTCTGGGCGCCACTGGCACCGGTGGACTTGTGGACGATGTTCTCGAGAGCGTCTACAGAGACAGGTCGTCAATGAGTTGACCAAATGTTGTTTCGTCATGCCAGAACATACCCAATCTCCGATGCAGGGCATCAATGGCCCCGGGCTTGATGCCAGGCTTGGCTCGCTTCGTCTCGTAGACGCATCCACTTCCTGCCTTACGACACTGCTGACATGCAGGCACTTCTCGAGAGCACTTGAGCTTTCTTCGCCGGCAGCAATTGCACGCGAGCGAGGCTTCACCACTGGCACTCGCCTCATCAGCCGGGGCGTGGCCAGCAGGGGGCTCGCCTGGGCCCGGGTCGTAATCCATCAATTTGCGAGAGTTGCTCCGACAGACAGCTAGGCTGCTAGCATTACGTGAGAGATACAAGGACGCATGGCTGTCGCGCGTCCAGGGCTGGTCATCGCTTCGGGGCGGGGATGCCTCTGGTTTAAATGCATTGGCCCGGGGGCATTACCCCGAAGGCCGAGGACTGTGCTCAACTGGAAGATTTGCGTCTACTCGCGCTATCGCCCCAGTCTAATACATTTACAAGGGGCATTGGTTGCGAGTGGTGGCAATTATGAGCTGGTCATTATAGTTACTCATGGCATTGGTTCGTTTGGGTACATGAAGACGAGAGAAGCTGCCGGCCACAATGCTGGTGACTAACTGACGATGCGGAAGCTTGTGATTTTATTATGCTCACTTGAAATGCCTGAGCATAAAACAAATCTCTTTGACACGCAGATCCCACGTCTGCCTCGAGAGCGGACATGTTCATCTTGTCAACAGCCAGACTAGGCCAACCCCATATTCAACAAACGGTTGCCAAACTCGACGAGATAATAATCCCCATAGACTAGTCCGTGGTCCGAGTAACGACGACGAGCATTCTCATTGTTGTTCGCCGTCCCATTCCTCAAGAACCCATCAAATCTGGCGCCCTCGACCGAGTCGACCACCTCAAGCCCCTCTGCTTCCTGTTCAGACTGGTCTGCGAACCGCGCCGTGTCCAAGGACAGACAGACATCGAGCGTGTCTCGGACAATCAAGAGAGAGGCGTCCAGAAAGTGGCGAGAGAGGCCATGCCTGCCGACGCCACGAAGCGCCTGTGACAGGATGAGCATACCGTTGGCTGCGATGATGCCCGCTGACGAGTCCCGCAGCGGACGCTCGGGGTTCACGGGCGCATCAAAGTCCCACAGCGGGACATGACGGCCCATTGTCTTTCCTCTGCCGTGGCGGTCAGGCATCTCGACGCTCGACGGCGCCGTCTCGAGCCGGTACAGGAAGTATTCGGCAACTCCGCAGGCCACGTCGAGGAACTCGGAATCCCTCGTCCACATGTAGGTCTGCGCGTACCCCAGGATAGCCCAGGCTTGTCCACGTGCCCAGATTGAGTCGTTGGCGTATCCTTGCGCTGTCCAGCGAAACTTGAGGGCGCCAGTCTTGGGGCTGATGTTACCGACATGGCATGTCGAGTACATCTGGCCCCGGTACCGCCGTGTCAGAGACGGCTCGGGTGATTCAGGCCTCAGGTGCGTGTCCATGAGTGTCTTTGCGTGTGTCGTGGCGATCTCGGCCAGCCGGACATCGCCACTGTGGGCGGCCGCGTAGTATAAGAGGTCCAGATTGCAGAGGCTGTCGATGATGACGAGGTTGTTATCCTCCATGTCGGTCACCGCGATCTCCTTCTTTAGAAGCAGATCCCAGCTGCGGATAGCCCCCGACGTGGACACGAAGCGGCTAGCCAGGCTGCGCGCCGCTTGCACAATGGACTCGAGGCTGCGTCGGTTGCCCGTGAGCTCCCAGTCCCTTTGCAATGCGGGCATCACGATGAAGCCAATGTCGTGTGTGTCTGTCCGTAGAGACATGGCGTGCAGAGGGTCGGACCACGCCTCGCAAAGGGTTCGCAGGTGAGGGTAAAGGCGTCTGCTTGTCCAACGGCCTTCACGGAACATTGATACCTGCGGGTGCCGGATGCTCCTCTCGAGCAGAGCGTACAGGGTTCCTGGAAAGAAGCCGCAAGTCCAGAACTCGGGCTCGCGAAGGTCGTATAGACCAGCCCGAGGACCAGACTGGGGCACAATCTCTGGGAAGCCACGCGGAGTCCTGGCCACGCCATCTGTGTATTGGACTGTGTCGAGACCGTCTACACCAACACGATAGGTCTTGGCTAGGAGATTCTCGTCAAATAACTCGTGAAGAAAGGAATGCAGGTCCTGGAGCTTGGCACTGAGGTTCCTACTCTCCCGGTCGATGAGAAGAGGGCTGTCTGACCATGATGTCTCGCTGTCGGGTGTTGTTTGACTGGGTGTTGGATTATCCGGTGCCAGGTATGGGGAAGCGGACGAAGAGCTCGATAGACTGGTCATATTGTGAAATGAGTGTGCTAGTTGAAGAGCTGTGGGATACAGTTCATGTTAGCTTGTGAAATTATCGCTGCTCCTTGCTGTCTTGTAGGAACCCAACTCCCCCCTGTCTGATCAGATCTCATCACGGAGCATCAAAGAGACAAATATTGTCTGTGACCTTGTCCGTGACCTTGTCCGTGACTCCGACATGTTCATCTAGCACTCGGAACCTTGGGAACGGGCATTCTGCGGCATCAATCATGGTTGGCGTGGCTCCATGTAAGGGGCTCGGGCTATCAACATCCCCTACCCCGAGAGACTTCCTCCGACACGCCGACCTCCTCCTTCTCTCTCTCTCTCTCCATGGATTAACCCCAGAATCCTCCCCGCATCTCTCCACAGTCCGCACTCACATCCAGTGGGACCACTCGGACTTCCGTGCGTACCCCAGGTCTATCGACGGTCCGAGCTGCTGAACTTAGATGCCTCCTAGGACGATCAAGCCAGCGTCCATACGGCCAGCGAGGGGTTAAAAGGACGGGCAAACGTCCCTGAAATCGTCTCCAAACTCCTATGCCCGACTTCAAGTTGCTGGATCACTCATAGTCCAAATTTACCCGTCGAAAATGACGGAACCACAGAACAAGGCCAGCCTCGAGGTCGCGCGAGACACTGCCTTTGTGGCTGACGATGCTGGTCGGGACACACTAGCCAGCATCGCCAACAATGCCGCCACTCCAGCTCCAGAAACCTGTGAAGAGGATGGAAAGCAGGAACCCGTCGTCAGCAGCGCGGCTGGCAAGAAGCCCCATCGCTCTATGTGGTTGGCTTGGCTGCATCTCTTTGACTGGTATCCCAAGCACTATCCCAAAGAGGAGAGACGGTTGCTCTTCAAGCTCGACTGTGTCATCATGCCGGTCGTCTGCTTGGCTTGTAAGCTGCCCGTCGGCATAATACGCGAAGACCATGGGCTGACGGGTGCGCAGACTTTATCAAGTGGCTCGACCAGGTCAACATCAACAATGCCTACAACTCAGGCATGAAGGAAGAGCTCGGGCTCGAGGGCAACCAGTAAGCAGCCGCCAGCCATCCTCCACAACATGAGCCAATACGCTGATCATTCGACAGGTACTCTCTCTTTGGCACATTCTACAATATTGGGTACATGCTTTTCGAGATCCCCAGCATGATGATCATCTCCCGCCCCAAGCTGGCCCGCTTCTTCATGCCCACCATGGAGGTCTGCTGGTCCGTCCTGACCTTTGCCCAGTCCCGCATCCGCAACGAGCGCGATATTTACGGCATGCGCTTCCTGCTGGGCGTGCTCGAGACCCCCGTGTCCTCGGGCTCCATGTACATCCTGTCCTCGTGGTACCGCGGTGATGAGCTCTTCAAGCGCGCTGGCGTCTGGTTTGTCTCCAGCAACCTCGGCTCCTTTATGGGTGGCCACCTCCAGGCCGCTGCACACGCCGGCCTCGACGGTGCCTTGGGCTTGTCTGGATGGCGGTGGCTGTTTATCATTGGTAAAGTTCTCCTAGCGGGCTTTGCTTTGCAATGTTTAATCCACTGACGGGCACACAAGACGGCTGCATCAGCCTTCCCATCGCCTTTGCTAGCTTCCTCTTGTTCCCAGGCATCCCATCTGGCAACAAGCCCTGGTGGCTCACGACAGAGCAGCACGAGCTGGCGAAGAGGCGCATGTACGATGAGGGCGTCCGCCCGAGCCGCAAGATTGGCAAGCGCATGCTCAAGCGCGTCTTCACCCACTGGCACTTTTACGTGGCGGTCTTGACCTACATTTTGTGCGTCTTCTCCTGCTCTCCTCCATTGCATCCCTTTCCCGCTGCTTGCGCTGACAGACTTTCCGCAGCTTCCAGTGCAGTTCCTATGTCTCTGGTCAGATGATCCTCTGGCTCAAGGACCAGGCGGATCGGTACGGCACCTGGAGCGTTGAGGAGATCAACATGATCCCCACGGGAGTCCAGTGCATCTCCATTGTCTTTGGCATCCTCGCCACGTCGCTGGTCATGGTCTACCCTTTCTGGGCCGTCATGAGCGTCGTGGCCGGCGTCCTGTTCTTTGCCAACGCCTGCTTGCTCGTCTGGGACATTCCCACCGGCCTCAAGTGTAAGACGCCCATCCACTGACCGCCTTTTGTGCTCGACATGCGCTGACCACCGCAGTCACGGCATATTACATGCTAGGTTTCAACTCGTGTGTCACGCCCATACTCTTCCCATGGGTCAACATGGTCATGAAGGACGACAATGAGGCGAGAGCATTCACCACCGGCGCCATGATGACCTTTGGCTGGGTATTCTTTAGTTTCTGGCCTATTACCGTATTCCCAGTCCTGGAAGGTAAGCTCAGACATTCCCTGCACCATGGCCGAGCTGACCCGAAGTGTAGCACCCAGGTGGCGCAAGGGCTATATCATCAACACAGTCTGGGTGTTTATCTGGTGGTCGCTCTTCATGGTCGGTCAGTTCTTCTGGCACCGCGACCTCAAGGCCAACAAGTACGACATCAAGTTGGAAGAGCAGCTAGAGGCGAAAAAGGCGCCCTTGGAGACGGGGCCCGGCAGCTCAGAGCACATCGAGGCGGGCGACGAAAAATGTCCCCGTCTTGAGGTGCGTTGAAGAGCTCCCGACTGGACAGTAGATGGGGGTGGAGGTTAGTGTGAAGCGTGCCGGCCAGTTTGCTACGATTTACTGAAGGACGTACAACTGATCATTCTCCCCGATTCATCGTTACAATCTACATGTGCATTAACTCTTGTATCTCTACAGACAGCGATCTGGCCCTTCCCCTTGTCGTCCCTTCTTGCTCTGACAACGTGACATCGTCCACCCATCATGCATCACGCTCACCACAGGACCTTCATCAGAAGCGTAGAATCTTCAGGGCCTTGTTCAGACCGTCAATTTCCCGCGTCAGCGCCTCACGGCGGTCGCGACTCGTGACGTCCTCACCGGCCACTTCCTCGAGTTCGGCAGGCTTCATCTGCAGAACGAGCTGGTCACTTAGCACGGAAAGGGGGCTGCGAGGCCCAAGGAGAAGGCAATGGTCCACCACCTGCTGGCAGACAACGTCCACGAAGCGGTCGCGCGCAATCTTGTAGTACTCATGGAGTACGTCGTGGATATCCTGACGCGTCTTCTTGATCGGGTCGTTGCCCCCAATGTGTTTGTTAAAGAGCGAAGTCAGCTTGTCTACAACGGCAGTGTCCGAGAGCACATAATTCTGTTTTCCCCAGCAAAAGAATTTCTTCTCCTCGGTATGCATGTTCTTGACACGCTCAGTCTTGGTGCGGGCGAGAGCTTTCTCAAACGCAGGGTTGTAGGTCATTGCCCGCCCCTGAAACTCCACGCCGAGTAGGAGCTCCGTGTGCTCCATGGCAGCTTGGTAACGCTGCAGCAGCTCGTCGCTGAGAAATATCCACAGTGAGGAGCGGATCGTCTCCTCGGGGCAAGCTACCTCGAGAATGGACTTGATGAAGTGATGTACAACGAGGATAGCATTGGATACGTGGGCTCGCGTCAGGGGCCGCCACTTCTTGGCCTGTTCCTTGAAGATTCCTGACACGACTTCGGCACCAAAAGTGCCCAGCTCGTACCCGCGAGACGCGAGGTACTCGTCTTCAATGTGTTGAAGAATGTCGTCCTCTAAGGGTGAAGTACAGTCGTAAGGGTCGGCCAGCACAGTCTCTAACTCGCCCTGGTCGTCATTGGGGATGGCAAAGGTGCAGTCGACGTAATAGAACTCATCGCGGATGCTTCCCCCTTCAGACTCGCCGTCCTCAGAGGCGGACATGCTTTCGCTGCCTGGCTCAAGAGTCCTTCCATTACCATTTACCGGATGGGCTTTCAGGGGCGATGTCGCACCAACAAAGATGCGAGTATGTCCTGCTCCGTACAATGTCTTGGAGAAAACTTCATTGAGCTCGCGCATGCGGGTGATGAGCTTCAGGTCAGGCTGCTCTTGGAAGACAGTGTCGCGCGTGTAGTACGCGTCCAGAGCGTAGCCCTTCAACTGAACAAAGCGAGAGGCGACCTTACCGAGCAGAGCCCTCTGTTCCTCTGGGGTGGAGTGAGACGCACCCATCGCTTCCAAAAGCTGCTTCTTGGCCTTAAGGCGGGCGGCGATTTCCTCTTTCACCTTGGGAATCTCACTCTTCGTGCGGCTCATGAGGAGCCCTTGGATACGAGCGCGCAGTGCTGGGATGCCCAGCCGATCATCGGGGAGGGCGCTCCAAGGATGCTGTGCAAAAAAGGCCTTCTCCTTCTGATGGCGCTCCTCCATGTCGGTGGAGCTGTCGTCCGCGCCTCGGTTCTTGACCACGCAATATCCAAGAGCGAGATCACGGCGCTTTCCGTTGACAAGGTCGACCACGACCTTTTTCGTGGCCTCTTCGACGGCCAAGTCGGGCTTGGTCAGGACGCCTAGGGTCCTTTTTCCCTCTGGGTCTGCGTCCGCAGCGTACCGCAGAATCTTCTGATTTGCGATATCACCATTACATGGGACCACGGCCAGGATGATGGTGCGCGACTCGCGAATGTACCCTTCCACCATGGTCTTGACCAGCTCAATGTCCGAAGTCGTCGTGAGTCCAGGTGTTTCGTTCTCAAACATGCCTGGGACATCAATGACAGTGAGATGCTGCTCATTGGGGCCGCTGATCTCCACGCGGAGGACGTCCTTGCTGAACGCACTGCCAGCCTTGATCTTATCTTTGCCGAGGTCGATTCCCATGATCTCAGCTGCCTGTTCCCCACGTTAGCATGCGTCGACGTGTCATGACGGGGTGCTCTCCTCACCTCTTCGAAAATGGACTCGAACCCATCGTCCTGGAGTGTTTCGAGAGTGCGGCGGAACGTCTGTGCCCTCTCTAACTTCTTGGGGTCTGGGGAGTGCGGGACAATGGACACTGTGACGCTCTGGCTGTCCTCGCGACGACAAATGATTTCCGTGGCATGGCGGGTGCACAGGCTCACGGAACGAGGGAGGTGAAAGCCAGTCAAGGACTCGAGGACGCTGGACTTTCCAGCGCTTTGATCGCCGACCACCACCATCTATCGCATGTTAGCTGTGGGATATGGGAAGCGAGACTTAGACATACCTGTGGCAATGGTACCTGACCCGCGATCCCGAGCTCGCGCAGTTTGTCGATCTTGTCAAGCAAGGTTCTGCTGCCCAGGCTGCCGCCCGAATCGACAGCACGAGAACTCGTCATGTTGGTGGCAGGATGTAGAATCGCTAGATTCGGAGGAGAGCTAGATTCTGCGTTGTTTCGCGGGAGGAATGTGTCAAGCGCAAGGAGTGCACTATCCAAGACTGGAGCGTGAAGAGTAGAAGAACAGAATCTTGAGAGAAGTCGCCAACAGGACTGAGGTAGGTCGGAGAAGAAGAGAAGGGAGAAGAGGAAAGATACACGAAGAAACATTTGACCATTAATTCACCTGATAACAAACAGAACACACCGCCACGCACGCGCGGTACTGCGCTGCTGCGAAGGGCCGAAAAGGGGGCCAAACACAAATCAGCTCGAGATCAGCTAATCCACACAAATGGCTAGTTGGAAGCAGAGGAGGAGTGGGATCGGACGAAGCCGGATCTCAAATTTACTGTAGTCAGTGGTCATGGAGAAATCACAGGGAGCCGTGTTGCTCTAGGACTCGCATTTTGTAGCGCTCAGTCCGTTATTGACCATGTTTGTCGAGGCGGATACCGGCAGACCATGGGGCACGGTCAATCAGATGCTCGCGATCGGAATCTCAATGTGAGGCACGGTAGTTTTCAGTATCTTTCTCGTTGACGGCTATGTCCTAGAAGTCAAGCATCTAGTAGACGGATGCCCTACTCATACCATCAATGGAAACCTGCCACTTGCGCTAGACAGGAGATAGTCCATGGAAAAGGTTTGCGAAGTCGCCCGGTACGTCTCACACACATCACTCCACGGCCCACACTCTGGTTCGCAGGTTGTCTCCTCGTCCGGCACTTTGCCCGTATCCATGTACTCAGCCAGGTGCTTGGCGAGACACTCGCTGGGGGCGCTCCCCGCGACACCGTGTCCCATTGACTCGAAGACAATCAGCTGCGCACCATTGTGCGCGTGCGCCATGGCGCGCGCAGATGTCACGGGCGTGACAGGATCGAAACGGTTGGCCAAGAACAGCAGGGGTGCCGAAGGTTTACCCTCTGACAGTGCAGGGTCGGCCTTTGGGGTGGTAAAGGGGCCGTTGAACTTCCAGTTCGGCTCAAAGGGCCAGGTTGAGCAGGCGAAACGAAGGGTAGCCCACACATCACCCCAGAGTCTGGACGTACCCTGCATCTCTTTGACGTACTTGTGCCAGTAGGCCAGATCCTTGTCCGTGACGTCCTCGCCGTCTTGACAAATGACGGAGTAGAGCACGTCGCGTGTGTTAAGGAGGTCGGTCGTCTTATTGGCTGGCGCATCGACAGCTGAGCATCCAGTTTCGAGATTGGGAATCGCGCTGCCCGCAAGCATATCTACAAGTTCTTCGTACTCGCCATCGATAGAGCGATCGAGCACATGAGCCAGCAATTTGAATGTCTTGATGGGTTTGTACATCATACCACCAATCAAGCCACGGACGTCAGACCCGGTGACTATGGCGTTGACGTCGTTGGGTCCGATCAGACCCAGGGGCGACTCGTCGAGGGATACCAGGTAGTCCCAGACACGGCGGGAAATGTCTGTCCAGGAGGCGTCATCCTCGCGCACGAGCTCGCAGTACTCGGGCCCGGCTTCGTAGCATCCCTTGAAGAACTCGTCAAAAAGAGGATCCATGTATCGAAGGCTGGTGAGCCATCCGGGGCCATGGGCGTAGTCTTCGATATCGCACACGCTGTCGAGGACGACGCGATGCACCCTGCCTGGGTACATGGACGCAAAGTAGTTGCCCAACACGGTGCCGTACGAGAAACCAATGTACTGCAGACGCGGTGTCTCGTCGCCGTCACCATTCCGCTTCTTGAGCTCCAGCCAGCTCTGGCCGCGGGCGGCAGCTTCCTTGCTCCTCAGGGCATCGATCTGATCCACCATCTCCACCATGTCGCGCACGACGTTGGGTGTGCCAATGTACTTGAAGATGCTTTCCTCCACCAGCTCGTCCGCGCGGGAGCATCTCATGTTGGTGGCCTTTGTGAGAGCGTAGTTGTAGGCCAGCGACTCGGGCGAACTGCCCAGGCCAAGGGTACCACGGGTCTCGAGCGACGTGCCCTGCCTGGCCAGGATGTTGCCCGAGTAGCAGTCTGCGGCCGGTGTGCTCTGCCCTACGCCGCGAGGGTCGAAGGAGATGATCTCGTAGTGCTTCTTGCCCGGCTTGTCCATTACCTTCTGCAGATGGTGCGCTATGCGTGGGATGAATTCCACGCCAGAACCGCCAGGGCCACCTGGGTTCGTGAAGACGGAACCACTAAATGCCGGGTCATCGTCGCCTACCACGGCAGGCAGCTTCATGATGGCAATTGTCGCCCTGCGCGTGTCCGACTCATTCTTCCAGTCGAGCGGCACCTCGAGGCGCGCACACTTGTACTCGTTGTAGCAGTCGTGGTACTCGAGCTCAGCCTTTGGTTCGACAGCGTCCCAGTCAAAGTCGGAGAAGCGTGCGCTCGCAGTGTCGTCGGTCGCGTCAAAGGTTGTGCCAAAGGTCGCACCAAAGGCCGTCGCTTTGACCAGGGGGAACAGGGTGAGGCCTGCGATCGAGACGCGCATGATGGCCAGGGCGAGCAAGTAGTTGATGGTGATTGTTCGGCTTGGCTTGGCGTGTCGTCGCGGCAGCGTTGCAGCTGGCGCCGTCACGAGTCGAACAAGCAGAAGCTGCTTACTTCAATTGAAAGCGGGGACGGCATGATGCAGTCGTTGTTGCCTAGATGAGCGAAAAGGTGACGTTGGAGGGAATCCTGCAGGTGTGGTGATCCATCCGGTGACGGAGGCTCACTCAGATCCCCACTAGACTATTAGTAGATGGATACACGCGTGCACGCGTCGCGAGCAAATTTTGAGAGGTGCAAAAATACTGAAGATACGGAGAAAAAATTAACCCAGGCTTAGTTCACAAGTGTTTGTGCTTTGGTACTTGGCAACGGTGGTATAACCAATTGTTGTTGCTAGTCGGGGGGTTGTAGACACACTCAGATTAGACGAGATCATTTGAGCGTATAGTGTGAACGCGTCGGGAGTCGCAGCGGTCCACGAATCTTCGAGACAACCCGAGAGAGAGACAATTAATTCAAGCCTTAGTATTCTCGAATAAAGGTTTCCTTCCGACGAAATAGAGGCTGGTAATGGACAAGTTGAAGCCATGTTGATCTGCTCAAGGGTAGGCGTAGTGACCGCGGGCGAGCTGGGCACAGGCGCGAGGACAATGGGAAAGCAAAGTCTTCATAAAGCTCAATCCGAGACCCTCTGCCACGAATTACCTAAGCCTCTCGAAATCGTCTAGTTGGTTTATGGCGTTGGACTGTAACGGCAAACTTGCTATCCAAATGTCGGCGGTTCGAATCCGCCTTTCGAGATTTCTTTTTGCTCGCATAGCGTCCGCAAAGAATTGAATTTTGCTTACTAATGCCTTAAAATGACCCATATATACGCTACTGTCACCTCTTTCAGCATCCAATACTCGAGGTCGTCTAGTTGGTTTATGGCGTTGGACTGTAACTGCAATTTGCTATCCAAATGTCGGCGGTTCGAATCCGCCTCTCGAGATTTCCTTTTGCTTTTTGTTCATCCTGCGTCAATCTATCTTTTGCCTTTTCGCGATCCTTCTGTACATGTTTCTTCATATTGTTGCACGGCTGCACCATCACTGAGTAATGTTTTGTCTATTCGCGACGATCACAGTCCAATGCTTTGATTATTTGCGGTAGGATTCAGGCGGTCTACCGTACAGCCCTACGCCCAGGGGTCGGATCTCCTGATCTGCATTTCCATGTGTCGTCGCCGGTCTGAGACGCAGCCTCATGACGTCGCTGCAGGATGATCGCGCCGTCAGGGGAGCAGCATAGCTCTGGCCTGCTTCAAATACATATTGAACCGCTGACGCACGGCCACTTGAATATGAGTCGGACCAGTCGACTGGGTCGTCGCTGGGCGTTCGCGATACCGACTTCCATCTTCGACCATCATGAGAGGTCTAATGCCACTCGCTATTACCGGCCTGGCTGCCGCAGCGATTGAGGCGCGAAAGAAGGTTGATGACACGAACACCGAGGCAGATGAAGGCAACTGGTTTGCAGAAGCCATCAAGCGCGAGAGAAACGGCAATGTCAACGCCAGCGACGTGGCCACTATCAGCCCATCGCACAGCCCAGAGGGGGATTTTCCCAAGACGGAAATTGAAGACGGCGACCAGAAATGGAAGATACAACTGGACCTCTTCTCCGACATGGATGTTGCCTGGGGCGAGGACCTCATGGACGAGGACGCGACCATTGCAATGCTGCGGTACATGGCGCCCGAGAACCTCCACAACATCAGCGACTCATGGTACGTGTCTGGCTATGGCTTCGCCATCAATGACCAAGATCACAGCCTGGGCGATGACGAAGAGCTCGAGGCAGACTGCAGCAACGTGGTCTCGGACGAGTGCCTCGAGGCCCTGCGTGCGCCAAACAAGTCATGGTGTCATGGCGATCAGAAACATCCAGAAAGCTGCCCCAATGGCAACATGTACAAGTTCAGTAAGTCTCAACTCGCAGCGAACAAGAGGGCGCGCACGGCATGTAGCTGACCCCTCAGACATTAAGAACGCGACATCCGACCCCGAGGACCCTGCTCTCGTCTGGGTGAATGTCAGTGGGGGCGACGGCGACGGCAACTCGCTCTCGGGCGATGGCGCGTACGACCACGGCATCCGTCAGGTCTACGTTGCCACGCTCGGCCTCTACCAAAGCGTGGAGACAGACTACGAGGGAGAGACGTCCCTCGCGCCGACGGGCAATGCTACCGACTACTCTGTACGTTGTCTGCGGGCAGACAACATTGGCGAGGGCAGCAGAACCTTTGAGGAGATTGCGCGGCATCTTTTTTTTCTGGGGAGTTCTGAGGAGTTTTCATTCTCATCAGCATACTATGCATCGAGCTGCTGCTGTCGTTCGCCCCGCCTTTGTATACCCCTTTCCTATCAACCTAGGCTCCAACACAGACATAGTAGCCCAGCCACATGTTGCAGTTGGTGCCCGGATTCCAGTTCTTGATTTGCTGCTCGGTGACATCGTACCTCTGCGCCAATGACCAGCAGCTGTCGCCGCTGGCAATCTTGTGCCACTTGTCACACTCGCATATGGCACCAGGCTGGGTGGGAGTCGGATGGTCTTCCTGGCACCCGCTTGGAGGAGGGTCACTGGGAGGCTCAGCCGGGTTGCTCTTTGTCCCTGTGCCATCGAATTAGTTCTGGCGGAGCAACGAAGTACCCAAGCAAACTCACCAACACAGTAGGCATTACCGAGCCATAGGCCTGCGCAGTTTGCGCCAACAGCAGGGTTCCATTTGCGGAATAAGCTGAGGTTCAGGTTGCCGTACTTTGCCACGACCTTGTCGCACGTATCACCCGACTCGACGACGTACCAGTCCTGGCAATCTTTGACGATCCCAGTCTGAGTCGGTGCCGGCGCACCTGGCTGTGTGGTCGTAGGTGCCGGGGCAGGAGGGTTGTGGCCCTCAATAGAGACGCAGTAGTAGTACTCTGCCCACAAGCCCGAGCAGTCGCTCTTGACAGCCGTGTTCCAAGCCATAAATTGGGTCATGGTGATACCATAGTCAGCGCAGATGGCCTCACAGTTATCGCCGGTTTCTACCAGATGGTAGTCGTCACAGTCTTCGTGCGTGCCATCCAGGGTGGGCGAGGGGGTGGGTTCACCTGTCGGCGACGGTCCAGGCTCGGTTATAGAAGGTTCGTGGCCCTCAACGGAGACACAGTAGTAGTACTGAGCCCACAAGCCAGAGCAGTCACTCTGAACGGCCGTGTTCCACTCCATGAGTTGCTCCATGGTAATGCCGTACTCTTTGGTGATGGACTCGCAGTCGTCCCCTACTTCGACAAAGTGATAGGCATCGCAGTCAGGAGCAGTGCCGTCAAGGGTAGGCGAAGGGACATTGCCCGTAGCCGTGGGCTCGGGGCCATCCGTCACAGTAGGGGGTTCGTGTCCCTCGACCGACACGCAAAAGTAATACTGGGCCCAGAGACCAGAGCAATCACTCTCCACATTCTCGTTCCACTCCATCAGCTGGTCCATGGTGATGCCATATGTGGACGTGATAGAGTCGCAGTCATCGCCGACCACCACAAAGTGCCAGGCATCGCAGTTGGGAGCCGTACCGTCCAGCGTGGGAGAGGGAGCTGGCGAACCCGTGGAAGTTGGTTCGGCTGACGTGGTAGGAACCGCCGAGGTGATGTCTCCTCCACTATTGACTTCGACGCAGTATGAGTATTCAGGGGCAATGCCACTGCAGTCATCCTCGACGGAAGGGTTCTACAATACGAGGTTAGCTGTCCGTCGAGAGCGCTGCCGGTCTGATATAAGACGGAGTCACGTACCCATCTCACGAACTGGTCGTGCGTGATGCCCCAGTAGCTTTCGACATAGGCGCAGTCGTCACCCTCAGAGGTGGTGAAGTAGTACGTGCACTGGTCCGTGGTGCCCTCAGGGACGGGAGCGTCTGGCTCCGGCCCTTGAAGGCCTTTGATAGCTTGCATGCGCAATGCCATAACCCCAAGGGGGAAGAGAAGCGCAGCTCGTGTAATGCCACGCATGTTTATGGACAGGTCAGCTTTTTCAATGATGAAGTTGGCCACAAAGCAAGCAGAAGATGGAAGGCCAGGCACATGCAGTTACAAGCCTGATCAATCGGCAATGTTCGTCTGTCCCCTTATACTTCAGGAAGCCTGATAGAACTCGGAGAGCACTGGAATTAATCCCTCTGCGGTTACTCGTAAGCAAGAACATTGTCGGCCGACCTGGGGACTTTCACAGCACACTGACCGGATCTCTTCATGGTATGCCCGGATCTTGGACAACGCAATGGTGCTTTCCCCCCTCTCGCCAAGGCCGAAGCTATGAGGCACATCAATCTATGAGGTAGCATCGCAAATGAATGCGCAGTAGGCTGCTGACCTTGGCACCTATTCAGGCAACCCGTGGAACAAGGCTGACCGGCTCTACACTCCCCCCACCCTCCGTGGTGCCATCTTTCACGGAGTACATACTGTGCGGCAAAGGTCTCGGGACCCCTGAAGGAGGATCAGGCACATGCAGGCGTGGATGCCTTGTTTGTTACTTTATTTCACTATCCTTGGCATGCAGGCTCTCATGCATGTGTGCTTGGGGGCGGTTTAAGTAAGGGGACTGTTCGACAACTGGGCGAGGGGAACCCTGGCAAGGGGGAGTATGGGTTACTGCAGCTTTCGTCAATCTACCTAGGACGTCCGATAGAAGCCATATGGTTGGCAAAATATCTCAGTCTTTCTGAAGCCCAAAAGCTATTGCGAACAAGTCTGCTGGTATATGGGAAAAGAAGATTCCCTCACCCTGAGATCGTAATCAGGTATAATATAGCCAGTGTATGTATCTGAGCTAGGAGAAATCACTTGCTACCTCAAAAGTTGCTACCTTAAAAGCCAATGCCCACTCCGTCGGGCTCGAGTCCCTTGCGTGAATGAAGACACTGCGAACTTGCCAGTCGCCCTCTGCATACGCTCAGACCCATTTCCATTAATCGCTCACGCCAACACAAATGTAGACGTTTGCCCATAGCCCGGTGCAGTCGTGGCCAACAGCTGGATTCCACTCGTACCTGGATATAATGTGTCAGCACAGTCCACAGGGGGTTTGTGCTCTACTCACAAGTCGTCTACCGGGATCTCGTGCTCCTTGGCGATGGAATCGCAAAGTTCCCCCTTTTCGACAAAGTGCCACTTGTTGCCTATTATCACCAGAATTAGCTCAGCATGTTCGTCGAACTCTCTGCGGTCCTCTGGCAAGACTGTACAATTATCGGGAACACCGTTCTGAATGGGACTGGGCGTCACCACCGGCGGGGGCGGCGGACCGTAGTTGGAGCGATCAGGCGTGCAAACTGCCGGGAATCTGTCCATGGAGGTAGGCGAGGGCAGCTCCGTGTCGTACTCGCACCAACGACTGAAGAAGCTTTGGCACGCCCCGGGGAGATCGTCCGGGTGGAAGCCCTCTTGCCAGTCTTCATCGGTGATCCAGCACCATTGTGTCCACTCGTTTTCCTTGTCGGCGAGATCAGGGTCCCACGTCATGGTTTCGGGCGGGGGAGTGAAGGTGGGATCAAACTCGGACGTGAGTGTGATAGGACCCCGAGTCGGGCTTGTCTCAACGGAGCCGGTAACCCAGGAGCCGGTGAAAATGGATGACGACCTATACTGTCGTTAGTTCTCGTGTGATTTGAGCTTGGGCATGGAGAGATTCACAGCTGAGCATGGCTCGTGGAGATGGATTCTGAAGTTGTCGGGAATGGGACATTGCCGGGGGGCCTGTAGAGCATTTCTGTAAGTCTGGACATTCTTTTGGCCGTAGGAAGGACTCACTCGATGCATATGTGGCGCCCCTCGAACTGATCCAGATTCGGCGTGATGTTCGTGTTGCATTTGGTCTTTAGCTCTCTACAAGTGCCCAATGTCAGCAAACACATGGTAGTACCCTGGCATGATGGTGTGGTACTGACGGATTCCAAGACATGAGTTGGACAATGCTGAAGCCCTTGTCCCGGACAAAATCGTCGCACGTCTGGTTCTGCTTGATTGTAGCCAGCTTACAGGTGTCTCGAATGCAGAGCTCCCTGCCGGGCTGAAGCATTTGGCATTGCGCATCCAAGTTGTTCACGTCTATGAGACGGAAGGATGACATTGAATTTGACAAAGCAATTGCATCGCAGTCGTCGCCTTCTTTGGACGTGTAGGTCTCGCCTCGGCATGAGGGCTCGGGCGACGGCTCAGGCGAGCCGGTGGTGGTGGTTGGCGCAGGAGGTCCCGGTGTGTAAGTATAAGGATAATCATCAGGATCTGCATCGCAGTTCTCGAGCATCCTTTTGAAGTATGCTTCGGAGAATCTGGATCGGCCATAGGGAGACTCTTGCATGACGGCACCATAGTGGAGGATACAGTCGGAACAGGCTTCCACAGTGCCATTGTAAAGATCTCCTAGACAATAGTCGTCCCTAGAGAGGTGTGAACACATCTGTACATCCATATGACGGCGTGGGGAGACTCACCCTTCCTGAATGCACATGAGGTTCTGCGCCCAGCTAAATCCTTCCGCCAGAGCCTGGGCAGAGCTCTTCCGCTCACTACCTTCCTGAAAAGCGTAGAGCGTGTGGCCGCAGGCACTGGTGACCGACTTCTGGAACTCTGCAATGGATTCCGAGCAGCTATCAGAGCAGTAGCCGGTCAAGGCATCGCCGACGAGATGGTACTCTTGCTGCGCCTGGTCAGTCGTGACCAGAAAATCGCAAGTAATGTTGTATGTGAGCGCAACACGGCATCTCGCGGGAACAGAGGTCGAGATGTCTCCTGGGGTTTCGAAAAGCTTGACGGCGGAAATGAGTGTGCTGCTGGCCGAGAGGACCACGAATAGACTTGGAAGAAGCTTCATGTTGGCCGATGTTCAGCTCAAACACGACAGTCCAAGTAAGAATGAGAAACACGCGGGCCGTGGTGTTGATGGGGCGGCCCGCAGTCTGGTTTCAAGGGACTGATGCAAGGGGATCTACAGAGTAGGAAAACATCCGTGCTGACGGGCCCCTGCTTGGCCAAGGCTTGGGTACTTGGGGGCCGAGTTGCATTGCAGCGTCACATACGTCTTGGCGTTTATTAGGGTTCGTGGTCGTCTCGCTTCTAACGTAAGTACCGGTCAGCGTGTGCGTTCATCTATGTACACTAACCTGGCTCGATATAGACACCCTCTACTCCGTACCGAGGCTGCCTAGGGATGGTCATCCGCTACGCCGTAGAACTTGCTTCCAATCGAACCCCCTGGCTTGTACAACGGACCGACCTCACCATCTTCCCAGCACTCCTGACTCTCGACATTCCCGCGAAAGTGTGCCATGTCCAGATATACAATGTCGTCCCCAACGACCCTTGAGCACCTGACCTCGTGGCCCTTTTTATCCAGGAACACGAGCCGGGCTTGGCCGCTCTCGAAGAATGTCTTGTCGAAGAGCACTACCGAGGCTCCCGAGAGAGCTTCATATTGCACGGCGTCGGCGACTCTCTCTAGCCTTGACTGTCCGTAACTCCGCGTACTATCCAATTTCGACATGATTTGACCCATGTCGGGCTTTAGACTCCTGTCGGGTGTAACCTTGATCACCTCGGGCAGGATATCATAGATCTGCGCCCAGTCCTCGCCCACGTCAAAGAGCGATATGTCGTTCAGAACTCTCCACCAATAATCCTCCTCGTTGACTAGAGGCTCAGTCGTGATTCCGTCGTCATCAGCCAGAAAGTCCCTCATCTTCTGTTCGTCGGCGCTTCCGCCGGCGTACCAGGTGCGTGCAAACACTGGTTCATTCTGGTGCCTGTTTCGGAGACTCAGCAACATGCGAGCTACATTTCGAAGGCGAGTCGGCCTCCACGGCTCGAGGATCGTGCGGACTTCTTCTTCATTTGGCGGGCGCGAGATAACCCCTTCCCTGCCCAAGGCACTAAACAGCTCTGGGCCGGGGGTATCTTCTTGGACAAAGGCACGGACAAGACGCAGACGCTGCTGGACTGGGGTGACGGACGCAGCGGTGTGGTCCCAGTGTCTCTGCGAGGCTGTCAGGAAAATGCACTTTGCAGGGAGGCGTGCCTACTCGCGATGAGGTATTGCTCAGATGGAAAGTAGCCCCACGCGGGCGGCTCATCAGCTTCTGTCGCCGGTACAACCTTGTATCCGAGGCGGTGCCAACCGAAGGATGACATGATCGAATGCAGATCGAGCTGAGAGGAGACTCTTGGCTATGTTGCAGACAAAATGGCGGGTTCGGCGCTGGCTAATGTAGTCGCCTGTACAACGATGGCGACAGGGTCGCGCACCAATGGGCTGATGCTGATAAAATGTGACTCCGGTGTGCACAACGAATCAGAACGGAACCCGAGCTGCATGGAGGATAGCAAGAGGAGATGAAAGAGGAAGAAGACGAAGATTATGATGAAGAAGGACTGAAGTGGGGGGACAGCCCGACTCGCGAGATGCCTGAAGAGGAAGCATTTGGTGCTGTGCCGCAGAGTCGCAGACCGCGCCGCTCCACCGCATCCGGATCTGCAGGAACACTGCAACCCTATTATTAAGCTCATGGTCGTGAAAGGGGTCTATTTTGTGTAGGAGCCAGGGGTCGTAGCCGATGTGGATGGGTGAAGTAGCCCGAATGTTGTCGGGCCCCTTTTCACTTGTCACTTGCCAAAGGAGTCAAGGACCCTGTCAAGTGGGGGGATACTGCATACCCTACACCCTGCACTCTGCAGTCTGCAGGCACAGGCCTGTGCAAGGTAACCTGTACGTAGGCTGTGACGTACCCGCCCGCAAAGCAGCCTGGAAGGCTGAAGCCTGAGGCACATGTACGAGGGCACCTATCACACGTCTTCGCTCTCACGATAACCTCCAGTCAACAACCCAACCGCCTTCATGCGGGAAGACTCCATCCATCATCCATTTGCTTTCCCTGCACACCCTCATGTCACTTTGTGATATGAGCGCCCAGAGGCAGCGGCATGCGGCACGGATGGGATCTTCATTACCTCCCCGCTACTTTATGATGGCAAGGCATACCTCCAGTCTCCAGGAGGAGGCAGCCCTCACCCAAGTGGACTTGACGCGAGAGCTACATACAGCACCTCGTACCCCAGTGCCTCAAGTACTCTTGGCATGGCTACCTTGCACTCGCACGGTCAGGACTCGGCCGTGCGATGGCCTTTCTTGGCGGCTATGTGCGTGGGCCAAAGACATGCCCCCAGCTGTGAGAAATCAGGCTGCGAGTCTCCCAGAGACCGCGCGCATCTCAACGACCCTCGACAGATGTGGTGCACTGTGTTGAAGGAAAATGTGACAGGATGTGTTCGGCAAATCTTCTACAAAGACTTGCTTCTACAAAGACTTGCATCGTCTTCTCCCACTTGAGCTCTTGTGGAAGCTGTCCCCATGGCTGTTTGATGCCGCTCATTCCTTTCCCCAGACCTCTTCATACCTCGAACTCTCCATCTCTTCCTGCAGCCTCCATATTTTCTCATTACGTGTGCCTCTCGGTTGAATTTCACGCACTCTTGCTACACCCGCCGGAATGAAGGTCTTCCGTGGGGCCCTGCTGCCCTTCTCAGCCTTGACAGGTATCTTGACCTTCATGCTTGTCTTTCTCTCCTTCGAAGACGCTATCGCTTTGGCTCAGCAGAATGCAAAGTGCAGCGAGGGAAACCCCTGCAAGGTTGGCTGTTACAGTAAAGACGGCTCCTGCGGCTTCACCGAAGAGCACTGCGGCGACGGCTGTCAAGGCGACTGTGACTCCAAGGCCGAGTGTGGGCAGTACGCTCCAGAGGGTGATGAGGACTGTCCCATCAACGTCTGCTGCAGGTACTTATTATCCCTTCTGCGGCCTGTTCTTACGAGACTGTGTTAACCGTCATCCTACCTAGTGAACATGGCTTTTGCGGTGTTACCGAAGAGTTCTGTGGCGATGGTTGTCAGCCAAATTCCGAGGATAGCGGTTGCGGTGACGCCCCGTAAGTACACCATCTCTGGAAAGGTTCCTTTCTCGACTTCTCTGACGCCAGCTCAGGAGCCGGTCTTGTGATGCAGACCCCGACCCATTCAACCTCCCTGTTCGCGCAGCGTACTACGAACTCTTCACCCGCGGTCGAGATTGCGGTGTCAAGGAACCGGAGGATCTCCCCCTCGACCCCCTCACCCATCTCCATCTTGCATTCGTCAACTTTGACGACAGCTGGAAGCTCTCGGACGAGCACTCGGATTGGATCAAGCGCACAGTCCGCCGCAAGCTTGAGTACCCCGAGCTGAAGATCACCATAGCCATCGGCGGCTGGGCTTTCAATGACCCCCCCACGCAGTACTTGTTCTCCAACATGGCCAACAGTTACCCCAACCGCCAAATCTTTGTGCAGTCTGTCGTGGACTTTCTACGCACTTATGGCCTCGTGAGATGCCCTGCCCCGTCATAAGTTGATGTCTCAAGCTGACCCAAAAACCCAGAACGGGGTCGACATTGACTGGGAATACCCAGGCGCCAAGGACCGTGGCGGCGAGGACGGTGATGTGCAGGCCTATGCCCTCCTGCTATCGGATCTCCGCGATGCGTTCGAGGAGGAAGGCACAGGATGGGAGATCTCCATTGCCGTGCCCAGCAGCTACTGGTACCTCCGTGGCTTTGACCTCTTCAACCTACAGGAATACGTCGACTACTTCAACCTCATGTCGTACGACATCCATGGCATGTGGGACCTGGATAACGAGTGGACTGGCCCGTACCTAAAAGGCCACACTGACTGGCGCAAGATCGAGGAAGGTCTGGAGCTTCTCTGGCGAAACTATGTTCTTCCTGAAAAGGTCGTCATGGGCTTTGGCTTCTATGGGCGCTCCTTCACCATAGAAGATCCGTCTTGTGACGAGCCCAACGGCGTGTGCCGTGCTTCTGATGGCGGTGCCCCTGGTTCTTGCACAGATACGGCGGGCGTTCTCACATACTACGAGGTTGCCAGCCGCAACGGGACCGGCGACGTGGAGACATTCTACGACGCCACGAACACTGTCAAGTACAGCGTCTTTGGTGGCGACCAGTGGATCTCCTATGATGACCAACAGTCATTCCACGATAAGCTGATTCGTCTGTCTGAGAATTGTCTCGGTGGCCTCATGATCTGGGCCATTGATCAAGACACTGCCCAGTATGATGCCCTCCACGGCCTTCTCGGCGAATTCTCCACAGATGGTCTGGACGGTGGTACTGAAGACGAGACTCTGTCTGACTATTACGGTCAGTTCACTGGTCAAGACTGCATGGTCACAGTCAGGTGCTCGAGCGGCAGCGTGTCCGAGACGCACGAGGATTATGACTGTCCAAGCGGCTACCGTGGCGTCACCCTGGCGCACAACCCGGTTCAGAGGTGGCCCTTTGAACGCGACGGTGACTGCGAGGAGGGAGAATATAGAGTCATCTGCTGCCCTAAGGAGTCAATGCCTACCGGCTGCTTTTGGAATGGCGAGCCTGAGCGCAGTGTCATCGGCTGCACGGGAACTTGCGGGCCTGGATACTTTGAGCTCAACAGGGACACCCACGTCGACCAATTTGGAGAGGAGCCATGCTATCAGGGTCACATGTCTTTATGCTGTGAGACGACAGATATCATTGACGCATGCTACTGGACTGATTGCGATGGTCCCTTCACTGCCTCAGAGTCACCCAGATGTCGCGACGGGTACAAGTGGACGGCGTACCGCCATGACAAGCCCGACGGTGACGGCCTATGCCGCGAGACCTATGGAGACAATGGAAGCCCGCTCATTGAGCCGTTCAAGAGCTCTCTATGCTGCCCCGAAGAGTCTGCTTTTGACGAGTGCAATTGGGCCAACGACCCCGACTCTAGCAAGGACCCAGACCCTTTCCAGGCAGGCCCGGACACCTGGTGTCGTATCCCCCGGCCATGTCGACAGGACCAAATCAAGATTGCCGATGCCACATATCCTGAAGTTGTGTCTCGTCTAGGACGCAAGGAGGCCGAGTGCGACTCTATGTCTCTGCCCTCTGGCTACGATACGCGCATCAACCTTTGTTGCTCGCCAAACGACATTATGGGGCACGAAGAGTGGCCCGTTGACCCTGAACATCTTTGGGAAGATGAGTTTGACGATCCGGACACCGACGACGCTCTTTGGGAGTATGAGAGCCATCACAGTAACAATGACGAAGACGACGTTCGCGATGGTTCTCACGATATCGACGGCGACGACTCGTATGGCTTCATGATGCTCAACGGACCTAAAGAAACTCTGGATGATACCTTTGGCGAGACGCACACGGTCGTCCGTGAGAATGCGAAGATACCAAAGGTGAAGCGCGAGATATTGACATCTAATAAGACGCTCCTCGAGTCCGTGTTTGAACATTCGGAAGAAACCTTCCACGTCTACTGCAACCACAGGGAAGATTCAGAAAAGTGTCAGCGTGTCTTCTTGGGAGGCGCCGAGGACACCATCATTCGGCTGCCATCACATGTCGGCGAGGGCCCCTTTGCTCGCATTGTCTCCATGAAAAAGGCCTCCAAAGACATGCAACTCCCGGATCACCATCTGAAGCACCGTTCTACGGACAAAATTGAGGAGAACCCAGTTTACGAGGTCAAGATTGATTACGAATTCGCCACAGTTCGTCAAGACCGTGGCCACGTTAACATTCGAGTCGATTACACCAACCTGATGGAGTACTGGGACGAGGTCACGTCCGCCCCGGCAAAGCGAAGCCGCATCAAGCGCGGGCTGCCAGAGGAGACAGACGACGGGCCCTTCAGGCTCAAGCACTTTCGTGATCGAGTGAAGCGTGCACATGCCAACGAGCAGGCCAACCCTCTGAGGAAGCGCAGAGCGCCCCCTGTCAAAGCCACCGTCCCGATCCACCTGGAGTCAGACGATGCTGTAGCGTATTCAGCGGTCGGCTCTGAAGGCAGGACCGACGACATGGAGGCTCGGGATGAGTCCTCATCCATCAGCAAGCGTTGGTGGGGAACCTTTACGAACTGGCTCAAGAAAGCGACAACGGTGCAGGATGACAGCAAAGGCGACCTTCCACTCGACTTTGCCCAAAAGATCAATCTCTTCCGTCAGTCCTGGGGATGTCCTGGAAAGGGGTACCGCGCCACTCTTCGCATGGATCTCGACGCCGAGTTTTCCATGCAAGCTACGTATGCGTACTACTACTCGGGCACCTTTGTGCCTCCCTCCAAGCCAGACGTCTTCTTCTACTTTGGTATCGAGCCGGAGGCGTATCTCGGACTTAGCCTGGAGGGTAATGTGCGCTTGAACGCCACGAGCCATCGTACAAAGATCATCGACACGCTCAGCTATCCCGGTCTTGCCATCAAGGGTATTGCTGCCGTTGGCCCCACCCTGAATGTGTTCGGTCAAGTCCAGGGATTCATCAACATCCAGGGCAAGGCGAAAGCGGGTGCCAAGGTGAGTTTCGGCAGGGCTGAGGCATATTGGCCGGAGGATGAGGCGCTTCTGGAGGATTACGACAACATTTTGGGTCTGGATCTGAAGGATGATCCAGATATTCCAGAGCCTGGCCAAGTGACGCCCGTGTTTGAGTCGGGCGTGGCGATTGAGGCTGGATTGGACATTATCGTCCAGCCAGAGGTAAGTTGTCGTCTTTTTCCTTGGATTGTCTGCACGTAGCCAGGCCATAAGCTAAGATGTCTTAGGCAAACGTCGGTATCCAAGTTGGCGGCGGGAGCTGGACCGCCGGGCTCACAATCATTGACGCCCAGATCACAGGCTTCGTCAAGGGGATTGTCCAGTTCTTTGCCAGAGGCCGGACCACCAGTGGCACCAAATGGGACTACGACTATGGTGTATACCTCTACTACAACGTCGGCTACAATGCCAAGGCCACCATTCTTGAATGGGCAGACTGGGCGCTCGGTGCCAGAACCGCTTACAGTCCTGATCGGAGGATTACCATCTTCTACGACGAGGGGACGATTGACCTAGTAGGAAGCAATGATCGCCGTGACCTGCCACACCCCGACAATGCTTCGATGCCAGTCGTTGACAATGGCTTCACCCGCAGACAAGCTGACGGTGATCCTGATATCTCGATGTTGACGAGTGGTGGTCAAGGGACGTGTCCCGATGGCTCAACCCGCTCTCTCACGCTCCCAGAGCTCAAATGTCAGTGTTTTTCCTCGAGATCAAGCGCGGCTATGAATAGTGTTTGCTGACCCTGAGCCACAACAGTTAATTGCAATGCCTTCCGAGGTATTGAACTGACTGACAATGACGGGAGGACTCTATTCACGTCCAAAGGCCTCTGCTATGGCTACAAGGCCGCTGACGCTGACGGTAGAGAATTGACCCACGCCCCTGGAATCGGCGTCAAGGCGAAAGCTGCAGAGGACGCCAGACGTGATGCCCAGTGTCCATCTGACTACTGCGATGACGAGAAGGACGAGCTGCAAGAGGCGCTCGGGGTCACTCCCAAGCGTGTTCCCAAGCTTCAGTGTGATGAATTCCCCTGGGCAGCTAGCGAGGAGGGTGGGGACTATGAGCCCAGCAGCAGGCGCAGCCAAACTTGTGTGCCGGGTCCGCTGAACAGGATTGGAGGCTCCTGCGTCCGTAAGTGCTTTCAGGCTCCCCGACCAGCAATCCGAGACAAGATGGCTGACAGGCGGCGCTTTCAGGTATGATGAGTGATGTCTGGTCCAACGTTGGGAAAATGGAACCCAGTGAAGGCGATCCAGATATCAGAGAAGATGTATGGGTACGGTGGGGAGAGACATATGATTCGGACGAGGACGATGTCTACACCTGTAAGTTTGGCTGCGAGGCACGTAAGGGCCGTCATCTCTAACAAGATGTATCAACAGTCTGGGAGCAGGAGTACGAGCAAGAGATCAACTCTGACACGAAATTCTGGATACGCCAGCGTTTGACGGCTTACACGGAGCGACAGGGCGTGCCCGCTGGACAGGATCACACGTCTTGGAATGTGAGAGACGACTGGGCTTCTTTCAGATGCGCTTGGCATGGTGTACTAACCAATCCGTGTAGGACAATCTACGCAGCTGGGTTTTCAAGCGCAACTACACCCTCAGCCTCACAGATAGCGGCGAAAATGGGTTCTGGGGAGCCACCGACAACACTCTCACCGGCGCCGAGCAACCCCGGTACGACAACTCGAACAACATCCTCTGTGCTGTCAACACCTTTGGCCAGGACGAATGGTACCGCCAGCCTCGACGGACGGAAAACTCTGCGCAGTACAACGGAATCTGCTTTACCAGAAAGCACAAGTCGGAAGGGCGCTGGCCGGATGTCTACGGGACGGGGAATTGTCTGATTACTTTTGGGCCGAGCGCTTCATCGTCAGGGGATGCTAAGAAGCGGAATGCAGGGTGGGACATCAAGCGTAAGTCAACCCAAATTCTTGACGTATTGGGGACACGGGGACTCACCGAGACATTAGACATTGAGTATCTCACGGGCGACGATGCCGACGAGCAGCTCTGGGACGCCAAGGACCTCTTTGGTCCCTCGGGAGAGCCGACCTACCCCCTGGACTTGCCCGTGGAAAACTACGGCGGGCCGCGATCCGAATCCATGGCGGAGGCTGCTCGAGAAGAGCCAAGTGCACTGCTGATGAGCGATGATGGGGAGATTGATTCGTTTTCGGCGAATGTGAGAGATGCCAAGCTGGACGGGAAATGAACGCACATTGGTAGAGTATGAATCCATGTGTCCTTAAATAGATTGAGCCTATAGGTTTCTATCATCTCACTTTAGAGAACTGATGCCGGAAGTAGACATATAAAAACATCTAGTGATAAAGATCGGGTTCCATCCGGCGTGAGGGCCACGGGGGATCAAGATCTACCCAGAAGCTCATTCTTGTACCATTCTTCGTGCTCTCTCGCGGTAAGAGGGAAAAACTTCAAGTTCTGGATACCATGCTCCTCTAAGAACTCTTCACCACCCTCAACAGGCCAGACGTACTGGATAGCCTGGCGTCCACCTCGAGTCCTCAGTACCATGTGCTCAGTGATCTGTTCAGCTGAGTCAAGCTTCCGGTAGACCTTGTTGGGCCTATTTGCGATGGTTCCAATGACAAGCGTAGCCTGTCTGAACTTGCGAAGTCAGAGGGCAGGCGAGTGTTCGTGCGGCAGTGAAAGACGAGATTCTTCCATTCAGCGCTGGGCCAGTAGACGCGGAGACGCTCGGTCTCCGAAAGACTCTCGATAGCCGAATTGGGTATGGCCATCTGAACAATCACGACTGAGTCAACCTTGTTCCAGCGTTTGGCGTAGTTCGCGTAGTAGACAGCAATTTCTCTGTCGATGGTGAAATAAAAGGCGCTCTCAGAGCGGTGGAAGTCACTTGGGGCGCTTGAGATGAGCGACTGGAGGTTGATTACTTTACCGTCGCTGTCATGAAGTCCTATCATAATGTTAGTCGTATTTCCACGTCAGACTGGCAAAACATTGACCCATGCCTACGTACCGCTGATCCGCGCCTCGTCTACGGTTTTGAAGACGATAGTATAGCCCGGGGCATGGCTGGCCGACTCTGCTGCAGGCGACAAAGCGGTGACTCGTTCCATACTGGGAGATGTAGATCCTGAAGGTCGAGGACCAGCCCTCTCATGAGCCTCTCATGATGTCGTCAAGGTCTCCTCGAGACCGCGGTAGCGCATCCGCATCGTGTCGGCAATCCAGAGGAAACACGACTCAGTCAGGCGGATGCGTTTGAAGACAGGATCCATGATGGCGTCTTGGAGCTCTTTTGCTATTCCACAGCTGTCCATGCGGTGGTACCATTCCTGATCATCTTCGTCGACCACGTCCATTTGCCCGCGCTTAATGTGGCCTGTGGCAAAGTCGATAAAGGGCATGCCTCTAATGCTGTCGTCTGGCTCGCGGAGAATATCGCCGGGTGGCCAGTCACTCCATTCCTTCCAATACTGCGCAGCAATCTCTTCATTGTAGCCAATGTATTGCAGTGTTGCCTGTGATATCAAGCTGTCTGGCATTGCAGTCGGCGACTTGCCGTCCGTATTCTCCATGTCTAGAGCGTCAATCTTCGATCAAAGCTTTGAGTCAATACTTCTAGTTCTAGAATGATGGGAAAAAGACGCATTAGGTATTAACAGTTAGGTTGGCCAGGTATTCGGGCTGGGGTCTTGCTCTCTCACTAGGTACCTTATAGTCGAACATATACTCAAAGTCTAAGTAAACCTGAAATCTTATTTTGACTTTGATACTACGAGAAACAGGGCAGACTTTCGTAGCTTAAAGTGTATTAATCAACCTAGCCGAGACCCCTAGTGTTCGCCCTCTTTCGGTCCGAGTCAATTTCTTCCGAGCATGTTGAAGCTGGTTCCCAAGATGACACGAGGGGATCAGCTGCTTGAAAAGAGTAGCAGCCTTTATTACAGCTTCAGTGCACTAAGCATTTTTGTTCTAAAAAATTTTGCGAGCGTGCTTAGTTGTCCACCGTCATGACGACAGCTCCCTTGCGCCCCTGATCGAGGCTGTCCAGAGCGCTCATGTCGTCCTGATCCAGAGCGAAGCCGAAGACATCGGCATTTTGCTTAATGCGACCAGCATTGTCGCTCTTGGGCAACGGCACGAACCCCTTTTGCAAAGACCATCGAATCAAGACCTGGTTCGGAGACACGTTGTGCTTCTCCGAGATCTTGACCAGTGTAGGATCCTCGGCTTTGGTGTTGCGCACGATGGGGCAGTACGCCTCAATCACGATGCCGTTCCTCTGGCAGTAGTCAACAATTTCGCGTTGCTGCGCCCATGGATGGAGCTAAAAGGGTGATACGAGTCAGAATATCCGCACGAGATATCGGGGCGACAAAAGACTGTACCTCAATCTGGTTGACGTGTGGCGGCCAGACCTGCGCAAACTGCTTCATCTCCTCAATGTGCTGGATGCCGTAGTTGCTCACGCCGATGCTCTTTGCCTTTCCTTCGCTGTAGAGCTTCTCGAGCGCGAGCCAGACCTCCTTCCTCTTGGCCGCGCCAAAGGCCGCATTGTGGATGAGGAACAAGTCGGCGTACCCAGTCTCACCTGGCGATGGGTCGAGCTTCTTCACGCTCTTCACGCAGCTCTCGTAGCTCTTGTCGACGGATCCACCCGCCGTGAGGATCTTGGTCGTCAGGAAGACGTCCTTGCGGGGAAGGCCTGATTTCTGGACGGCCTGGCCCACCTCCTCCTCGTTCTCATAGTACTGCGCCGTGTCGATGTGGCGGTAGCCCAGCTCGAGCGCAGTGAGGCAGGATTTCACGCAAGTATCATTTAGCGATTGGTAGACTCCAAACCCGATCTGGGGGATCTTGACCGAGTTGCCCATGTTCAGGGTGCTCGTGATGCTGGTGGGTGCCATCTTGATGGTGGTGATGTCACTGATGTGGACGCTGTGGCACGATGTGAGGACAGTTACTGCTGGCGAATTGGAAGCAGAATGAAGACACGAGTTGGTGAAGATGAAGGACCTGAGTATTTTTATCAAGTGTAAAAAGCAATGACATCAAGCGGAAGCATGCAGCGTCTCCGATTCTCCAGTCGTCACTCATTGATGTGTGCAGGTGAGGTGGAGCGAGGTGGGTAGCCAGCGTTGCCGCTTTACGGCCAGCTTTCATGTTGCCTGGCAGCCTGGGCGCGTCATAAATATGGAGGAGGCAGCTCTTCTCGTCGACATGGATCTGACTTTACAAACCGTAAACAATAAAACAAACAGCGGGAATTCAATCCCAGCCCACAGTATCTTCACTGTCGAGAACTCCCCATCGATCTCTTGATTTCCCTTGGGTGGCGACGAGGACGCTCCCTAAATGGCGCAGGAACTTTCCTACCCCCTTTGGATCGATTTCAATGAAAAAGAAACGAAGTCTGCATGCGAAGGATGCTACACTTATGCGAAATAAAGCCACAAGATGGTCTCCAGAGAACACGCTGAAAGAAACAGGACAAGGGCCAAAACCATCAACTGACGTATCGACGCGACATTGAAGGGCCATGGTGGTCTTGAATAGCTGCCACGACGTCCTCGGCAGATATGTATTCGCACCGCCAGCAAGCCTGGATGACCGAGGCGCACATGAGTCCTTGGAGTGGCGGGAACTCTCCCTTCCTGTACCTCTCTTCCACGTCCTCATCTTCTAGCTGGCTATAGGGTGGTACGCCGGCGGCAATTTCATAGAGACTGGATCCCAAGGCAAAGAGGTCTGTCTCCACGCTACATAAAGGGTCAGTCTTCATGTCTCGCGGGAGATAGTATCTTGTCGACTCCAAGCAAAGGGGATCTTTGACGTCTATCGCGCATCCAGATAGGTCGATGATCCGCAAGCCGAGATTCTTATCGAGCACCATATTTTCAGGTTTGATGTCGGCATGGATAATGTTGTGCGAATGAAGGAGTGCCACCGCCTCTGCAGCCTCAAAACACCAAGCGGCGCGTTGCGCATCTGAAATTGGCTGATCGGAGGCTAGGTATTTGCTCAATGTGCCGGTTGGCATGTATTCCAGCGTAACGAATGCATCATCAACGTCCAAAGAGTAATCAAACATCTGCACCAGTCTCGGGTGGATCTTGGGCAGCCACTGATAGACTTCGACTTCGCGACACAGCTGTTGAACTTGCCATTGCTTGTCGTAGCCTCTGTTTTGCGGGTGAGGAAATTTTCTGACACGATCACCTGGAGGAACGAGCTCGATGAATCCAGTGTTGCCCCATCCCAGACAATTGTTCTGTGACGTGGTAAGAGGATGGATTGCTTTCGTGAAAGCTATACCAGGTCAGCAAATGACTTACTATGCGCTCGGCAATCTCGTCAGGAAAAGTATATTCGTAGTTTTGGTCGTTTTTCTCCATAGTGTGAAGGATTTCCGCCGGCTCGTCGCGGTGATTTGGGAGGGAAGTGTGTATTAAATCAGAAACGACGCGAGGCGCGAGGCGCCAAATTAGCCGACCGTCATCAGACCTAGGGGAACATTTGTGTTACCGGTAGGACGGTACGGAGTACATAATCACTAGACTCGCAGTTACAGGGATGCGAAAGGGCAAATATATGCAGAGTGTGATAGGGTAGGTAGTAATTTTACAACTCCATCACAGAGAACTATGACACGGGTATTTATGGAAAACATTCTCAGTCAGCAATAAACACCGCTGCGCATTGGATTTCTCCTTTTCACAGTCAGGGGCTGGCAGCCACAAATCCCTCCAGCCACAAGCCACGTTTACACGCAGGTGCCTTCATCGAATCTTCACGCTGTCCCACGCGAGTTTGTTGATGGAAGCATTAGGTAAATTTTACCTCTCTTCCCCGCATCACGTAGAGATTGTTTGACGAAGTTCCGGCGCCTGGACTATCTGCAGTCTAACTTTTTTGTCTCTAGAACATGGCCTAGAAGTGTCCGAGCCCACCAGTCCACTGGCAGGCTCGGTTCCCCCACCGAGGAGCTCGCTTCTCACCCCGAACCCCACCATACCTCCTCACCCACTAGCTGAGTCGGTACGTGTCACCGAGATCGCTGTTCTCCATGCACTCTGTTCATCAAATTACGTCGCTAACTGGATCACGACAGTCATATCTTCTGCCTATCACGCACATGGCGTGCCGTTTGTGGCCACCGGTCCCACATTGATAATCGATTCCCCATGGGCACGAGATGGCCAAGGATAGGGACTCAACCTAGGGTCATCATTGGGTCTGACGCCGATAGGTCGTGGACTGATTCGTCCGTCTGATATAAAAGTCCATTCATGTCCTCGACCATGGACCGACTTTGTAACTCACGATCCGGTGTAAGCGTCCCATGACCACTCTTCCAACATAGCAAACACGAAATTTTCAAATCGACCCTCTTCCTCACTCCTCCTCTACCGACATTGGACATAGAGGCCTTTGGTTGCGCTCTACAGACCACCGCAGCTATGGCGACAACCGTCGATCTGGAGGACATGAAGCTGGACGAGCAAAACATGCCGACGACCATCACGTCGCATCAGAATGGGGAAATGGCGGACACCGAGAACCAGCTCAAGCGCGAGTTCAAGCCGCGCCAGGTCTTTATGTTCTCCATTGCCTGCGCCATTGGGACAGGTCTCGTCATCGGCTCCGGTACGGGCTTGTCCAGGGGCGGGCCTGGGAGTCTTCTGATCTCCTACATCATGGTGGGCGTGGCCGTCTTCTTCGTCATGACCAGCCTGGGCGAAATGGCTGCCTTTGTCCCCATGAACAAGGGCTTCGCAGGCTACGCCAGTCGCATGGTTGACCCTGCTTTTGGGTGAGTGGCTGCCAAAAAAAAGTTGCCTCTCGTGCCGTATCTGACTGTCACGTAGCTTCGCCACAGGATGGAACTACTTCTTCAAGTACATGATCGCCGCGCCCGCCAATCTCACGGCAGCTGGACTCGTCATCCAATACTGGCGCCCCGACCTCAATGTAGCCATATGGGTCGCGGTCTTTGGCGTGGCCATCATCACCATCAACGTGCTGCACGTCTCCATGATTGGCGAGACGGAGTTCTGGCTAGGCGCCACCAAGATCCTCGTCTTAATCATCCTCATCATCTCCTGTCTCGTTGTCGCCCTGGGCGGCGGCCCCAACCACGTCCGCACTGGCTTTCACTACTGGTCTGACCCTGGCGCCTTCAAGGAGTACCTCGCTGTGGGCTCTCTTGGTCGTTTCTTGGGTTTCTGGGCGTGTGTGTGCCAGGCTTGCTTCGCTTATGTTGGCACAGAGGTTGTTGGCATGACCTTTGGCGAGACACCGAACCCGCGCAAGAACATCCCTCGCGCCGTGAAGCAGACGTTTTGGAGAATCGCCGTGTTCTACATTCTTGCTGTCGTGGTGCTGGGAATGGCTGTCCCCAGCGATAATGAATTGCTCATTGGCGCCACGAAAAAATCGACGAGTGCTGGTGAGTGCTCGCTGCATCTGACTATGCCAAGATAGCTAACATGGTCGGTTCCAGACGCGTCTCCCTTTGTCGTGGCCGTTCGTCTTGCTGGCATCGCCGTACTACCAGACTTTGTGAACGCCTCGCTGCTTGTCTTTACACTGAGTGCCGCCTGCACAGGTATTTGAAGCCCTCCAGAATTTGGCCCATGAGCCACAAGGGATAACCAGCTGACTGAGAAATAGATATTTACTGCGCTTCCCGATCCCTCTATGGACTGGCCCGAGACAAACAAGCACCCGCTATCTTTGGCAAGACGTTGAAAAACGGCAATCCGATCTGGGCCACGGCTGTGAGCTCATGCTCGGTCGCCTTGGGGTTCCTGAACGCCAGCAAGTCCTCTGGAACTGTCTTTCAATACCTGGTCAGCCTGGTCACCATCTTCTCCGTGTTGAACTGGTTTGCCATCCTGGTGTCTTTCCTATTCTTCCGCCGCGCCCTCAAGGCGCAGAGAATCACGCCCTCGATGCTCCCCTACTCCTCCATCGGACAGCCCTGGGGCGCATGCTATGCCCTGTTCATATCGTGCAGTGTCATCATGTTCAGTGGCTATGATGCATTCATGGGTCACTTCCAGGTCGATGTCTTTGTGCTGAAGTATCTGGGTGTTGCTTTGTTCATGCTGAACACTGTCGGCTGGAAAGTCTGGAAGAAGACACGAATGGTAAAGCCAGATCAGACGGACCTGATCACGGGACGGCGGGAGTTTCAAGAGACCGAGTTCCCCAACGAACAACAGTGGAACGAGGGCTTTTGGCGAAAGCTTCTCCGCAAGGGCAGAATCGGTTCTTGAATCAGGAGATCGGGCCAGTAAAGTTAAGAGTATCTACATCGCAGAAGGGCCTCTTGGCTGCAGAGTGTTACACGATATCGCAATCTTACAAGAGTTACTTTACTGTAAGCCTGTCTCGTCTTCAAAGTCGCCACCATCCCAGTTCTGCAGGCTCGTTTCCCACAACCAGTCTCCTCCCAGTAAGTTCGAGTCCATTTCGACGATTGGATAGCGACCGATCATGTCAGCAATCGAGAGAAAGTCTGCAGAAGCAAGACCCTCGTCAATGTTGCCTAGATCATCATGTTCATGTTGCCTGCTCTCTTGGGCTTGCTCGCCGAACGAGGATGCAGCGTGCCGAGCGACGAGTCCCAAGATCTCTTGGAGTCTTTCAAGCTCCTGAAGGCGGAAACGTGCTGCGACGCTGCCGCTTTCCTCTAGGGCTCCTATGATCTCGAGCGCATGCTCGAACCAGCCTGAATCCATGACATCGGGGAAAGGGTGGATGGCGTTGGTCAACATCAAGATGAAGGCTGCCGAGAACGCATACTCTAGATCGAAAGGTAGAAATGAGTCTACAGGCCGTCAGAGGTGAAGATCTATCGCCTAAAATGGAGGACTGAGACTCACCGAGCAAGTCGCGCGATTGCAATGCACTGAGGATGCGAAGAGACTTGTTGGCTGACTCGCATGAGGCATGCAGAAGACTGATGACTGGGTGCGCAATTTCACGCACTTTCCCTTGCACTCCCTTCTGCTGGGACAGTCGTTCGCGTAGCAAACACATGAGAAGCGGCCTCGTAGCAAGTATGATGCACTGTAGTCTTCAGTGTCAGTTGACCGCGCCACGCGCCACGTCACTGCCTCACGAACCTGATGGTAGCACAAGTTCAGAGTCCCCGACATTCTGTTGACGGGGATTGATCCGTCAATGCTCAAGTCAGTTGATGTGGCAATTGTCTCGGCCAGGCGGGCGAGCTCTCGCAACGTGGACTGCACAATGCGCAAGAAGGACGTTGGCAATCTTCCATCCACGGCATAGACAGCTGGTGACTGTCAGCAGATAATACGCAGCACCCAGATCAAGGCAAGCTTACTATCAATGACCTTTCCAATAAGCCTGGAAAGCTTGATGTGCATGTCGAGCGCAGCGAGTTTAAGCGGAGAGGCGTAGAGGTTCCTCGGAAGACTAGCAGTAATAGCAGCATCGCTGACTTGCGTTGGCGTTCCCATCAGATACGAGAGTTTGCGGTCGAGGATGTATAGTGTCCACCAAGCGCTCTTTTGCCGATCATTCGAGCGCTGGGTGTCGGCGCCGTCAATGGAGTCGTGATGAATGCCACAGCCGAGAGCGACGCGCAAAGCAATGCCTAGCTAGACATGTTGCGTTAGCAATACCACTCAGCTTGTCTTAGGGCTGGGTATTGACTCACGTATATGAAAGCCTTGAAGCGGTGATCGACGGACTGGAGATAAAGAGCAATCCCGCAGCAGACTTCGATGGTGAGAACTGGGTCGGCATACAGTTCGCCAACACTCGGCAGTATCTCCATGGCGTGTAAGAAGTACTTCTTCCCATATGGCGCAGCTTTTGGCAGTCCCCGGTGCAGTAAAGCTTTTCCCAGGGCTATGATGACAAAGTATTGAGAAAGCCAGAGTCTCGAAGTCATCGACGAGAGCTCCGCACCGTTCTCGTACAGCGACATGAGCTTCTCCATGAACACGGTTTCGTCGAACAGATGATAGGTCTGTCCAATGTGAAACTTGACCGTGTTTGTGAGGTATATTGCATAGTCCAGTGGAGGCAGCGTCCCGATATCCAGGCTGCTGATGTTGACTGGGTTGTTCGGTATGTCCAGCGGAAAGGCGACCCCGTCAGGATTCTGGGGTACCTCGGGAGACTCGTGGTACTGCAGATGCTCCTTGAGTATTCTCACGACGTGACGACTGTACGCCCAAGTGGATGAAGGTCCGAGGAAGCCTGTGGTGAAGAATTAGTACGAACGCCACACCTCTTCCAAGGCTGGCTTCACTCACGTTTGTGGCCTCGAGCATCCGTGAGAAACTTTGAGGGCGATACAACGAGGGGATTCTTCATGGAATGGTCCACATTGTCGTCAGAGTCGGCAAACTCGACCTCCTCCCTATCCCCAGGGTGAGCTGAGCGATGGCCATGTGATGAGGATGCTGTCACTGCACGAGTTCTGGTCAGTAAATGGAATGAACCATGAATCTATGGGCGGTGCGCGATCAGCTTGCACGTCCAGTGGACCGACGTACCTCGTCGCTTCGGCGGCCTCAGTCTATCTTCAGAGTCTATACTCTCGACCTTTCTCTTGAGCTCTTGTAGTTCCCTGCATGCGAACGTCAGGTGAATGGGCTCGACGTTGCCGCTGAGTCACATACCTCTTCGACACGAGCACCTTCTTGTCGTCAGAGTCAAAGATGCATCGCTCAGCGCGGCGCGTGCAATTGACACATGGAGACGTCCCCGAGCACCGTACTTTGCGGTCCCGGCATTGTATGCAACTGAGTGAAGATGATCAGTCCTCGCCATCCCGGGATTCACAATGGCCACGAGCCGGGTACGGCTGGGGCCACTCACGCTGGTGTCTTGCGCTTGCTTTTCGTCACAGAGGAGCAACCGCCCCTGCTAGTGGTCTCAGCGCCATCCATGTCCGCGGGGTCAATTGCCTTCTACTGCAGGTATTGACGAGTAATTGGTCAAGGACTGCTGGAGGCATGAATGGTGGAGGAGGAGCAAAAGAGGCTCACCATTCACCTCGTCCCCGCCACTGGATAAGATCCCGTGTTTTATTTCAATTGGGAGTCGACCCTGTTGATTAGCGTGAGATTAGTGTGTGGGGTGAGCGAGGCATCATCCGGCGACAATGAATGAAGAAATACCACATCCAGCAATTCCGGCGCAGATGCACGACTCATGTCCCGTGAAGCACGAGAGCGAGGATGTGAAGTTGACAAATGCCAAAAAGCTGCTGCCGTCTCCAGCGACAGCGCAGCCACCAGACCAGACCGCGCGGCCACTCGTGGTTTATTGAATTACTAGCCCAGAGGAAAACATCCAGAGACAGTCAGAAGCTTCAATTATCCTCGCTGTCTATTGCGATCCAGTCGACGTCGGCTCTGGAATAGCCGCAGAGCACTTGGCAGCTCCTTGGGCTATTAACCCAGAGTCTTGCTGGCCCAAGATGTATCGCACACCAAGAGTGTTGATGGCCCATTGATGAATATCATCCTGGCCATATATCCCTGCCAGTCCCATGACCTTTCCATTGCTTTTACACGCAGCCGACACCTTCTCCAGAGCCGTCCTAAAGGTCTCAGTGCGGAAGCCGCCTGGCACTCCCAGCTCGATGGCCAGGTCATTGGACCCAATCAACAAGACGTCGACTCCCTGGACTGCTGCAATGTCTTCCACACTCTCGACACCTTCTTGCGTCTCGATCATGACTACCACCGTCGAGGCAGAGGTATTGCTGTCCTCCACCACAGTCTCTGCCGGCGTTGCCTTGTAATTAAACACGGGTAGCTGGCCGGTCATCGAACGGAGACCCAGAGGGGGGTACTTTGCAATCGACACGCATGCTTTGGCTTCTTCTATTGCGATGAATTAGAGAATCTAGCAAAATGTCGCTGTGATTTTTGGGCCTGTGGAATGACTTACTGGACGAAGATATGTGCGGAAAGACGACTCCCATGGCTCCAGCGTCCATGACCTTCTGTACATAGCCATTGCCGCACTGATAAGGCACGCGCACAAAGGGCGTCAGGCCTGCCAACAGGGCGGCTGTGCTCATGTTGCCTGCATCAGTAATGGAAAGGGCAGAGTGCTCCAGATCGATGAAGAGACTATCAAACCCTCCATTCTGCGCGAGATAGACAATGTTCGGATTCGTCACGAGGCGCACACCAAAGGCCTGGAAGAAAGCCGCTTTAGCCAACAATCAAGATTGCACTTCGAGGTGATTTGACATATCTTACCTTGCAGACCTGACCAGCAGCGCTGCGGATATTAAGGGCGTTAGGGCAGGAGACCATCTTGAATTCTCTGGGCGAATAACGCGAAATTGGAAAACAAAGCTCGATCACAAGTAGTAAAGTTAGTAGCCGCGGTGGAAACAATCACTGATCAATCAATGATCGGTTTTTGTGTGTGTCAAGGCAGGGGGCAGTCATCTTATGCCACTTGCAAGGCTAGGTAAGTAGGTATGCATGTTCTTCCGTGGACACATGCTTGCCAACATTAACCAGGCGACTTCGGCAAGCACCTCAAGCGAATCTTGAGTCCCGAAATGTCAGAGGCAACGTGAAAAGCCTCGGTCACGCCATCCGGATCGTGGAGTGTGGAATCTCTGGATGCTCGGTCCCTGACACCGAACTCCACCTCGGGACGGTCGCCGAGGGGAGCCCCTATTTTCAATTGTTGGCATGCTCGGCATGGAAACCGCAGCAAAGTCATGGATCCCTCATTGCCATTCAAATATTGATTGATAAGTGATGGCCGTGCAACCCAATTGCAGAATGGCAAGACGCGACGGAGCGAGTAGTCGAGTACGCCCGTAATCCCGACAATCAGCATCAGCAACTCCAAGTTTACATGTGGTAGTCACTGAGGTCTCAAGATTCTCACCATGGGGTTCGAACACATTCAGCCTGGGCCTCCGGATCCCATGTACACTTTGAAGTACAAGGCCGACAATGACACGAGCAGTGAAAAGGTCGATCTAGGTGTGGGCATCTACCGTGACGAGGAAGGCCACTACCAAGGTCTCGAGAGCGTGAAACAAGTGAGACTCTCCAACCAGACTCCACGAGGAGACTCAAGATCAGGAAGACTCACATTGCCGTGTACTTTTAGGCCGAATCGGAGCTCTTCAAGGCAGATCCTGGCCATGACGTGAGTATGTTTCAATTCGTGTGGTGGTATAACACACAGTTGACACACGACAGTATGAAATGACAACCGGAAACCAAGACTTCCTTGCTCAGGCTTCACAGACAGTGTTTGGCAAGAAATCCATCGCTTTTGACAAGGTAATCATAGCGGCTGCAACACATCGCCTCCAACACCACTTTGTCGAATGTCCAGCTGACTGTTCCCCAGGTTGCATCTGTCCAGACCATTTCAGGGACTGGTGCTGTACACCTCGCCGCCTTGTTCATTGCCCAATGTATGTCTTCCAAAACAGCCGTCTACGTCGGCGTGCCGACATGGGGCAACTATCGCCCGGCGATGGAGCTCGTTGGGCTGCGACAACTGGAATATCCTTATCTCGACGAGGAAACCCGCACATTCGACCACGAGACTACACTTGAAGTAATCCGCACTGCTGAGCCGTCGAGCGTATTTGTGCTGCAAGCATGTTGCCACAATCCCACCGCATGCGACCCGACACCAGCGCAATGGGAAGAGATTATCGAACTGCTGCATGCCGGCAAACACATTCCACTCTTCGACATGGCATATCAGGGGCTTGGCGATGGTATCGATGAAGATGCGTACGCCGTCCGCGCCGCTGCTCGAAAGGGTCTTAACATGTTCGTGTGCCAGTCCTTCTCCAAGAACATGGCGCTGTACGGCGAGCGTTGCGGCGCGCTGCATGTCGCATGCGAAAGCAGCGCGGTAGCTGCCAATGTTCATGACCGACTTCGATGCCTCTTGCGATGGGAGGTTTCTTCTGCGCCGATTTATGGCTCACGGCTCGCGAACATTGTGTTGCAGAACGACGAGCTCAAGCAAACCTGGTGAGGACTGCCTGTTGTCATGTGGGCACATGAAGCAGGCGCTGACTGAATCACAGGGAGGCCGAACTAGGCACTATGCGGAAACGCCTCGGGCAGCTAAGGAGGCAGCTGTTCATCCTTCTCACTGAGAAATTCCAGGTATGCAGTCGACTAGAGCCGCCACCGGTGCCCCTGAGACTAATACGTCGCTTTTAGACACCAGGCGATTGGACACACATTACTCGGGAGAAGGGCTTGTTCTCGTGAGTCTGGGATTGCAACTTTGAAAACGAATACTCGCTGACCAGATCAAAGGTACCTAAAGATAAGCCGAAAGCAATGCATAATCCTCGTGGATGAACACCACATCTATCTCCCAGAGAACGGAAGAATCAATGTCTCGGGTTTGAACTCCCAGAACGTGATGCGAGTGGCCCAGGCAATCGACAGCATTGTTCGAGACGAACAAAGTAGTCACGTGGCTATGGCAAAGACCAGGCTCTAGGAACAAGCCATAGGGGGCCTGCGAGGGGGACGAAAATAAGGATCGATAGCAATCAATTGATTCAATCAAGATCGATGATGGCAAGGATCCAGAAAAGATCTCAATGAGAGTCTGAGACTCTGAACTCTCCACAGAAGCCAACTGGCCAAAACCTGAAAGACCAACCTCACTGTGCTCAAACATCAGCAATGGCTTTTCCTCAACGCCAGCCATGTCGTCGGAAGGCGACTGGAGTTCAACAAGACTCCAACTACGAGACGTGATGTGGCCAGCAAAAGCGGCGCCCGTTCTAGCCGATTAACAGTGTCTCGAAGCCGCATGTCTTGCCGCCATATGTAACATGACGTGCTGCATTTTGCACAACTTCTTCGTCTATGCGCTAGAATACTGCCAGTCCGTCAACAGTGACAAGTCGATCATCGAATTGTGTCGCAGAGCAATTTAATTGGATTCAATTATGCATTATAGCCTCCGGATGGTACTGTGGGCACAGGAGGCCCGTCTTCCCAGAAGTCGATGATCTCACGAATGCTATTTTGAATCTGGGGACCAAGTGACATGGCGACCAACATGAAGTTGGCATCGCCACCCTTCCTACCATGGCATTCTGATTTTGAGCTCATATCTTCCATCCTGGGAGATAGTTCACGATGGGAATCTGGGATGCGACACCTCAGCCGACGTATTTCACCTGCACGCTCGCGCAGGCGATACAATTGAGGGCGCAGGATGGCTGTCAGCAGCCGGCCTTTACGACTGTGCTGGACCTCCTCGAGAAACAGTCCATCGTATTGCCACAAGCCCTGGCCCTAGGTTTCGCGGACTTCACCTCGGGCAATTCAGCAGCCTCATGTGCGTTGCATAAGAGGGCCAAGCTGGACTGGCTGACACGGGACCAGGCATCATCACTTTCCAGCGACTTCATGCCCTGTCCTACTACGCGGCTGAAACCTTGAAAGACCGGGTGGAACAGACCTCAAAGCCTGGCAACATAGGATTGCTCTGTGTCAGCGGAATCGAGTACACGCTGACATGGCTCGGCCTGGTGCGTCTGGGCTATTCCGTGCTCTTCATTGCGTAAGGACTCCAATGGACGACCCGTCATCCATGAACAATCGATGCTGATAACGATTCCAGCCCTCAGCTGGAGCCCAAAGCCATTGAGAGTCTTTGTGACACGCTGCAGGTCAAGACCGTATTTGTTCATGGCAAATTTCGTGATCGCGTGTCCTCACTGTCGGGACATCTCGACATTCAGGATGTTCCGGAATACGACTCTGGCGTCGACTTGTCCACGTTCAACTTGCAGAGTAGCGATGAGAAAGTACCAGAGGTGGCTTATTACTGCCACACATCAGGTACATCGTCAGGCCAGCCCAAGCCCGTCCCACAGTACCACGAGGGCATGATCGCTGCCCTGCACCCAATACACAGTGAAGACAGACACGCCACATTCTCGACAACTCCGCTATATCACGGCGGATTCCCAGACTGCTTCCGAGCATGGAGCAGCGGCAGCATGGTATGGTTCTTCACTGAAGGCGCGGCGCCCATCACTGGCCGCAACGTACACAAGGCAGTCCGGTTTGCCCAGGAAGCGACTGGCGGGCCTCTGATCAAGTACTTCTCTTCCGTGCCGTACATCTTGCAGCTGCTCGCCGAGGAAGAACGGGGTCTGGCGCTCCTGCGGGAAATGGACATTGTCGGCGTCGGCGGTGCAGCCCTCGCGACAAAGGCTGGCGACGACCTCGTTGCCGCGGGTGTCAACCTTGTGTCGCGCATGGGAAGCGCCGAATGCGGATTTCTCATGTCCTCGCATCGCGACTTCGGCAAGGACAAGGAGTGGCAGTATCTGCGAGCAGTGCAGGATGTTCGACTTCTTCAATTTGAACCGCAGGGTGACGGGTTGTCCGAGCTGGTCGTGAAGCCCTCGTGGCCATGCCTGGTCAAGACGAACCGGGATGACGGCTCCTATGCGACCAGCGACTTGTTTGAACCGCATCCCACGATCGCCAATGCCTGGCGCTACCACAGCCGTGCAGATGCGCAGATCACACTCGCCAACGGCAAGAAGTTTGATCCGTCACCAGTGGAGGCTAGCATTGTGGCATCCAGCCGGATGCTCGTGGATGTTCTGGTCTTTGGAGGCGGTCGAGAGTACGCGGGCGCTCTCCTCTTTGTCAAAGACGGCGAGTCTGCGACTGACGAGGACATCATGAATGAGCTGTGGCCAGTCATCAGGGACTTGAATGACGCGAGCCAGAGCCACACCCGGATTTCCAAAGCCATGCTTCGCGTGGTACGTGCCGGTTATCGACCCCTGGAGAAGAGCAGCAAAGGGACTATCATCCGATCACATGCCGAGAAAACGTATGCCCAGAGTATAGAGGCGCTCTACTCTGGTTCAAACACAAGTGTTCATATCGGCGATGGCGACATTTCCACCATTGTCGGGGATTGTTTCTTTGAGGTCACTGGAAAACAACTCGATCCCGAGATCGACTTGTATCAGCAAGGCGTTGACTCGATCACCTGTGTCCAAGTACGCAAGATTCTCGAGTGCCGAGTTCTAGGGCAGACGAAGAGCTTGCCATTGAACATCATTTATGATCAAGGCACAATCTTGGGTCTCGAAAGATTCCTGAAGGATGCCTCCTCAGATGGCCAAGTCCACGGGGTCAATGGCAATGATCACACCGGCGTGCATCAGAGAATGCGTGATCTCGTCACCAAGTACAGCCGCCGCCTTGGGGGTTTCAATGCCGAGAAGCATCGAACACGCCAACTGAGGCCCAGGACTGTACTCCTGACAGGAGGAACCGGTTTCCTCGGGAGCCATATCTTGGATCTGCTGAGCAGAGACCCGGACGTCCAGCGCGTATACTGTCTTCTGCGGGCCGACACGGACGCGACCGCCCATCAACGTGTATCGCAGTCGTTAAACGATCGAAAGCTCGCTCCCATTACCGAAACGACTGCCTGTGTCTCATCAAACCTGGGTGATGGGAACCTGGGATTGTCCCCCGAAGCAAAAGAGCTCCTGCGCAAGAACCCTCCCACGCATATAATCCATGCGGCTTGGGCTGTCAACTTTGCTCTCCGGCTTGACTCTTTCGAGTCACAGATCGCAAGCACCGCCAATCTGCTCAACTTTGCAGCAGAGTCTGGAGCCCACTTCACCTTTGTCAGTTCGACTGCCGCTGTCACCGAGTCGAGCGTCAGTCCTATACCAGAGACTCTGTCGCAAGATCCAGCGGACGCATCACCGCTCGGGTATTCGCAGTCGAAGTGGGTGGCTGAGCATGTATGTGCAGCAGCAGCTAGACAGGCACTCCAATCTTCTAGTTTAGGACGCGCCGTTGGCGACTGTCCCGTTTCGGTTGTACGTGTTGGGCAGCTGTGCTCAAATACCATGGGTATCTGGAACATGTCCGAAGCATATCCGCTGATGCTCTCGACGGCGCGGATCACCGGATGCCTGCCCAGGCTGGAGAATGAAGTCCTCAACTGGCTGCCCGTGGAAGTCGCTGCACAGGCCGTGATGGAGGCTTCGATAGCACAGCGTGGTCAAGCCACCGACGACGTGCTTCACATCCTCAACTCTAACGAGACACTGACATGGACCCAACTGCTCGACTGGATACAAAAAGAAAACAGGTCCCAGAGCGCAGAGCTTGATCTAGTGGCGCCACGGCAGTGGCTCTCTCGTCTCGATGAGGCGTTGCTGCAGCATCCAGAGCACCCATCCCAAGCCCTTCTTGGGCTGTGGAAGAGGGGAATGTCTGGGGAGTCTCGACCAGAGCATAAGGCGCCATTGCAATTCAGCATGGATGTGACAAAGGCTGCTCTGCCTGTCATGGCCAACGTCGTTCCACTAGATAAAAACAGGATCGTGCGCACGTGGCGGTGGGTGCAACAGCAGAGGTCGTGAGTTGAAGAGGCGAGTCGCGGAAGATTAGGCGGCTCAACTGCATGAACAAATTTTGCATTTCTATTACGTCTATTCTTCACGCCTTTTGGGTATTTTCATTTCTTCATTTTCAACCCTGTTCAGGACTTAAACCTTGAGGACGGGCTTGTTCTTGGCGTCCTTCTCCTTCTCGTCATTCCAGATGTTGATGTCCCACTTGGGCTTGTCTGGACATTGTCAGTACGATGCATTCTCAACTCCGTCAAATTCCAGGACAAAGACTTACAGGTCATGGGCACATTGTAGCGCTGGGGCTGCTCGCCAATCTTGGCAATCTCCTTGACGGCCTCGTCGTCGAGCTCAATCTCCTGGAAGTTGGCGTGGATGCGCGAAGGGGTGACGGACTTGGGGATGACGCTGCGTCCGCCAATCTGGGCCCAGGCGAGAATGACCTGGGCGGGAGTGACCTCGGTGCCCTTGGCCTTGCCGAGGCGGTCGGCGACGGCCTTGATCTCGGGGGTGTTGATGAGAAGGGGAAAGCCAAAGTTGTTATTGCCAAAGGCAGAGTAGGCGGTGATGTGGATGTTCTTCTTGTCGCAGTACTCGTTCAGGTCCTTCTGGTCCAGCTTGGGGTGACGCTCAATCTGGTTGACAGCGGGGACCTGGCCGACGTCGTTGCTGACGGTCTCGAGCTGCTCGATGGTGAAGTTAGAGACGCCGACGGTGCGGACCTTGGTCTTGGGGAGCTTGGTCATGGCTAGAAGGAGGGTCAGTACGCATGTTTCATGAGATTTTGGGACCAATTGACGTACCCCTCCATGTGTCGGACAGAGAGACACCCTGGTCGAGGGCGACCTGGCTGTCATCGCCTTGGGCAAGGGGGAAGAGGGAGTCGCCGGCGGGGAAGGCAACGGGCCAGTGGATGAGGTAGAGCTAGCGAAGATGTTAGTCCATTGTTCTTGCACTCTCAGCTCTCGTGACGGAACGTACGTCAAGGTAGTCGAGCTCGAGCTCGGCCAGGGTCTCGTCGAGAGCCTTCTCGACCTCCTCGGGGCGGTGGCGGTTGTTCCACAGCTTGGAGGTGATGAAGATGTCCTCGCGCTTGAGGCCAGGGATCTCTTTGTAGGCCTGCTTGATGCCCTCGGCGACCTCCTTCTGGTTCTGGTAGATCAGGGCCAGATCGAGGTGACGGTAGCCAGCCTTGAGGGCCTCGAAGATGCCACGGCCGACCTCGCCAGGGGCGGACTGCCAGGTACCGTATCCCAGGGTGGGGATGGTGGCGCCGGAGGAGAGAGTAGCGGTCTTGCGGAGAGACATGTTGGCGGTTTGTTCTGGTATTTTCGGAAAAGCAGCGTTTGTGTCTGAGTTGATTGATGGGGTAGAGGTTGGGAAGAGGGCGTCGAGGCTGCGCGGGGCCTATTTAACTTATGAGCGCATCGCCAACTCTTCGCGCGCAAGCAGGAGCGACTGGAGCTAGGCGGTTGCTGCCCCGCCACCAAGGCCCATACGCCATGGCGGCGATGAGGGGTAATCATGGATGGATGATGATAGAATCTTTGGTCGCCCCAAGCAACGGTTTTCGCTCCAATGACGCGCACCTCGCAGACGGGCGCCTTGCGAAAAATGGACGTGGCGTGCTCTAGAAGCCTGGAGAGGCTGGTGGAGGGTCCATTTCTCTGGGGCACCCTCGCCCGCCGTGTGGGTTTCATCACTCTGGTGTGGGTTTGTGACGATTCGGGAGGGTCGGCTGGAGTCGTGGGAAGCTTGGAGCTGCCTGCCCGCGTCGTCGTTTGTTCGAAACCAAGTTCCTCGCGAGGGCTATCGTGGATGAAGAGGTCGGATGATTTTCGTGTCGAAGTCTCGGAGGAAGAATCTGGCGGGGTTTCGACGAGAGGGATTGGCTTGCGCCCTGTGATTTTCCTTTCAACTTCTGGCCTCTCTGCAAGCTCAGCGCACCTCCTCGAAACGCATGATAGACATCATGCTGCCCACATGTGACGACAACTAGCCAGACAGCCAAGCCAGGCACGTCTGTCCACGTTTGGCGCTCGAATCAGAACCAGGCTTCGGCAAGTGCTTAGTGGTGGAAAACGGAAGCTGGCTAGCAGTTGGGAGATTCGCGTTTGAAACCCCCATTCCTTGCTATGCTATGTGTGCATAATGGAGACAATTGTGGACAAACGACGTTCTACTGAGGATTAGCTGACTTGTCTTGTATCAATGAGTGGCGATACCATGCAGGCGCGAGGCACAGGGCATGCTGCTGGAATTCAGTATAGGGTAGCTTATTGGGTGCCCATTTCGCACTAACAGATAATGGCGCGTTCGGTCCTATTATCTGTTAGCGTGCTCTGAAGCGTCAGTGACCAGCCTTGGCTGACGGACAGAACTTGCAATGGACGACTTGTCGTCTTTTGGCATGGCTTGATTTCGCTTTAATGCTCAATTGAGTCGCTGTATATGTAGAGATTCACTTTTGCCACTGGACGAGTCTTGGACCTACGCAGGTACATATGTGCAAGACTTGAGACGCGGGTGGATTCGGGCGTCCGTTTGCGGCGTGATTTAAATCAGAAAGCCGGGAATCAAAGTCATTGGACAGCTTCTCGTAGACACATCCGGAATGGGGAATTTTTCGGGCCTGAAATGTCATTCCAGACTGGCAGAGATTTTCCCAAGAATGACCTGATCTGATAAAAATTCTTGAGCGGGTACGCGGCTAGGCGGACAAAAATACACCATCAGCTCCCACGCCAGACACGTGGATGAGAACGCACTTGAAACAACCCTCAAGGGTATTAAGAAGCTTGGAAAAAATCTTTGAGACTCCTGTGAGACTTTCATCTTCAACATCGAGCTGAAATACGACTGCGATGATGGTATTTCGAGAAACGACGGCCCAACAGGCTCGACGACGCGCGCCAGACGATTCTGTCGGCATCACGCCACAGCTGCGCGTGGCCCCCGGTTATCTAAAAGATCTCCGGGTCCTCGGTGCGAGGACAGGCAAATATTGCGGGCTTTCGAGCTTTGCGCTGGCGCGGCTCGAAATCGCAATGTCGATTTAATACCTCCCCTGGTCCCCCCCTCGCTGGTGCCTGTCTTACTTCTCTTCCTCTCCCTATCCCCTTCTCGTGACCTCAACCGCCTTCGCTACACCACCGGTTCTCCTATCCCCTCTTTGAGAGTGTCATGGGTCTCGTCGTCTGCTAGTGACCACGATCATCTAGTCAGATACTCCTCCCTCGCCGGAAGAGCCAAGATGGCGGATTCCTCCACCATCGCAGCAGGCGTGCCGCCCACGGACGCCCACTACCAAGCCAAGTCCACCAGCGACGCGCCTGGCAATTATGGCCATCATGAACCAAAGACGGCCGCTGATGTTGTGCGCGACCTCAAGTCCCCCGGCGTCGTCCGTGTCGAGGCGCTGGCCAAGGTCATGACCTTGAAGGACCGCATCATCATCTTCATTGGCGTCTTCCTCGTCGCCTACGCCTACGGCCTCGACGGTACCATCCGGGGCACGCTCCAGCCCACGGCCACCAGTTCCATGGGATCGCACTCCCTCACATCCACCGTCAACGTCATCCGGGCCGTCATTGGCGCCGGTATCCAGCCCGCCGCTGGCAAGATGGCGGACGTCTTTGGCCGTGTCGAGCTACTCCTCATCTCGTGCTTCTTCTACGTCCTCGGCACCATCATCGAGGCTGTCGCGCCAGACGTCGTCACCCTCGCCGCCGGCACCGGCGTCTACACCATTGGCTACACCATGGTCATCCTCCTCGTCGAGGTCATCATCGCCGACATCACCTCCACGCGCTCGCGCGTCTTCTTCTCCTACGTGCCCGCTCTGCCCTTCATCATCAACACCTGGGCCGGCGGCAGCATCGTCGCCTCCGTCCTCAAGACCGCGACCTGGCGCTGGGGCTACGGCATGTGGTGCATCATCTACCCCGTCTGCACCCTGCCCCTCATCATCCAGCTCGTCATCGTCGGCCGCCGCGCCAGGCGCCAGGGCCTCCTCGACAATTACAAGTCGTCCTTCCAGCTCCTGGGCGCCAAGAACTTTGCCCTCGAGCTTTTCTGGCTGCTCGATGTCGTCGGCATCCTCCTCCTGGTCGCCACCTTTGCCCTCATCCTCGTCCCCTTTACCCTCGCCGAGGAGGCGGGCGGTCAGGCCCAGTGGGCGACGGCGCGTGTCCTGGCACCCCTCGTCGTCGGCGTCGCCTGCGTCCCCGTCTTCGTCTTCTGGCAGCTCAGGGCGCCTCACCCCCTCATCCCCTTCCGCCTCATGAAGGACCGCAGCGTCTGGTCGCCCTGCATGATCGCCGTCATGCTCAACTTTGCCTGGACAATGCAGGGCGACTTCCTGTACACGGTCCTCGTCGTCGCCTTTGACTTTAGCGTCGCCGACGCCACACGCATCTCCAGCCTGTACTCCTTCACCAGCGTCATCGTCGGGCCCCTGTTGGGCTTGATCGTCATCAAGGTCCGCCGTCTCAAATGGTTCATCGTCGCCGGCACAAGCCTGTTCATGGTGGCTTTTGGTCTTCTCATCCACTACAGAGGCAGCACCTCCCCGGGAGACGGACGCGCCGGTGTCATTGGAGCCCAGGTCGTCCTCGGCTTCGCGGGTGGCATGTTCCCCTATCCCGCGCAGGCCTCGCTGCAGGTCACCTTGCAGCACGAGCATCTCGCCGTCATGACCGGCACCTACCTGGCCATGTACAACATCGGCTCAGCCCTAGGCAACACCGTGTCGGGCGCCATCTGGCGACAGACCCTGCCGGGCTACCTGGAGAAGAATGTGCAGGATCAGAGCGTCGCGGCCTCTGCATTCTCCGAGCCCCTGAACATCATCGCCCAGTATCCCATGGGCACTCCGGAGCGCCAGGGCATCATCGCCTCGTACCGTCAAACGCAGCGGCTGCTCACCATTACCGGCATCTGCCTCTGTGTTCCACTGATTGGGTTTGCGGCCGCCCTGCGAAACCCCAGGCTCAACCACGACCAGACGCTGGCCAAGGAGTCGGATGACGAGAGCGAGCTGGGTGACCGTGCTGCTAGTGAGACGAGCCCGACCAAGGGGGTCAACGAGAACCCTGTGCGTGCGGTGTCAGAATAGGTAGTAGGTCACGAGGGGTTTTGCGTGAATTCGAGCTCGAATAGTGATTCACGTCGTACCTAATACAATCTGTTCCTTGCCACACACAAAGCAATTTTATAACTTGCGCAAGCTCGGTGGCACAAAGTCCATGTCCTTGGGGGTTCCCTTGAACGGCCCATGACGGGCAGAGGGTCTTCTAGATGTGAGTCTAATAATTGCAGTACGACGCTGGCTGGCCTGGTTCTGCTGTGCCGCGAGCTGAAAGAGAGTGCATCACCATTCGTGGCTTGACTTGCGATCCAGCCGAGTCCGACATGCGTCCCATGCATTGAGCCCAACCACAGGCACGATACGAACGGCCAGAGCTGCATAGGCGGCCGAATTTTGATGGTATTAATATACCAGTGAGCCAGGCTCTCACTCAACCAGGTCGATCATGGCGAAAAATACACCCGTCATCACGAGATTCTGCTATCGTCTCAGCCAAAAGAAAATAGAATGTCAGCCTTGTCGGCCACTCATCGCTCAGTGCCAGCGTGCTTCTACGTAGTATAGCGATTTCTGCATGAGCGTTGCATTGGATTGAGCTGAAAAACTGCTTGTCAATAATGCTACCATCTTGCATGCGCCAATGTCTCGCGCTCTTGGCTCGTGTTGATGTGATGAAGGTACGCAGTGGCCTTGGACGCCCAGAACTGTCGTATATAAGAACCCGAGGCGCTGGACCTGACGCTGGCCGCTCACAACCGCGCTCGTTCATTCTGACATTGACCTAGTCAGAGAAAACTTGTAGAATGATCGACATGCTATCCATTTATGCACTTCTCTCCGCCATTGCTGGCCTTGCGGCTGCCATTCCGACTGCGTCAAATCAAGGGCGAGCAACGGAGCTGGAAGCTCGTCAAGACCGTCGGTGTGGTATCGAATTCAATCGCAGCTGCCCCGAAGGTCAATGCTGCTCCAGCGGAGGGTACGTCGTCCGCCTTTTTTCATAACGGTGCCTGACCATACAGGTGGTGCGGCGTTGAATATGCGCACTGCAGAGCTCCCATATGCCAAATCGACTTTGGCCCAGCATGCGATGCAAATATCCGTCCTGAAGGCCCCGACACCAAGGACATTGCTCGTCCCAAGGTCGGCAACGTGCCGTACGGCAAGGGCGTGTACACTTGCAACACTAACGGCGTTGTCGCCCTGACGTTCGACGATGGTCCCTGGGAGAACACAGAGTACCTCCTCGACCTGCTTGCTGTGCGTACCGTCCTGGACCCCGTCAAGGTCATCCTCTCTGACTAGAGTAGCAATACGACGCAAAGGCGACCTTCTTTGTCGTCGGCCGCAACATGGGCAAGGGCGCCATGAATGATCCCTCGACGCCTTGGCCCGCGCTCATCCGCCGCATGATCGACGAGGGCCACCAGATCGGCAGCCACACCTGGTCCCACCAGAAGCTCACCGAGATCACCGCCGCCCAGTTCCAGAACCAGATGATTTTCAACGAGATTGCCCTGGCCGACTTGCTGGGCTACTTCCCCACGTACATGCGCCCTCCGCACTCGATGAGCGACGCGACGACCGACGCATGGCTCGCGGATCTGGGGTACCACGTCACGTACTTTGACCTCAACACGCTCGGGTACGAGAACGACGACGCCACGCTCATCCAGAACTCCAAGGACATTTGGGACAGGCGCGTCGAGCCGCTCGATCCGGCCAGCGCGAGCGTCCTCCACATCGAGCACGATCCGCTGTACCAGACGGTGCACAACTTGACAGAGTACGTGCTGCAGTCGCTAGTGCGCAACGACTTTCGCTCTGTGCCGGTGGGCGAGTGTCTCGGTGATCCGAGGGAGAACTGGTATCGCAAGGTATGAGCTTCCCTTTCTTGCTGTACTCGTTTCGCGCGTAGAACACACTGTTCCTAGATAAAGAGCCAGCATGTGGCGTGGTTGCCTCGATCCGGGGTATCGATTTGTCGTAATCGCGATCTTGTTCTAACGAGAGATTAAATAGGTCGATACGGGATGCAAAGCGAAGCGCCAAGCGCCAAATGACGGGACCTAAACATCGAGCTGAGTTTCTGGGAGTTGGTTGCTTCACTCAGGTTGCTTCGAAATTACAAGGCTCGTGGGCTTGTTTTTTAGCTGTCGATTAACTCATAGTAAGGCAGTAATTGGCACTCCACGTGCGTGCAATCGCGCGCTCGTCTCCACGCTCGCTCTGCATAATGTCTCAACTCTAACTTCCCCCCTCCGCCTGTGGTATCATTGCTCGTAATTATCGTCGTGTTTTCGCTTGCGTGCGAAGATAAATCAATCGAAAACACCTCAGCAGCAGCTCTTGTAGAATCGGCACGATCCGTCGCAGCAGTCAAATCCGCAGTTCAGACCTCCACCGCGAAGCGACATCTCGGGTTGGCTCTCAGCATTGGGACGCGGTTCAGACATCTGCAAAGGTCAGCCAGCTAGCTTGGGTATTTGTTGAGGCGTTATGGGCTTCGACGCACGGGCTGGCGCGTCACAACGCCGGTGCGCTGGTCCTGCGCGCCCATGGGCTGCTGTTGCTTGGGCTGTTGGGTGGTCGTCTGAGGCATCGTGGTGTGGATTCGAAAAGCAGGGCTATTCGTCCTCGGGACGTGGTCTCTCGTATGTAGTAATCAAGGTAGGGAAGATCAAGGCGCAGGTCTCGTGGAAAGAAATGCTCATGGGCGTATTCGGTTAATAGTTCATTGCATCTCAGCCGCAGCTGAGAAAGGCGCGTGTGTCTGGGCCCCAAGTCCCCTTATCGTGGCGTCTGGTCCCTCTCCAGCTCTCACCGCCTGCCCACCGTGTACGTACAGGAATCAATTCGCTAATTACCTTCTCTGTACTCCGTACACGTGCGACGGCAGCGAGCTGGTGCAGGGGTTGCATGTCGCCAGTGGCGCCCGCATCGTGGAGAGTTAGGCTGACTGCTGGTGACGGACGAGATTGGGTAGGCGTCACACTTCGCGGGGATGGGCTACTGGTAGATCGTTTCAATGGTCATTATCTTTACCTTAATTCATGCCGCATGCCAGCCTCCAATGCGCCTTTGACGACAACGAGTCAGCCATCTTTTGAATACCGCAGCAGACACTGATATCATCCGTCTATCTCATCCGCTATATGCAACTCCGCCCTACTCGTCCTCTTCCGCCTCTTCATCCGACTCCTCTTTCCCGTTGGCAACGACCGCCGGCGGCGCCTCTGGTGCAGAGCCGCCCTCCGTTTCCAACTTCAGCCACGCGTCCCACTCGGGGAAGAGGTCCTCGTCCTCGTCCGGAAGTCCGATCAGCTTGGAGACCCTGGCCTTCTTGTTCTTCTCCAGGTTCTCCTTCCATTGTTTCGCCAGCGAAGTCGTCAAGCTTGGCTTGTATGTCTGCGAGAAGAGAACGGCCTCGGCCAGACGTCCGGTCTTGCTCAGTAGCTGCGTGCACTGGTCGGCGTCGCCCAGCAGCCAGTAGCTGGAGAAGGCCACGTTGTGCGCGCCAACTTCCTCGGCCTGCTTGGCCAGTGCGAGGAGACCATCGCGGTCACCTGTCGAGGAGTGTAGCAGGAGCAGCGAGCCCAGATCTTTAGCCCTGGTGAAGCACTTGGCCGCCAGAGCGACGTCCCATCCAGCCAGGGCCGCATCACCGACAGTCTTCCACTTGTGCTCAGCATCCACCTCCTCGGCCTGCTCGAGGGCAATGTCCAGGCGGTTCAGGCCCAACGCCAGCTCGAATTTGTGCTCGGAATCTGTCGCCACCTCGAGAGCCATTTCCTTGTGTCCTTGCCCCTCCAAGAAGCGCGCAATCTTGTTCATCTGGTCGGCAGGGATCGTCGGAAGCAGCTCGGCCGCAGTCTCCATGTCTTCACGCAGCACCAAGGTCTGGTACTCGAGAACCGGCAGCGACAGAGCGAACGAGGTGACGTTGACGTCCTTATCAGCAAGGTAGATACGCGAGTCGCGCTGAATGTAGCCCAGAATGTACATGGGCTTGTCGAAGTGCGACACAGTGTACGTCTGGTCGCCGACGAGGTAGTTGAGACGGTTCGTGCTGTTTGTGTAGATGAAGCAGTCGCCCACCCACTCACCAGTGCGCACGCTATGTTGTTAGCAAGAGCTCCGTACCACATGAGTCGGCAAACATACCTTTCGCTGATGTCTGTGATAACCTCAAACGCCGCCTCGACACCGTCCTCCTCGATCTGACCGGCTTGCGCAGCCTCGACGTACGCCTCGCGGGAGAAGCGCAGCACGTAGAAAGAGTCTTCGCACGCAATGGTCACGAGCTCGCCGCTGTCGGACCAGTAGACCTGCTTCGGCTCTACCTCAATCCTGCGCACCAGACCACCAGTCGCCCAGTCGAAGAAAGAGACACCACCCTGGCCAGTCACACCCAGGAGAACACCGCCGGTGAGGCCATCGGCCTGGAACCCGACATCGAGCCCTCCGCTCTTTTCCACAAAGTTCTTGTACACCTTGACGCTCATGGAAGACTCGCGAATGGCAAAGTCGTTGCTGTTCTCCTTGGACGCCCAAACAAAGTCGAGAGCTGAGCCGAACGCCTTGTTGCGCCATGCGAGAGCAGTGTAAATGATGTACTCGCCATCACCGCAAACCGAGACAAATCGACCGTTCGGGGAGTGGAGGAGTGTTTGCGGGTAGACTTCGCAGGTGCCGAGATCTTTGGTCGGCAGACTGATGGGCTCGTTGTCCTTGATGGAGGCATCTACGCAGTCAGCATTTGGCTCATCCAGGCGCTTATTTGGCACTCACCTCCGCCTTTGATGATCGAGGACACAACCTCATTGTGTCTGGCCCAGATGAGCTTGCCAGAGGAGTCCATGGACACAGCAGGCTCCTCGCGACCAAGCTTGACGACGACTGCACCATCGTCGAAACCAACCGCGATGCCCTGCTTGCCCTTTTGATATGAGACGCACCAAGCGCGCTCCAGGCTGTAATTGAGTGATTGCTCAAAGCGGTATGTGTTGGCGTGCCAGATGCGGATGGTACCATCTTCGGAACCGGAGATGATGACTGGCAGCTCGGGGTGATAGCAAGCAAAAGAAACGTTGCTTGTGTGGCCCTCGAGGGTGGCGATCAGGGACTTGGTTGTGTAGTCCCAGATTTTGACCGTCCGATCGTCCGAGGTGGTGAGGATGTAGGGCTTGTCTGAGTGAGGGTAGTAGTCGACGTGGTTGACACCCTTGGTCTCGTGGGCTTCGAGGGTGAAGTTGGCTGTTGGCGAGCCGAGACTCCAGATCTTGACGGTTCGGTCCAAGCAAGCTGACGCAAACGTGTTGGTGTCCTTGGGGTTGATGGACAACCCCATGACATAGTGGCTGTGGCCCTCAAAGACACGCACACATTTCCATCCCTTCTCCCAGTCCCAGAGCTTAATGGTCATGTCATCGGAGGCGGTCAGCACGAAGGGCTGCGTGGGGTGGACGGCAATGGCTCGAATGTAGTCGGGATGCGCCTCGAACGAAGTGATCTTCTCCGATGTGTTGTAGTTGTACACGCGCATCTGGAAGTCGTCAGAGCCGCAGACGATCCAGTTCTTGCGAGCAATAAATCGACCCGCGCGGACGGGGACGTCTGTCAGCTCAAAGGTCTTGACAATCTGTTGCGTTTCGTAGGACCAGATGTAGACGTGGCCTAGAGGGCGTCAGTAGGTGTCTCCACGGAGCGATGCATTCCCAATCGTACCGCTGTACAGCGTTGTGAGGATCCATGGCTCTTGAGGATGGAAGTCAATTCCCTTCACTCGCTCGCTGCGAGCGTACAGCTGACGCTAATTGACAATGTTAGCAACCGTGGTTGAGCACCTCCCAAGGCTCGAATGGCGGGGCAATTTCCATGCGAGCAGGGTCGCGGAGGCATTACCTTGACGTCGAGCCTCATGGTGAGCGCCTGGTTTATCTGATACTATCGAGTCGATGCTGAGCGTTCAATGTGCGCCGAAGATGTCGCGAGAGCTTGCGGGCTGGTCAGTCTCCCGGCACAGGGGCGCTTGGAGGCCAGCTGGCTCGATTCGGTCAGGGGCGGATCGGCGTCGCGAAGACCGAGGTTTGTGGAGAGCAACACGGATCGCAAGAATCCTGCAATTGCCTTGCCGTTGAGTTCGTCGCCAAGCTTGGAAGTCCCGTCGCAAGCTTCAAGGCTGTGGTTGAGTCCAGAAATGGTAGATGTGGCCGCACCGGTGCCAGTTGACCGACGGTGATTGTCACGGTTGACAGTGAGTGGGGCATCTCGAGCTTGGTGATTGGGCCATAGCTCGTGGTACAGAGCGTGCCTCGATGCTGAGCCAGGCACGTGATTTGGACTCGGACTGTCATCTGGTTTTCAAAATACCTTGCCTGACAACACTTCCCATGCAGAACTTGCTGTGTAAAGACGAGGTGTCACGATTATAGGTAAGAACCTTTTGACCGGCAAGGGCAATTTGGGAACAAGGTGAAGCTTTGTTATTGTAACGTCGTAGTCGCAAAATGTGAGCAACTCGCATGACAAGGTTCAACTCTAATCCTCAAGCAACGAGCAAAGTATCACACAAGTCCCAAGATATGTAAAAATGACTACGTGGACAGTTGTACGAGAAATAACCTACGGCTCTTATCATTTCGGATCAGTATGTCCTATTTCGTGGCTATTTTGCGAGCCATCTGTGAATCCAACACTACGGTTTAGGGTAGGCTACTAGCAGACGGGCCTGTTAACGTAAACAGGCGTTAATTAGACCTCAAACGTCGTCAGCGATGATGTCCATGGAGTACCTTGCTGTCACATATCAAGATTCACCCTCTCATTAGTACGGGATCAGTGCTTTTGGTGCTCTTGAACACCGCACGGCGTGCCTGCGCCTCAACACAGCCCGAAAGTCGAGTGGGGCTGAAAGCATGGCTAATCCGTGGCACCTTATCGAGTCGCCCTTATCAGGCTGGCCTCGCAGTCGCTGCTACCCCTAGAACTCCGCCTTCCCGTCCCTTGAAACCAGGAGTGCGGAGCATTTTGTCCCTCGGTCTGGCAGCAACATTCATCAACGTCAATATTTTTGAGCAAATCGCACAGCATTGAGACTCTGCGTCAGCACCAGACGCGTGAGAATATCCTCCTTTTGTCTTTCAACACATCTCCTTTTGCGGCGCTCACCCTCATCAACGCATCGTGCAAACTGCGGGGTCGACAAGGGCAGTTCGAGGCCAATCAAAAAGCGCACTGTCTCCTTACCAATCCGCCTACCCCATCATCCGCCTCCAGTCTCGAGTGGTGACCTCAATTCCAACCTCGACAGACTGCAGTGGTGTGCAATACCACATTGCCGTTGTTGCGAACCGACGAGAGGGTTCCAGTGCTGTCCGGCGGCCAGATCACTCTTTGGGCAACCTGCAGGTACTGACGACGAAATAGCCACCCTGATCAGCAACGGCTACGTGGACTGTGTTGACCGACTTCCCCCCCTCTCGCTGCTATATTCTTAGCTCGAACACCCTTGGAGTTTGACTGGTCTGGAACCTGAAACATCCGCCACGGTTCTACTACGACTTGTATAACACCATGTCTTGGAAACTCACCAAGAGTAAGAAGCGGAACCAGTGAAGCGGGTCGACCGGGAGCTGACATGGACAGAGCTCAAGGAAACCCATTTGGGGCCCTTGAGCGCCTTCTCGCGATCGCCGTCGACCTCGACAATCACAGACAAGGAGAAGGACACCCAGCGAGCCAGTACAGAAGCCACGACGCCCACACATGAAAGCGCCATAGGTAGGCACCAATGACTGGCCTGCGACAGCATTCCAAAGCTAACCCTCGACAGCTGCCTCCGAAGCCATGACCCAGGCACCTGTCATCAAGCCTCCGAAACCCGGTATTCTCGTCGTTACAATTCACGAAGGCCAAGGCTTTGCCCTACCCGACCAACATCGCAATGCCTTTGCCTCGCAGCACCAAGGCTCGCTGTCATCAAGCCATGCCGTTAGCGCGGCTGGCTCAGTACGGCCTGGCTCGTCACAGCGTGGACCCGGCTCCTACATGAACACCTCCAACCGGCCCCAGTCGTCGGCTGGCGGGTTCAGCGGCATTCCCACCAACCACGGGCGTATTTCAGGGAAATACATGCCCTACGCGCTGCTTGATTTCGACAAGGTGCAAGTCTTTGTCAACTCGGTAGACGGCACCCCGGAGAACCCTTTATGGGCCGGAGGCAACACACAATACAAGTTCGACGTGTCAAGAGTCACCGAGCTCGTGCTCCATCTGTACATGCGCAACCCGAGTGCGCCTCCTGGATCCGGCCGTAGCCAGGACATCTTCCTCGGTGTAGCGCGGGTCAACCCCCGATTCGAGGAGCGCCAGGTCTACAGCGAGGATTCGAAAACGAGCAAGAAGGACCGGGAGAAGGCGCTGGCTGAGTGGCAGCAACAAGGCGAAGGACAGAGCGGCGTGGAGTGGGTCGACGTCCAGTACGGCTCGGGCAAGATCAAGATTGGTGTCGAGTACGTCGAGAATAGGGCTGGCAAGCTCAAGATTGAAGACTTTGAGCTGCTCAAGGTCGTCGGCAAGGGCAGTTTCGGCAAGGTCATGCAGGTCAGGAAAAAGGACACAAGCCGGATCTACGCTCTGAAGACCATCCGCAAGGCGCACATCATTTCGCGCTCCGAGGTGGCTCATACGTTGGCGGAGCGTTCGGTCCTCGCACAGATCAACAACCCCTTCATCGTCCCTCTCAAGTTCAGCTTCCAGTCACCAGAGAAGCTGTACTTTGTCCTCGCTTTTGTCAACGGTGGCGAGCTTTTCCACCACCTTCAGAAGGAGCATCGCTTTGACGTGAATCGCTCACGATTCTACACCGCAGAGCTCCTGTGCGCCCTGGAGTGTCTCCACGGATTCAGCGTCATCTACCGTGACTTGAAGCCTGAGAACATCCTACTTGACTACCAGGGTCACATCGCCCTGTGTGACTTTGGTCTTTGCAAACTGGACATGAAGGATGAAGACAGGACTAACACATTCTGTGGTACTCCCGAGTACTTGGCCCCAGAACTCTTGATGGGCAAGGGCTACAAGAAGACTGTGGATTGGTGGACTCTGGGCGTCTTGCTATACGAAATGTTGACGGGATTGCCGCCCTTCTACGACGAGAACACCAACGAGATGTACCGCAAGATCCTGTCGGAGCCTCTGCACTTTTCTGACGTGGTCCCACCGGCAGCTAAGGATCTGCTCACCAAGCTTCTGAACAGAGATCCCGACCAGCGCCTTGGTGCGAATGGCTCCGCAGAGATCAAGGCGCATCCGTTCTTCCACGCCATAGATTGGCGAAAGCTGCTGCAGCGCAAGTATGAGCCAACATTCAAACCTAGCGTGGTATGTCCCTTCCCCTTGACCAAGTCTGATGCGTGAGCGAAGAGACTGACATTTGCTAGGCGGATGCGCTCGACACGGCCAACTTTGACCCCGTCTTCACATCAGAAGCCCCACAAGATTCATACGTCGATGGACCCATGCTCTCACAGACCATGCAGAATCAGTTCCAGGGCTTCAGCTACAACAGACCCATTGCTGGGCTCGGCGACGCCGGTGGCAGCGTCAAAGATCCATCCTTCGCGAGCAGCATGCGGGACAACCGATAGAACGAGGCAGCAACACATCCAGGGAAGGATTGAGGAGAACCGAGGCAACTCATCGCAGGTCGTTTGGGAACCTTGGAGGATGTGTCTGTTCCAGAAGCATAAAGGGACTGCATCAACGGAGCAAGTTGCGAAGCAAGTACTGTAGCACTGCGATTGTACGTAGAGTCAACCGAGGCGTTGTCTGTTTCACTGCGTTACGCTTCCTTCTATGGCATTGTATCGACTTGCTGAGCGAGACCTGACTACCATGGTGTGAGCAATCAGAGTCATGTTCCGCCTGTTAAGATACGTCGGATGATGCGGCTGTTGCTGGCACCGAATAATAATAGCGCGCATTCGGGGTATAGTCCGTACCAGGAGCTGACATTGAGCTGAGTCTTGAGATCCAGGCATGTCCCAGTTGCCCCGCCCCCACCTGAAAGTCGGTTACGGGCCAATGCAGTCCGTACCACCCTGAGCTATCTGGACCTCCGACATCAACACCTCGTCATTTTTATCCCCTCTTCCGTCTTTCCGCAAGTCCCTTCCATCTTCGTTCTGGCAAGAATTCTCACCCTGTCTTGACATTGATCCATTGCGAGCTATCCGAATCCTAGGTACGTCCCATAGCTTACCATGGCAGCTATTCCAAAGTAGTGATGGCATCATGTCATGCCCCGCCTTCGTCAGAGCTCCTCTGGCAAGCCGGCCATCCTTCTCCATGTGTGCGCGACGAGGCACTTCAAAGCACTCCGAACGCGCCAGATTTTGGAAGAGCTCTGCTTACATATTCTCCAGCCTTTCGTCAAAATGGCCCCCGCCAACACCCTCCCTGCCTGGTCCGAGCTCCAGTCGCACCGCGATGGCGTGAGCAAGAACTTTGTCCTCAAAGAGGCCTTTTCTTCCGACCCCGACCGCTTCAACCGCTTCACGCGAACCTTTGCCCCCGGAAAGGATGTCTCGGCCGATATCCTGTTCGACTTCTCCAAGAACTTTATCAGCGACGAGACCCTCGACCTCCTCGTCAAGCTTGCCGACCAAGCCGGCGTTGAGCGCAAGCGTGATGCCCTCTTCCGTGGCGACAAGATCAACTTTACAGAGAACCGCGCCGTTTTCCACCCCGCCCTGCGCAACACTGGCGGGTGGGAGATGAAGGTGGATGGCCAGGATGTCATGAACTGCCCCGATGGCGTCAATGATGTCCTCCAGCACATGAAGGAGTTCTCCGAGCAGGTCCGCAGCGGCGAGTGGAAAGGATACACCGGCAAGAAGCTGACGACCATTGTCAACATTGGTATCGGTGGCTCTGACCTGGGTCCTGTCATGGTCACCGAGGCCCTCAAATACTACGGTGCCAGGGACATGACTCTGCACTTTGTCTCCAACATTGACGGCACCCACATGGCCGAGGCTCTCGCTGCCTCTGACCCAGAGACCACCCTTTTCCTCGTTGCCTCCAAGACCTTCACCACCGCCGAGACCACTACCAACGCCAACACAGCCAAGACATGGTTCCTCGAGAAGACGGATGGCAAGGGCGATATCACCAAGCACTTTGTTGCTCTGTCTACGAACGAGTCCGAGGTCACCAAGTTTGGCATTGACGCCAAGAACATGTTTGGCTTTGAGAGCTGGGTTGGCGGCCGCTACTCTGTCTGGAGCGCCATTGGTCTCAGCGTCGCCCTTTACATTGGCTTCGACAACTTCCACAAGTTCCTTAGCGGTGCCCATGCCATGGACAAGCACTTCCGCGAGACTCCCCTCAAGGAGAACATCCCCGTCCTGGGTGGTCTTTTGAGCGTGTGGTACTCGGACTTTTTCCACGCCCAGACTCACCTGGTCGCTCCGTATGTCAATGATGCTGCACCCCGTTTGCCGTGATTTGCTGACATTTGTAGCTTCGACCAATATCTGCACCGCTTCCCTGCCTACCTCCAGCAGCTGTCCATGGAGTCCAACGGAAAGTCCATCACTTCTGACGGTTCCTCCGCCAAGTACTCGACTGGACCTATCCTCTTTGGAGAGCCATGCACGAACGCTCAGCACTCTTTCTTCCAGCTCGTGCACCAGGGTACCAAGCTGATCCCCACGGACTTCATCTTGGCCGCCAAGTCCCACAACCCCATCTCTGACAACCTCCACCAGAAGATGCTGGCGTCCAACTACTTTGCCCAGGCTGAGGCCCTCATGGTCGGCAAGACTGACGAGGAGGTCAAGGCTGAGGGCACTCCCGACGATCTGGTACCCCACAAGCGCTTCCTGGGCAACCGCCCTACCACATCCATTCTCGTGAGCGATGTCATTGGTCCCGCCGAGCTCGGTGCTCTGATTGTCTACTACGAGCACCTCACCTTTGTGGAGGGCGCTGTTTGGGACATCAACAGCTTCGACCAGTGGGGTGTCGAGCTGGGCAAGGTTCTGGCCAAGAAGATTCTGAAGGAGTTGGACGAGGAGGGTAACGGCGAGGGACACGATGCCTCCACTGGTGGACTCATTGGTGCTTTCAAGAAGTACTCCAAGATTTGAAGGGAAAGTAATGTCAAAACGGGTACATAGCACCCTTGAAGGAACATGATTACAATGGAAGCTTGATTCCAAATCTCGCCAACTCGCTTACTAATTACTACATACGGACGGCCTGAGGCCCTCCTTGATGCACAATTTGCAAAGAAACAAGAGTCCAGCTGTCACAATTGTGAGCCTGTGAGGTAGATAGATGGCTTGGACATACTTGTAGATTGATACTATTGTCATGTGTGGGGTTGCCTAGACGAGCATCAACCACGTGGGTGTTGAACATTTCGTGGTCCAGTCTGCTCCTCTCGTCTCTCGTCAAGTTCAACGGTCCGCACACCGACGACGACGTCACAAAACGGGACCCTGCTGGCTCCGTCTTGATTCTGGTGGGGTGGAGGGGTCGAAGGCCGCCGAATCATCTCGCTCAGCAGGGCAAACGTCGACCAGTGGGCCATGCAGTAAGAAACGCTAGGATTGTGGGCAGAACGGTGAGCAGGGCCACATCATCGGTGAGGTCACTGAGCGTCTGCGATGTGATCTGATCGTGTGTGAGGATTGAAGAGAGGCCGGACTTTATGTCCCGTAAGAAAGGAGAGAAACAGTGGCTCAAAGCGAACTATTTCTGTTGAACAAGAGACATGTGTGCCACTGCGATCACGATGTACAGAGCAGAGCCAATCACCATTTCGATGTAGGCGATGGCCAGCGATCCGAAGTTGATGAGACTTGTCGACGATGACAAAAACACATCACGCTGAAGGGAGTTTCTCCGGAGTAAGATGCAGGTTTAGTTTATCCATTCCGCTTAATTTTCAAATCACCGATCTCAGAGCCGGCTTCTTCGGTCGCTCGCAATGATCGGGTTTTTGTGGGCAATATCGAAGCTGTCTGTACTAATACGTAGAGGGGACCATGGGTTCCGACATGCGTTCTTAACTTCTTATAAACTTGTAATCATGTTCATGCTCGCGCATGCTTTGACGGTTTCACCAAAGCGGGCGGTGGCAGGACGCAGGACCCTACAGTACTAGTAATTTATTAGTGGGAGCGCAGCTGGCTGGGGAAACGCGGAGATTTTGAATTTATGGGTCGGCAATCGCGGTAGCCTGGTAGGCAAACTGGCAAAGTCGCTACGGATAATGAACTGCAACAAATCTTCTCATGTACGTATAAGGGGTAATAAAGGCAAGACAGGGGCAATGATAGGGACGTGTGCGGGCTGCGCACGGAACTGGAGTCCATGGTCCAAGGGAAGCTGGCCACGATGTATCGGCAGCCGCGTAACGCGGTACGACTACGAAAATATTCAGCCGGCCTGCCTGTGCAGCATCGTGAAGAGCTTCGTTCGAATGCTGTGTCAAGCATGGCGCCATGGGTTCTTGGCACATGAGCGGTTGGGATCCACAAATCACCGTCGAGTGACGGCTGCGCATTGGTCGACTCCTGTTGAAAGGGTTGCTGCGCGCGTCTCCAGTCCCAGGAAAAGATCGTGATGCAGGGTGGGCTGTGTGGCCAGCGTAGGTACTCCGTCAGGCACCATCGCGGCATATTATCGTGAACAGCGACATTGTCGGTGGATCTGCTCATGGCGACGACAAAAAGCCGGCCCGACCATCCATATGAAGTTGGGTAAGGCCGGCGACAATGCTGGAGCGCTATCCATTGACAAAAAGCGACGACCGCCAAAGAAAAAAAGGGGATGGACTGGATCTTGGATCGTGAGCGGAATCATTGATGTCATTGTCAACGACCAAAACGGTCAGTCGGAAGACGCGGGGCAGTAACGAACAGTGAGTGACTATTACCTATGGCATCACAGATTCATCACAGCATGTGTCATGCGGAGAACTGCCCAGCCCGTGCTGTACGGTAATCGAGCACTGTCACAGGCAGTACCAGCGCAACGAGTGGGCGCAGATGCTGTGCGGCTGCCTGCACGTCCAGCCTGTAACAAAGCCGCCTGCCCGTGCGGTCAGATGGCCGTGATCCACAGGGGTACGATCAGGGGCAGCGTCGCAGCGACTGGACGCCCGTCCGCAGCAGAAGTATGCGAAGACGCGGATGCAATCACCGCAACATCGACAAAAGGCGCATGTTGATGCCAAAATTTAGAAATACCGCATGTAGAGTCAAACAGACATCAGGGGCGATAACAAGCCCATCATTTGAGTGGCAATTCCGACTACAATCTTGTTGTTCCTGGCGCGGGACCAGCGACCAACGGGTTGCGACTGGAGGGGCAGGAGTGACACGGAACACAAGTGGGGGCCATGACACAGTCCAATACGGTGACCCGCCGTAATCGCACCTCGGGGCGCTAGGCTGATTGCGGCAGACGCGGGAAAAAGGAACCAGGCTCGAGAATGACGCTGCATCTCTGAAATGACGCCAAAAGACCTGGCGAAAGGGCAGGTTCACGATGGCTGCGCAAGGAGTGGGCCACCCTTTCGTCAACGACAATCATCGCTCTTGCCAATTGACTTTCTATCGCCCGATTGCCGTCCCATACCTACAGTAGTAGTATTTAAGGTTGCGACCCCCCTCACTGTCCATAGACTTTTCCCATAGCTATCCACCGTTCTTCCTTCCAAAGCAAAACGTTGACCGTTTCCTACACCCAAACCATTCACACGCATTCTGGTCCTCCTGTTGCAATCATGGGCATGAAAGCTGTTCACTTTGGCGCCGGCAACATCGGCCGCGGCTTTGTTGCTTGCTTCTTGCACAACTCTGGCTACGAGGTCATCTTTGCTGATGTCGCCGATGCCCTCATCGACAAGATCAACGCTACGCCATCCTACAAGGTGATTGAGGTTGGCACCGAGGGCACAACCGAGAACACCATCACCAACTACCGCGCAATCAACTCCAAGACCCACGAGTCTGACCTCATCGACGAGATCAGCCAAGCCGACATTGTCACTTGCTCGGTCGGCCCCAACATTCTCAAGTTCATCGCTCCCGTCATTGCCAAGGGCATTGACCGTCGCCCGGAGGGTACCACCCCTCTCCACGTCATTGCCTGCGAGAACGCCATTGGCGCCACCGACACCCTCGCCGAATTCATCAAGGACCCCAAGAACACTGCCGAGGACCGTCTCGAAGACCACCATCTCCGCGCTCGCTACGCCAACTCGGCCATCGACCGCATCGTGCCCGCTCAAGACCCCGATGCTGGCCTCGACGTGACGCTCGAAAAGTTCTTTGAATGGGTCGTCGAGAAGACTCCCTTTGAGGATGTTGGCATCCCAGCGATCAAGGGCATCAACTGGGTTGACAACCTGGCCCCGTACATCGAGCGCAAGCTGTTCACTGTCAACACCGGCCACGCCACCGCTGCTTACCACGGATACAACCGTCGCAAGCGCACCGTCTACGACGCTCTGCAAGATAAGGACATCATGGCGGAGGTCAGGGGTGCTCTCAACGAGACCAAGAACCTGATTGTCTCCAAGCACGAGATTGAGGAGGATGCACAGACTGCCTATGTCGACAAGATCGTCAAGCGCATTGGCAACCCCCATCTTGAGGATGCCGTTGAGCGTGTTGGCCGCGCTCCTCTCCGCAAACTGTCCCGCAAGGAGCGCTTCATCGGCCCTGCCGCCGAGCTCGCTGAGATGGGCGAGTCCATCAAGTACCTCCTTGACGCTATTGAGATGGCTTTCCGCTTCCAAAATTACGATGAGGACGAGGAGTCCAAGGAGCTGGCCAAGATCATGAGCGAAAACGGCCCCGAGGATGTTGTCTCCAAGGTCTGCAGTGTGCAGTCGAACGAGAAGATCTACCCTCAGCTCGTCGAGGTGGTGAAACGCGTCCAGGCCGATAGCCGTGAGGATTGACTAAAGGGCCAGAAACCCCGCGCGAAGATGTAGGAGAAGGTCATATGAGACATGAGACATTACGACTGGCGTTCAAATGATGAGTTATTAGCTTTGGGATTCAAATGATATAGCACGGCGTTGGTGGACCATTGGATGCCTTGTTCCAAGGGAAAGAAATATAAACATTTCACATTCTATATATTCGTTCCTCATCCCATGTCTTCTTGAGAAATGGCGGGCAGTATTCCACGACAATTCATTCCAGGTTGCCGGCACCTACTGTCATGTGCGCATGCACACCGTCCGCCTTATCACGCCTGCGCTTTGACCGTATCCGTACCTTGTTCGACGTCTCCGACCAGGACGATATCTCTGGGGATCCTCAAGACGTTGGGGTCAAGCTTGATGATCTTCGCGCCTGGATTCAGAAGGTTTGTCGTTAGGAAGAACCCGAGTCCTACAGCGTTGAAGTCGATGGAAGGCCGCAGGCCGCTCATCCACTCCTCTCGCTTCTTGTGAATGGCGTCCGGAGGGCTCGCAGACACAAAGTTGTTCATCGCAGTTGAGGCTCGGTCGAACCAATCTCCATCCGCGTCTCTGGGACTTGTATTGATATCCCAGAGTGTATGGAGGTCATCCGTATTGATGTCAAAGGTAAAATTCTTGTCGGTCACCTGGATGTGAAGGCCAAGATCCTTGTGCAATTTGTACTGGGTTCTCATCTGTCGGCAGATGTCAGTAGAGACTCCAATCTTCCGAGCAATTGTGATCCACTTACATTCTCCTCCATGAATAGGATATGGTTGCCAAAGGCTTCGGGGCGTTCGTGCCTGGACGTGTCCTTCCACTTGTTGTCTACGCTGAATTCCCAGTCCACCTTGGCCACAGGTGCAGAGTCTGTGTTCTATACCACTGTTAGTATTTGAACCTATAGTCCCAGGGAGTATTAGTGCATGTGCTTGCCTTTTGATACAGCTTGAAGTTCACGGGATATCCCTGTGTTTGAGGTAACAGTCAGCTAATGTTGTTGGGGGGTGCGGCCATGGTTATGTTACCTTGAGATCTGCGTACCACCCATCGATCCAGAGACGACACTCGTAGACCTTGCCCTTATAATCATAGTACGTGGTGCCGACTGACCATGTCTGCTGATATCTGGCAGAAAATGATATGCCACCCTCTTTGTTGGCCATGATACTTTCGACAGTGAATTCGCCATTCTTCTCCAGACCAGGCTTGAGCATTGCTTCGTATGCCAGGTGAGGATTGATCAGAATTGATGCGGTGTAGCCTGCTGGGAGGGGGCTGATTCCATGCTTCGTCCACGATCCTATCCAACGGCCTTGCAAGTCCATCTGAGTCCCGGAGTTGGACCCCGAGAGGGTTTGGATGAAGAGAGAAAGCGCGGCCCCCTCCTGGAGATCCGTTTTGAAAGTCGCGAAGCGAAAGCTGACGGGTGTGAGGTCCGCCGTGACTGCCCCGTTGTACTCCGGGATGTTCTTGATGGTGGCCATGGCGTATTCAAGAATATCAATCTTGTCTGACCCATCCTTGAAGTAGGAGTTTGCAACGCCGCGGAAGATGTTTGTCTGCGCGTAAGCCAACTCATAAACCTCGTCGTCATCGCTCTTCTTTTGCACGTTGCAGGAGACGTCCACCTTCAAGGCTGTTTCGCCCATTGGAAAATCCAAAACCACCCAGGCATTTTCAAAGTCCTTATCAGTCGGCTTTGTGTTGTCCTCCCGAAACACAACTGTCTTCTGGGAAGACAAAACAGGAACAGAGAGTGTATCAGCGTTTGCGACCTTGCCCTCTTGCTTAGGCTGCATGATAGCATCATACTTGCCCACGACGGAACCGAGTCTGATCCCAGAGAGCCTGACGTCGAATGGGTTCGGAACGTCGAGCTGTTTCTTTCTCTCGCCGATCTTCGTCTTCTCCTTGTTCGACTTCTGATAATAGATGTTTTCCACCGGTAGGACCAGGTTCACAGAAGGCTCGGTTGTGCCACCGAACTCAACGCGCGGGGGTCCTAGCTCCATCGTTCTCCAGGAATATCTGTACATTCCCGTCTCGTCATCATATGAGCTTTGATGGACTTCGATGGTGGTCAACATGTTGCGGTTGGAGTCCTTTGCATACCGTGTAAGTCGGAGATGATACGTTGGAAGAAGAATATCTTGGTGCGTACCTGTCTCGCCTTCTCCCACTTTCGCCGGAGAATATCATTGATCTCCTTTTCGGAGTAAGTGACCACAATGTCCCAGCCAAGAGTGTAGCCGTCAGCTGCTTCTTCGATACCAGTCTTACTCATCTCACCAATCATCCTATCCAATCCCGCCTTTCTCTGCGCAGCGTCAGGAGCCATGATGTGTGAGGCGACTGGGGGTTCGTGTGGGGAGAGTGGTCAAGGGAGGGATTATGATCAACGCCAACAAGTAGGATTATGCACGGGAGTAAGAGATGTGATTTGCAGCGGTTTGGGGTGATCACCCAGCCGTATTTGTACTTTAGATTAGATACGAAAGAGACTGACCAATCTCAACAGTCCTGCAGCGTTCACGCATGATACGATGGTCTCCAATGAAGCTGAGACTTGCGGTATGGTTGGCTTCGAGCCTTCGACACATTGCCGAAGACCGTGGCCGGGCTGTCAAAGTGTCGGCCTCGCCGAGCTGAACGAGCCATCTTTGGCACCCAAGTGTCAACGAGTGCTTTCCAAGGTTCAACATCACCGGGCGACGGCATATGGCACTTTCCCATAGTTCAAACGAAACCATCCCCCCTCTGAAGACAAGACATGGGTAAATGATGCGGGGCGGCTGAAGGAACTGGAACTACTGAAACGCCACCGCTCTACTCTGGGTCAAGCGCTTCAAAACTGCTTGCTGAGATTGAGATATTGATAAGAAAAGGTGAGCATTCATGTTGGAAGCTTGTCGGAACAGGCTTCGACCGCGGCTGAGTAGGAGCACAAGGGCAGGACCCCAACCTGCGGGTTGGTGGCTGAGGGAGGCCCAGACGGGCCGGGGCGCGGGTCCGGCATCGACCCCCTCTTCCCGCACGCCAACCACCGCACACTATCTAATTATTATCGCACGTGGCTGAAAGGCTTGGGGGATGCCAGACGAATGAGGTGAGCTGAATGCTTCGGGACTTGCGCATTGTTCTTCCAAGGTCTGGACTGTAGACCCCAACTTGAATCAGATCCCCGGAAATATAGCGGGGCAACAGGAACGTAGCTGCGCTCAAACAGGGAGCTGAAAACTATTGAAATTGAACATCACAATATATGCACGCGCGCCTCGTGAGCGCGAAAGGCCTAGAACTATGAACAATGTTTGATAGTGCCATGCCCCGTCTCCAGGCACGATGGATGGATGGAAATCAGCCCTCAGGCTTACAAGTGTGCTCGTGTCGCCCCAGGGCCCAGACGACCATTGAGCGAGGGCCTCTCCTGTTATCCTCACTCAATCTGAGGTGGTTAAATCATATCTCCATTTCTGCTCCAAGTCCTCTTCAACGTCAAATATTCCACTTTGCTGCATTTGCCATGGGTCCATCTATCTTCCAGACGAGGTTTCACCAGAAGATCGAGTCCAAAGGCTCCATCACCATCTTGTCCGCTGCTGACGATGGTGTGAGCCTTGGGCATCAAACTCAGTATGGCAACAACTTGAACAATTTCACGGGGACAGTCAATGTCTTCACTGAGAAACTCCAACTCTACCACTCAACAAGCGCAGTTGATTCGGCAACTCTGTCATCGCGTTCTGCATCCGCGTTGACACTATGCACCTCGGAGCTGTCTGTGCGGGGACGACCTTCAGCTTTGATTGAGGTCCGCGGCGCATCTGGAGCTCCTAACGATGCCGGAAGCGCTTCGATTCAGCCTGCAACCAACGGCTCCAATGGCAAGACCTTCAACCTTTTCCTCTCGAGCGTCTCGAAGCCGTCACTGCAGCTGTCACTGGACGCAAGTGGCGGCGATGGTGCTACAACATGTGACGTTCGGGTCTAGACTAGCTACCGGGTAGATAGAATAGAAGTCGGGTTTGAACTAAGTACACTAGGATATCGTTGACTTAAGCGGTCGGGTCACAGTCTATGTGCGAGATAGTGGATCTTGCGTAGATAATTATATTAATAGCTAAGGAGCTGGGTAGAGACTGACTATAGTGAAGCGTAGCTTCCTATATACTAGTTTATGGAAGTGAGGGCTCACGGGAGCGTCGTGATCTAGTAAGCCATGCATTAATATTAAAGCGTAGGCTCACGGTGAGGTCGCGAGCTATACTTTATGCGTAGTAGTATAATTAGAGGAAAAAGTGGGGTGCACGTGAGAGGCGCATGCGGTCGCATGCTAGGTCGTAACATAATATCTCCCCTCCCGAGATTCTGCCCCTAGAATCGATCAAAACCAATCGTTAGTCCATACTCGTAAGTCCTATTAATTCCTTCTCCTTTATTATTTCTTGCATGTGCTAACGCTATGTCTAGTCGCTCTTCTGACGCTGCTCGAAAGACTCGCGAACGCCTGAAGCTTGCTTACGCTATTGCTTATGACGGTGCTAACGCAGACATGCCGTGCACCTATTGTTTTAAGAATCAAAAGCCTTGTCGTTTTGATAATAGGTCTTCGAAATATAGCGAGTGTGTTCGTCGCGGTCGTCCTTACGACGGGACGTTTATAGCGTCTTTATATATGTATTTGTTCTTTTCTTGCTCCTTTTCCTAACCTTCTTTAGTAAATCGTTTACTTAAATAGCGTAAGAAGCTTAAGAAGGACGAAGAGAAAGCTAAAGAGGCTCTCTTTCGTCTTTAAACTAAGCTCGCGACCGCTGTTGGTCGTTTGACGCGGATACGGAAGATTCGCCGACGTATGAAAGAGCGTATTAACGACTCCGTTCGCCGTGGTTTAGCCGGTCTTGAGGAGGATGAGCGGGATAACTCGGGGTCTATAGCTCCCGCTAAAGCTATTCCTGTTTTGGATAGTCATGAGCACTAGATTAAGAATAACCTAAGGTTCTTGGGTCTTCTTGACAATCCTAACTAGTCGTCCTTAGGTTTGGGTAATGATTTTACGGACGTAGTCCTTTTATCTAGAGCTAGAGCTGCTAGTGGTAGTTCTTCACGAGGTGCCGACAATCCTTAAGATATTTAGCGGGTTCCCATGTATTTTCGTTATTTGCATAGCCCTTCTATTTAATAAGGTACTTAACTTCTCCGTCGATAGTTTGTTTGTCGAGTATCCGTTCTAGTTCGTAAAGTTCTTCGAGAACTTCTAGTTCGTAGTTTGTTTTTGCGTTTTACGGTGCCTTTTCGAGTAATAAAATATAAAAAACTAGGTGCATCCTTATACTTAAGGGTAGTAAAAGTTTATAGTTAGTATCTAAGATAACTTCGTTAATTTTGAATAATCTAAGTTTTTTATAATCGAGCTTCGGTAAAGGTCGAGTTATTATGAAATTTTTACGTAATAGGTAGACTATATCTCCCCTCCGAAAGATCGGTCCCTTCGATCTTTTCTAATTATAGTACTTCGACATTCGTGTACGTACGAATTCGAGCTATTTCTTTATATGTTTATGTAGTGAGCGTAATTAATCTACTTTAAGCATAGCTTTTTTAGCAAGAGGTCCATCCCTTAGTGTTTTATTACCGAACTCGGGTTCGTATCCGTAGTTCGCGTAGAATAATAAGATTTTAGTTAATTCCGTAGGTGCGCTATTATAGGCGAGTTAGGCGAGTAGTAACTTCGAGACCCAATCGTCTTACTCATAGCTAATATAGCACCGTAAGTACTATTCCAATGTCTAATTCAATCTTTCTATCTATCCATCCGTTTATGGGTAGTAAGCTATGCTAAGCTTGTGTTTGGTCCCAAGCTAAGCTATTAATGCTTACCAAAACTTCGAGGTAAATATCGTTCCTCGATCCGAAATAATTTCTTCCGGAAGGCCGTGGTTGGCCACGATGTGTTTGAGTATTGTATATGCGAGTATTTCTATATCCGTTGCTTCTTAGTATGGTAGGAAATATCCGAATTTGCTTATCCGGTCCGTGATAACGAATATACTATTATATTCGACGTTAGATCCTGGTTCCTTGGATTTAGGTAGCTTCGTAATATAATCGAAGGCTATCGATTCCTATGGCTTTGAAGGCACTAGTAGTGGCTTTAATTCTCCGTATGGCTTATGCCGTGTAGCCTTACTGCGCGCACAATCTTCACATTGTCTGACGATGCGTGCGACATCTGCCTTAATTCCTTAGTAGTCGTACGTTCGTCGTATTCGTTCAAGAGTCTTTCTGACTCCTTAATATCCTACCGTGGGATGCGCATGAATATTAATCAAGATTTTATCGCGTAGCGGCGGTAGTATCTAGAGCAGTCCATTCCTAGTGGGTCCTTTTCCTATTTCTATCGCGCAGTTGTTAGGTATTTCTTTTTCATGTTTTAATACCTATTCTAATATTTTATCGTAGTGTGTAATGTCTGCTTCTACTCTAAATATAAGAAGGTTAAGTACTATTTATACGTAGTTTCCTTTGTTATTTTATCGAAGTATCTAGCCCTTGGCTTTTGGTACTTCGGTGTCGTAGTCTGGTCGGCGGCTGAGTGTATCTACTCTGCCATTCTCCGAACCTTTCCGATAGATAATTTCAATATCGTAATCGGCCAAGAATTCGGCGTATCTTATTTATCGTGCGCTAAGTTCTTATATTATCGCGAAGTAGGAGATGTTTTAGTGATCGGTGTAAACTTTAGTAGTAAACTTCGTCCCTAGCATATAGTGCTTAAATTCCTTAACGGCTGCGATAATTGCCAGGAATTCCTTATCGTAAATAGGGTAATTTAGTTCCGCGCCGTGGAGTTTCTTCGAGAAGAATGCAATTAGTCGTACGTTACTATCGTCGTCTCGTTAACCAATTTGCGCTCCTATAGCGTAGTCCGATGCGTCTATTTCTAATTCGAGTAGTCTTTCGGGGTTATAGGTTATAAGTACTATATTTAATAGTATAGTGTCTCGCAATCCTTCGAATACCCTTTATTACTTCGTTTCCCACTTAAATTCTCCTTTTCCCTTAGTGAGTCCCGTGAGTAATACTACGATTTTCGTAAAGTCGCGTATAAAGCGTCGATAATAGTTCGTAAATCCCACGAACGCTTATACTTCCTTAAGCGTTGTTAGCACAAGCTATTCTTTGACTGCATTGATCTTTATTTATTCTATTAGGATTTCGTTTGGTCGGATCGTATGTCCGAGGAAGACGGTTTCTTATATATAAAACGCGCTCTTTTCTAGGTCAACCAAGAGGTTCGTATCTTGAAGTGTTTTTAGTACCCAGTGGACGTGTTTCTTATGTCTTTTAAGGTTTTCCGAGAAGATTAGAATATCGTCTAGGTATACCATAACGAAGATATCTAGGTACTCCCTGAGTACGTTATTAATCATTCGCTAGAAGGTAGCTGGAGCATTGGTGAGGCTAAATAGCATTACTAAATACTCGAATAGACCGAACTTAGTGCGAAAAGCTATCTTCTATTCGTCTCCTTTCTTTATGCGGATTAGGTTATAGGCTCCTTTTAGGTTAAGAGCGGTGAACTAGTTCTTGCCGTGAAGTCTGTCCTTGAGCTCGTTAATAAGCGGCAGGGGTGTCCTATCTTTAATCGTAATATCGTTAAGCTGCCGATAGTCCACGACTAGTCGTAGCTTCCTATTCTTTTTTAGCACGAACATAACGGGATATCCTGCTTCCGAGGTGGAGGTTCGAATATAGCCTTTCTCACGCATTTCGTCGATATATTCTCGTAATATTTTAAGTTGCTTTTCGTTAAGGTTATAGAGTTTGTGGAACTTGGTCGAGGTTCTAGTTTTGAGATAGATTTCGTGATCCTACTAACTATATTGCGGAATACCCGTTTCGAGGGTTTCCTTGAACAACCTGCTGTACTTTCGGTATTCCAGCGGTATGTTCTTTATTCGTTCTTCTTCTATTATGGGTTTCTTTTTTCTTTCTTCTTATAGGGCTTGGTTTACTTTAAATATCTTTTATATAATATTGGCGAGGATTCGTTTTCCTTGTTTATATCGTATACCCGGTTATATAGCCTTCTCGGTTAGTACTACGGCTTTTGCTTGCTTCGGCTCGCTTATGTTCTTCGGTAAAGATCCTTCAGAGGCTAAGTCGTCGCGAATATTCGCTTCCTTCTAGTTGAATAGTAATTGTCGCGTTATCGTGTCTATCCACGCTAATTAGCCAGTGCGCTAATCGACTACCGGATTACTTCTCGTTAACTATGGGTAACCTAGTATTATATCGTATTCATATAAGTCTATAATATCGAAGACGATTGTCTTATAGTATCCTTATATCGTTGCGTCGAGATAATCGGTCTCGCGGTCGATGGTTCCACTATTGTAATCGAAGCTTTATCCTTTAATATTAAAAAGCTTATATGCCCGAGTCTTGTGATTCTATAGCAGCATATATCGGTTAACCACTACTAGTGAGATATAGTTGCCTATTGCCCTACTATCCAATAGTGCTCGCAGGCAATATCCGTTAATCTAGACTTCTAAAACTATTTTCTATCCTCTATCTATCTCCACGGAGCAAAGGGTCTTTGGGTTTCTTTCGTCGTCCTATGCCCTTTCTATAGGCGACGTTAATAGTTTTTTAACGGGTAGTATTCTATGTTAATATTATTATCCTTAGGGTCGTATACGTCGCTGCTATCGTACGACTCTGGGTATGTCGAGGGATATCGTTTTCCTTCTTCTTCGTATGGGTGATATATACACCCGTAGTAATAGACTCCGTAGTCTAGTATGCATCCTTCGAAGTGCCTGTATGTAACATACTGCGTGCATGCTTTTCCCTGCGGAATAAGGCATTCTCGTGCCTCGATCCTATGTCGTAGGTATAGCGTTTCCTTCGCTCTAGTATATCTTTCGTGGTTTGTCTTTCCTTTACTAATATAGTCTCGATCCGCTTATTCGGTAGGGTCGAACGGCAATCTTATGCCGTTAGGGTGCTTCTCGCATCCCTTGCACCCTTATCCGTAGCTTAAGGCGCATTCCTTGCTCTTGACTATCTTAATGCCGAGCAATGCCTTTGCGGTATTCTCGTGTCGCCGGAGCTCTTCTATCTCCTTTTATTCCCTAGTTCTATACTAATCGAACACCTTTGCCTTAGCGTATCGTGGATAGTCCACTAACTAACATCCGCGCCACGTTTTCTAGTCTCGTGCGCATGCTTCGGGGCATTTTACTAACTACCTTAGTATTACATATCCTATGCTAGGTTCTGCGTGTATATATTCGTAAAACTTCGCTTTATACTTTTCGTATAGGTCGTTAATAACGCGGGTAGCTAGTCCCCTAATTAGGTAGACTTAATACCTTCCTTTATTAGGTGTATGTATTCTATAAAAGTAATACACACAAGAGATCCATAAGAGTTCGCAGTGTTTTGGCGCATCTAGATATATACGTAGGTCGTCTCCTAAGACCGTTCTTCGGTCTATTACCTAGTTAATGCCTCCGTCTAATATCTAAGCGGGGATAACTATCCAGAGGTCTTCTCCTTGCGGCAAGGGGTCGTATCGATCTATCGCTGCTTTCATCTATTCTCGTGGGGTTGCTCGTCCGTGCAGCAGGTTAGTCTCGAGTATCCTTTTCTTCTATAATAGTTCTTCTTCGTAGTCCAGGGTATCGGTTATATCGCTTCCCGAATCATCGCTATCCTTAGGGGTTATAGTGATTTTCTATATAACAGTAAGGGTCCTTACCTTCGGGGCTTTTAGAAACCATCCCGATTCCTCCTTGCCGCTTTTATAGGCATAGTAGTTATTATCATAGCATCCTAACTAGTATAGGGCTTCGTGCGCCACTAGTTAGTTCATGGGTTGCTTGTTGACCTTCTTTGGCATTTTTTCCGTGTTAGCTGCTTAATTAGGGCATGGCACCTTAGACTAGCTTGGGTACTTCGTATCGTAGCCGGACCTAGTTATGTTTAGTTGCTTCGGCTTACCTTCAGGTACTGGTCTCCAGCCCTAGCTTCGCCCCTTCTTTAGTAAGCGGCACTCGCGCTTCCAATGTCCTGGCTTGCCGCAGTTATAGCAGGTTAAGTTTTTCTTATTATTATCTATCGCGGCGAGTTATCGTTATATAGCGTCCAGGTCTATAGGTCCTGGGTTTATCGTATATACCCATGCTATATTCTACTATCGGGGGCGTCCTTGGTTTGGATAGTAGCGACGTCCTCCGTTACTATTGTTTCTGAAGTTTAAGTACGACTGATTTATATTCCTCCCTTTTCCTAATATCTTGCGCTTTAGGTATAGTCGGTTATCGATCCTAATCGCGTTCGTGATATACTCCGTGAGGGACTTAGGTATGTCTTTGTCGTAGAGTTACTCCTAGACCTCCAACTTTAGACTATTGAAGAAGTAAGTTATAAGGGGTTCGTCGTCCTATCCGAGTCTGCTAGATAGTTATCGAAACTTTAATGCGTAGTCCGCAGCAGATCCCGTTTGCTTCAGGGTTCGTAGGGTTTCAATATTAACTCGGTTCTTATCCACATTTCCAAAGACGTCCTTAATAGTATTCTCGAAACCTTCGAAGCTTGCGAACATAGCTTGAGTTTCGTCGTCTTAGAGGTTAGCCGCAGTCTCCATGAAATCCCTCATACGTGGTTCGAACCACGCTAAGGCCGTGCCGGTGAGATATATTCCTGCGTGAAGGATCTTATCTATGTTATCGGCGAGCTTGGTAGGGAATAGTCGATAGTACATCTTAAGCTAAGTCAAGAACCCGTTTAGTTATCCTAGGTTGCTATCGAACGGTCTAGGTAACTTAGGCTTAATCGTCTCGCCAAGGTCCCTAGCGTTATTATTCTCTATATCGGCCATGGTGTCGTATTGCTCAAGTACTTAATACGGTAGTGCACTAAATAAGAGCTATCAATATATAACGTTCGGGTCTAGACTAGCTACCGGGTAGATAGAATAGAAGTCGGGTTTGAACTAAGTACACTAGGATATCGTTAACTTAAGCGGTCGGGTCACAGTCTATGTGCGAGATAGTGGATCTTGCGTAGACAATTGTATTAATAGCTAAGGAGCTAGGTAGAGACTGACTATAGTGAAGCGTAGCTTCCTATATACTAGTTTGTAGAAGTGAGGGCTCACGGGAGCGTCGTGATCTAGTGAGCCATGCGTTGATGTTGGAGCGTAGGCTCACGGTGAGGTCGCGAGCCATACTTTATGCGTGGTGGTATGATTGGAGGAAAAAGTGGGGTGCACGTGAGAGGCGCATGCGGTCGCATGCTGGGTCGTAACACAACAGCGGACCTCAACACACCGGCAGGAGCAGGCGGATCGGGAGGCATCATAGATATTGTTGGCTTGTCATCCTTCACCGTCCTATATGAGCACCTCATCAGGTTTCAGGAGCTCAACGAACTCCCCGAAGACTGGACGCCGCAGGACAAGGCAAAGACCCCCGCACTATCCATGAGAGAAGAGATGCTGGTACAAGCTTCAGGACTTGCGGAGCTTGCCACCAGAATCTGCTCGCAAGATGACCCAGTTGGCGCGATTGTGCTGGAGCGGCTCTCTAGCCTAGTGTCACCGAGCGCAAAAGTCACCATCTTCGACGTCGCACGTGCCGTGAGAAGCTCGGCTCATTTCATAAGGAAAGCAATGGAAGAGGAGGCCCTCTCGCTACGAAAATGCTGCTCTGTCCAGGGAGGACATGGCGGACCCGCTGCGCTCACTGCTCTGGGCCGTGGAATCAATGGAGAGGACGGCCAAGCTGGCCAAGCGCGTGTCGAACTCGTGTGCTCGCGTCAAGACCTGCACCCTTGTTTCCCGATTGCACATCCTATCCAGTGTCAGATGCTCCTAGATAAGTCACGGGCCTACTTTTACTTTGGCAACGAAAAGAGTCTTCGTCTTGCACAGAAGTGCCTCGAGATGTGCCTGATGAAGACTGGCTTCTATATGAGCCTCGAGGGCGCGGATCTTGAGGCACACCTTGATCTCTTCGAGGCCCAAAGGACAGCTCTCGGTATCAGATCTGGGGGGGAAGCGATGGAAAGCTTTCGAGAGATTGACCAGGTGGGCAGAAGTCTCCTCTTCCAGCTGACCAACACCTCGCTCGACTACTATTGCCGCAGGAGCAATTGGGTCCCACGCAGCGCCGTGGGAACGCTAGAATCGCAATCTGAGAAAGCACTTCGAGATCTGAAGAGGATCGAGAAGCTGTACATTGCGTATGCCAAAGCGGTTGAGGAATTGCAACAAGATGTCTCGCAGCGTCAGGAAGTTATCCAAGAAGTCGACACATCGCAGACCATGATCGACGTTCACGTCGAAGAGATGCGCCTTGTCCTAGAGAAGTTGAGACGGTCAATCAAGAATCCCCAAATAAACCTGGACATTGAGCGGATGACCCAGGAAGTCACACCATTGCTCGAAGATTTGAGCCACGAAGTCTTCACAACCTTCAAGCTGACACCCACCCAACTGTGTGACGCAGTCAAAGCAATCGCCGCAGAGCCTTCCAAGTCAACGGCAGCAAAAGAGGTCGGGAAGCTGGCCTGGCAAGGATTTACCAAAGTGCCAAACGTGGACGGTGTGCTCGTCGACAAAGATCTCTTGTTCTCCAAGCTCGAGACCGTCAATGGAAACCTGCGTGACAACCTTCCCAAGCTTATGGAGGGTGCCAAACTCTCCGAAGATGGGTTTCTAGTGGGGGATGATGCCGCATCCGCCCTTGTTGTTGCGAATACGCAACAAATTGAAGACCTCTTGGCTGAATTTGGCGGAGATTGCTTTGGTGGCAAAGCTACTGTTGCAGCTACGAAGTTGCGACAATATGTCAAAGTCATTGGCGATCGAAACGCCAACATTGTCCAGTACAATGTGGTTCTCAAAGAGATCATTGACTCACGCGCCAGGAGGATGGCTCTTGAGGACCGTCGCCTGTCCGCACAAGGAGAGGCCTTCAAGGGCCAGGATCTCGACCAAATCTCGTCCATGAATAACCTGACGGCGGACATTCACAATTACTCTCGCCAGAGGTCCATGCGCCTGCTCACACTCTACCGGAGAGCAGTGTTCTTCTCCACGCTCTCGGACCCTGATCTCCTGGCAGTTGGTGGATTACAGAATGATGCTGCTCTCAACCTTTCTGCCACAAAGCTCGAAGATATCAAGAACAGACTGCATGACCAACTTGAGGAGCTGCGCGAGAAGAAGGGCTCAGACGCCCCTCGATATCCCGCAGACTACGAGAACGCACCGGGGAAGTTCATCAACTTGACTTCACTGCAGCTGCAGGAGTTGCTCCAATACGGCCGGCTACGTGTGACATTGCCGGCTGTACGGAGAGGGTCCAAGCTGTATCCTGACTTCAATGGCCGAGCTGATGTCCGTGTGTACCGTGCACGCTTTTGGCTCGAGGGCATCACCATTCGCGACAAGTCGACGTGGACAGAGGAGGAGAAGCAGGGCGACGACGTACCCGTTAACATCGGAATGAAGCACTGCGGCGACAGCCAGTTCACAGACGTGTACAACGAACCCGTCTCCTTCTCACATGATGAGATTACGGTGACCTGGCAGTATCGCATTTACTACAAGGCTGCCTCTGCCACGGACCCAACTGTCCAAGTGCCTAGACCTCAGGCTGTTGACTCTGGTGATTTTGTCAACTATTCGGCGATGTATAAAGATAACAACGATGCATATGCAGCTCCCAGCCCGTTTGCGACGTGGGTTGTGAGCTTGGAGCATCTAGACCCTCGCCTGGATTTGACAAACGTCACTAGGGGCCGGTTTGAGTTCTTCGGTACGAGTCGGGCGTTTGCATAGCTGTGTTTGGTGATACTAGTGGTTAAATAGAACATCCTGACACTGCGTCTCCGTGAGGACAAGTGGAATGTCATTGATCAATCGAACGTGGGCGCAGCCTGTCCGTGAACCACATCCAAGCAGAAAGTCTGGCCTGATCAACATGACGCCGCCTGTATACATTGGATTGTCCAGTTCCTCAATGCTGACACCATCGAGGAATGCAGGTCGATCCTGTCGATTCAAGCTGGATATGTGACTCGTTAAGACCCAATGTCGAGGCACGGCACGCTGCTAATAATCATTCTCTCTCTATTCAACATCCCTTGGCCTCACGCCGCCGAGCACGAGTGCCACAAGCCCGTAGAGCGCGGCGAGATAATGGAAGATAAAGACATGGCGCGGATTGTGAGGAAGGCGCAACTGAGACAGGGATCAGACCTTGGATCAAAATCGCCAGTGTGAGCATGAGACTGAGCGCCGTTGGCGCTGATGCCAATAAGCCAATTGCTGTGAATCACAGTCGCCACAAGGCGTAATTACGCGTTTGGTCTCCGCATGACGCATGTGTTCTGGCTTATGGAGAGGCCATAATCACAGCGACCATGGACATGTGATGGTTTCGGGAGGTGTCGAGGGGTTGGCGTTGCAGCACAACAATGCTCAGATGATCCACGCCTTCAACTCAGAGAAGCGATCGATGGGGTACCACGCACCAGACTGTTCCGAGTGACCCTAGCTAGACTATATCACCCTAGGGTGCACATGTCAGCCCACAGGGTTCGACAAGACTGGGGAGAGGGGCAAGTAGCGGGATCTTCGGTCTGCCCAGCTAGGCTACGCCTGAAAGGGTATAAACTATGAGAGCACGCGAAGTCAATATGAACCGGGAATCATCTCAGTTGGACGACAAAAACGCAACTTTACACCACCAAAGCGCTTGGAATCTCAGCAATGGCAACGCGGGAAGGACTATTTTTCGACAACTCAAACTCGGTACTGCAACGGGGACTCCCTTGCCAAGGTGCTATTAAGCCTCTTACGAACAACACTGATGAAAGGGTCGAGTTTGATGTCATCATCGTGGGAGCAGGGTACGCTGGCTTGACAGCCTGTAGAGATGTCTGCACAGCTGGTGAGTACTGGAGAGGTAGTCGAAGTGCCATACTTATCAATCGTGCTGCAGGTTTCAGTGTCCTCCTCCTGGAGGCTCGTGACAGAATCGGCGGGCGAACCTTCACGACTGAGGTAGATGGACACCTGTATGAGATGGGAGGCACCTGGGTGCACTGGAACCAGCCGCATACATATCGCGAGATGTCCAGATACGGCCTCACTGACTTGCTACCCAGCCATGACCGGACATTCGGACTTGACAGCTGTACAGTTCACTTGAATGGCAAGACTCGCAATGTCAGCCACGAGACAGCAGTATGTATGAGACCTGGTATTGTGGGATTCCAAGCTAAAATAACCTAGCACGCGATGACAGAGAAGGCTTTTAGATTGATGTGTGACGTTGATGGTGAGCTGGGTCGAAGTGTCATACCGTACCCTCATGATCCGCACTTCAACCCAGAAGCCAAGTATTGGGAAGCGTTGTCCGTGGCACAGCGTCTCGACCAAATTAGGACGCAAATATCAGACGACGAGGCTGCTATCCTGCAAGCGCGTCTGTCGTCGATCTACGGGGCTGACATGGACAAAGCTGGGTTCTTCGACATGCTTCGGTGGTGGGCTCTTGGAGGATACACCATGGATGGGCTGTACGAAACAGGTGACGATTTCAAGCTCCCAGATGGCCAGTCAAGCTTTGCTCGACATTTTTTTGACGAAACCGTTGGAACGCAGAAGCTGATCTACTGTTTCGATACAGTCGTGCAGTCAGTTCATGATAATGGGCGCGCGGTCTGCGTCAACGACAAGTGGCGCGCTGAGCGACTGATATGCACCATGCCTTTGAACGTCCTGTGCGATGTGAAGTTTGAGCCCGGACTAAGTGCGCAGAAGCTGCAGGCGATGAAAGGAGGTAACATTAATCAAGGCGCCAAAGTCCATCTCGAAGTATCAGGGTCGGGGCATCGTTCATGGTCCAGTGCCATCTATCCCGTCAGCCGCGCCTGCAGCATGTCTGGAGACGGGCTTACGCCTGCGGGGAACACTCATCTCGTGTGCTTTGGCTCGAACAAGGAATTCACATCGCCGGAAGACGACGCTCGGAGCTTTGCGGCAGATTGCAAGCATGTCCAGGAAATAGACATTCTGAAAACAGTAAGTGGCACCCAGCTGGACAGTGCTCGGGCTGGCTGACAAGAACAGATCTGGCATGACTGGGCCAAAGATCCATTTGCCAAGGGAAGTTGGTGCATGTATCCGCCAGATTTCAGCTTCAAGTATTTGGCTACACTCCAGGAACGGGCTGGAAATGTTTTATTTGCAAACTCGGATTGGGCGTCGGGTTGGCGTGGGTACATTGATGGCGCCATTGAGAGAGGCACGCTGGCAGCGAGGGATGTCGCTACTGAGCTGCGCACATCGCGATGCACGGCAGGCTAGAAATGAGAAGCAGTGTAGTTAAATCTGTCAAGAAGTTCGAGATGCGTAGCAGAGATGCCAGAGATCCAAATAGTGCTCGCGACAACAAGCTGTAGGGTACTTTAGATCAGCATGGCTGACTATTCCCTATTCGGGAATACCCCGCGTCCGAGACTCCGGGCCAAGGTGGGACTGGGGCCGGTGATGGATCCATTGCCATATTAGGCAGGTTAGCGGACCCTGCATTCTTTGTTTATGAATTCCAAGTCCTACACTCGTTTTGAAAGCCCGGAAAGTCGTCAGGCATGCAAGTCCATGCGTCTGATATAATTACCAACACCATTTCTTCTATTTGAAGGCATGAAGAGCACCGGGCACATTCACTACTAAATGCGCAGCAACAATAGTCCTCACAACCCAATCCACCCTGAGATGCGCCTGGCGGCATGACCCACTGAGTATGTGAATCGGACATTGTGCTTGGTGATCGCTCGCCGCTTCAATGGGGCGACTTGGCGCTGCTCTTGGGTTTCGGATATTTGGCTCGTCAGTTGGGCACCCAAGTGCTTTTAGCAAAAGTATTGGGCCTCTTCGTGATTTACCTGTTTATTTGTTGAGGAATTACGATGTTGAAGCTCCTGCCCAGGGCACTGCTCGAAACAATATGTCCTGCTGTCGCGAATACTTCCACAATCATAGAATCTGACCCAACCACCCCTAACTTTACTTCAATCATCCCGCTTCGTCCAGGGACTCAGAGCGTCCAGAAAACGTTTGTGCAAATCAGCATCTCCGCTCCTTTTGAGTAGCTCTGGATACTCTTCACCGCCTAGTCTCTCAAAGAATAGCAGGATTCCAGCCCAGATAAAATCAGTGTAGGTGACGACATCGCCTAGGAAGAACGGCCCGGACGAAACCTCGTTGAGCAACCCAGACATTTGTTGCGCGAATGGCTCAGCTCTATCAAACGCTCCAGGGCCGTGCTGTTTCCGGTAGACTTCCAGGTCCATCCCCAGATCCTCTCGCCGAGTTTCGATGAAATACCCCAGACTGTGCTCGCTGAGAAATCGTTCTGCAACACCCGGTACGTAGACAGGCGTCAGCTGTGTCATGAGCTGGACGAGAATCGGCTGGAACCTGGATTGCAACTGTGCATTCAAGGGCAAGGTCGGTTCTGGATGCCGTTGTTCGATGATTTCGGCAATTTTGTAGGAGTCCATTACATAGGACCCCCCCGGCATTTGCAACGCTGGGCACGTGAACTTGGGCGAACCTTCACGTTCATTCGGAGCGACACTAATAGAGTGAGCAGGCGCAACGAGTAGAGGGATCCTGGATTCAAAAAATCAGACATCACTCACTGCGAGCTAAGCCGGTTTTGGATGTCGGGGTATTCAAGCTGAGACGGATTCAGTATGGCGACAAAGAAGTATGGCATCGTTGAATTTACCCATTCTGTTGTATAGTCGAGACCCTTGTAGTTAAGAAGGAGCCTGGCTGATTGCGTATGATCTTAGCCACGCACGCATCAGAGCATATTGCATGAACTTACTTCTCCAGGTGTTCATAGACCAGCACACCCGCGGGGGCTTGGTGGGGATGTCGAACAGTGTGTAGATGCTAGAGGCCATGTTGCGTGCCTTGAAGGCTATCTGTGCAATTAGATCTGAAGGTTGAAGATGAAAGGTTCAATGTTTAGATTTAATTCTGCAATGGGCGAGTGTCCTCCTGATAGAACGAAAAGCGGAATTGCGGAGATAGGATCGCTTCAACAAAAGTCAGCAAGCAGGACGACGGATCATGGATCGGCAAGCGCGGCACCTTTGGAGATGACATCGGTTTCCTTAATTGAAACTCTCAATTGTCTTGTGAGTCTTGGCGCAGACCCGATTTCTAATAAATAATTAGACAAGTAAGCAATAGCAGAGGATGACTCGAAGATCTCTAAGACGAGCGCTTAATAATGTCTTGATGTATTGTGGTTATTTTTAGACCTTACGGGCGCAACTAAGAGTCCCGTTGCGACCGATTCAATCAAACAAGGCCTCGGCGTTGAACATGAGCCAATCCACGAGACCACGACCTACTTTGCTTCCTTGGGTTCTTGTTATATGGAGAACTTAGACGCACGCTTGGAGCATCGTTTGCTCGTCGGCTCGAGCCGGCGCCAGTGCCTTTGTTCCACGGTCCACGCGACGACAGCCGATTGAGTAACCCTAGAGAGTAATAATAAAGCACCGATCGAAGTTCGAACCGGTGCACGATTGAGCAGGGCCGAAGCATCGGAGCATCATTGCTCCCTTCCAAGTTCCAGAGCTGAACCTGCTGGGGGTCTGGGCCCTGGGCTAACCTAGCTAACTCAGGGGCGTGCTCACTGCTCAACCCCTGTTAACCTCTGTGAGCCCCTGCGACTACCACTTGTTACGACCCGACATGCGACCGCATGCGCCTCTCACGTGCCCCTGCTTTTTTCCTCCTATCATACGTCACCCGCATGCCACGTAGAATAGACGACTATAGGCGACTAGCGACTATAGTCGACTACGCTATAAAGGCGCTCGTAGACGATAGTCGACTATCGTCGACTATATAATATTTACTTAGTATATAAGAAGCCTAGCTTTATTATAATTAGTCTCTACTAGCTCCTTAGCTATTAATATAATTATCTATATAAGATCTACTATCTCGTATATAGACTATAACCCGACCGCTTAAGTTAACGATATCTTAGTATACTTAGTTTATAAATCGACTTTAGATCTACCTACCCTATAGCTAGTCTAACCCGAATATTATATATTAATAGCTCTTATTTAGTATATTACCGTATTAAGGTACTTAAGTAATACGATACTATAGCTAACGAATCCTCTAAGATAACCCCTAAGTCTACCGATAAGGGTAAGGCTATAGTTAAGTATACCGAGACCTCTTAGACGGCTTAGTCTATAAACTTAGACTCGGACGAGTCCGACGATAAGGATATAAAGATCCTTAAGGGGTAGATCTAAGAGTTATTATTACGACCCAACATGCGACCGCATGCGCCTCTCACGTGACCCCCGCTTTTTTCCTCCTATTATGCGTCACCTGTATACCACGTAGGATAGACGACTATAGGCGACTAGCGACTATAGTCGACTACGCTATAAAGGCGCTCGTAAACGATAGTCGACTATCGTCGACTATATAATGTTTACTTAGTATATAGGAAGCCTAGCTTTACTATAGTTAGTCTTTACTAGCTCCTTAGCTATTAATACAATTATCTACGTAAGATTTACTATCTTATATATAGACTATAACCCGACCGCTTAAGTTAACGATATCCTAGTATACTTAGTTCATAAACCGACCTTAGATCTACCTACCCTATAGTTAGTCTAACCCGAATATTATATATTAATAGCTCTTATTTAGTATACTACCGTGTTAAGTACTTAAGCAATATAATACTATAGCTAGCGAATCCTCTAAGATAACCCCTAAGTCCGCCGAAAAGGGTAAGGCCACGGCTAAGTATACCGAGCCCTCCTAGACGGCTTAGTCTATAGACTTAGACTCGGACGAGTCCGATAACGAGGACACGAAGATCCTTAAGGGGTAGATCTAAGAGTTATAAGGGTAGCTACGGTAAGTCCTCGATATATAGGCCCGCGATAAGTAATAGTACGACGAAGCCTACTATTCCTTCTACGAAGGAATAACCTTATAATAGTAATAGGCCGCCTAGCTAAGAAACGAGATAAATAGCGTGAATAATAATACTATTCGATAGGCTATTAGCAAGGACCTAGGAGAGATTATAAAGCCACGCTAACTAGGACTATTCGATAGTATAACTAAGGACCTTTAAGGGTTCCTAACTTAGGTTAGAGCCTACTAATAGTACTTCCTATCTATCCTTCGTACGGAAGAAAATAAAGTACGCTACGCGGTAGGATATTTATTAGGAGCCGCTCTTATATAGTTCGAACCTACTCTTAGGGACTTCGTAACTAATACCTACTAATACCGAAAATAAAAGACGAAAGATATCTTCGCGTACTATAATAACTTTAAAGAAATATTAAAGGCGACCTTCAGGACTATCGACGAAGAACGCCTAGCTAAGAACTAGCTAGAGGCGTTAAAATAAAAAAAGTTAGCCTCGGATTATAGCGTTTTATTTACCTAAATCGCGTCTAGGACTACTAAGAGTAAAGGAGATAAGATAGCCTCCTTCTACCGAGGTCTTAAGGACGAGGTTAAGGACGAGCTATATAAGGAAGACCGACCCGCCACCCTTATAAGCTATATCGCGATAGCCGTTAAAATCGATAACCGATAATTCGAGCGACGACGCGAGAAGAAAGGATAGTACTTTACTAATGCCTTAAACCGCGATCGTAATAACAAAAACCGAATCTACCCTAATATAAGACGACCGCGATTCTACTAGAGCACGGCTCTCGGCGGAACCTATACGGGACTAATAAATCTCGACGCGATAGAGCGAAAGCTCGCCGCGATAGATAAAAAGAACCTCACCTACTATAACTACGGTAAGAAAGGATACTTTGCGCGCGAATACTATTCCCTAAAGAAAGAACGAAGCTAGGGCTAGAAACTAGTCCCTAAAGGTAAGTATAAGTAGCTAAATATAACTAGGTCCGGATACGATATTAGCCCCCCGTAAAATATAGTATCCTCTAGGGAGAAAGAACGATAGAAGTTCCTCGAGGAAATAAGGAAGGCCGGAGAAGAGGTAAGAAAGTAACCAATACCTTATAAAGCATTATACTAGTTAGGATACTACGACGATAGCTACCTAACCTACCGGGATAGTAAGGAAAACTTAAGATAGTTCCCTAAGGCCTTACGCGGGTCTCGCGTTCTAGCTATAATACGTAAAGCCACTATAGGGCTAGGGAAGTACCCGGACGACGTAGACGAAGAATTATCCGATACCGACTCTATAGATAGCGACGAAGAGCTCCTATAAAAGAAACGGATACTCGAAACCAACCTATTACACGGACGAGCAACCCTACGAGAATAGATAAAGGTAGCGATAGATCGGTACGACCCTCTACCGTAAGGGGAAGATCTCTAGATAGTTATCCCCGCTTAGACGCTAAACAGAGGAATTAATTAAGTAATAGACCGAAGAATAGTCTTAGGAGACGACCTACGTATATACCTAGATATACTAAAATATTACGAACTCTTATAGATTTCTTATATATATTACTTTTATAAAATATATATACTTAATAAAGGAAGGTATTAAGTTTACTTAATTAAGGGACTAGCTACCCGCGTTATTAACGACCTATACGAAAAATATAAAGCGGAGTTCTACGAGTATATATACGTAGAACCTAGCATAGGATATATAATGCTAAGGTAGTTAGCGAAATACCCCGAAGTATACGCACGAGACTAGAAGACGTGGCGTAGATACTAGTTAGTGGACTGCCTACGATACGCTAAGGCAAAGGTATTCGATTAGTATAGGACTAGGGAATAAAAAGAGATAGAAGAGCTCCGATAATACGAGAACGCCGTAAAGGTATTGCTCGGTATTAAGATAGTTAAGAGCAAGGAATGCGCCTTAAGCTACGGATAAGGGTGCAAGGGATATAAGAAGTACCCTAACGGTATAAGATTATTATTCGACCCTACCGAATAAGCGGACCGAGACTATATTAACTAGGGCAAGATAAACCGCGAAAGATATACTAGAGCGAAGGAAACGCTACGCCTACGATATAGGATCGGAGCACGAGAATACCTTATTCCATAAGGAAAGGTATATATATAGTATATTATATATAAGTATTACGAAGGATATATATTAGACTACGGAGTCTACTACTACGGGTATATATATCACCCGTGCGAAGAGGAAGGGAAATAATACCCCTCGATATACCTAGAGTCGTACGGTAGTAGCTATATATACGACCCTAAGGATAATACTATCGATATAGAATACTACCCGTTAAAAAATTATTAATATTACTTATAAAAAGGGCATAGGACGACGAAGAAAACCTAAAGACCCTCTACTCCGTAGAGATAGACGGAGGATAGAAAACGGTTTTAGAAGTCTAGATTAATAGATATTACCTACGAGTACTATTAGATAGTAGAGCAATAGGAAACTATATCTTACTAGCGGTAGTTAACCGATATACGCTACTATAGAATTATAAGGCTCGATTATATAAGCTTTTTAACGTCGAAGGATAAAGCTTCGATTATAATAGTAAGACTATCGACCGCGAGACTAATTATCTTAACGTAGCGATATAAGGACACTATAAGATAATCGTCTTCGATATTATAAACTTATATGAATACGATATAATACTAGGTTACTTATAGTTAACGAGAAGTAATCCGGTAGTCGATTAGCGTACTAGCTAGTTAGCGTGGATAGACACGATAACGCGATAATTACTATTTAGCTAGAAGAAAGCGAATATTCGCGACGACTTAGCCTCTAGAGTATCTTCATAGGAAGATATAAGCGAGCCGAAGTAGGCAAAAGCTATAGTATCGACCAAGAAGGCGTTATAACCGGGTATACGATATAAATAAAGAAAACGAATTATCGCTAATATTATATAAAAGATATTCGAAGTAAACCAAGCCCTATAAGAAGAAAAGAAGAAAAAACCCACGATAGAAGAAGAACGAATAAAGAATATACCTCTAGAATATCGCAAATACAGCAGGTTATTTAAGGAAACCCTCGAAACGGGTATTCCCTAATATAGTTAATAGGATCACGAAATTTATCTTAAAACCGGAACCTCGACTAAATTCTATAAACTCTATAACCTTAACTAGAAATAACTTAAGATACTACGAGAATATATCAACGAAATACTTAAGAAGGGCTATATTCGAACCTCTACCTCGGAAGTAGGATACCCTATTATATTCGTGCCGAAGAAAAATAGGAAGCTACGATTAGTCGTAGACTATCGGTAGCTTAACGATATCACGATTAAAGATAGGATACCCCTGCCGCTTATTAACGAGCTTAAGGATAGACTTTATAATAAGAACTAGTTTATTACTCTTAACCTAAAAGGAGCCTATAACCTAATCCGTATAAAAAAGGGAGACAAATAGAAAATAGCTTTTCGCATTAAGTTCGGTCTATTCGAGTATTTAGTAATATTATTCGGCCTTACTAATACTCTAGCTACCTTCTAACGAATAATTAATAATATACTCAGGGAGTACTTAGATATCTTCGTTATAGTATATCTAGACGATATCCTAATCTTCTCGGAGACCCTTAAAGAATATAAGGAATACGTCTATTAGGTACTAAAAATACTTTAAGATACGAACCTCTTAGTTAACCTAGAGAAGTGCGCGTTTTATATATAAGAGACCGTCTTTCTCGGATATATAATTAGACCAAACGAAATCCTAATAGAACAAGCAAAGATCAATATAGTTAAGGAATAGCCCCTACTAGAAAATAACCTTAAGGAAGTATAAGTATTCGTAGGGTTCGCAAACTACTATCGGCGCTTTATACGCGACTTCGCGAAGATCGTAGCACTACTTATAGAACTCACGAAGGGCAAAAAGGAGTTCTACTTTAGAAAAGAATAAAGGAAGGCTTTCGAAACGTTACGAGATAGCATAATATCTAATACTATACTTATAACCTATGACCCCGAAAAGCCACTCGAATTAGAAATAGATATATCGGACTACGCTATAGGAGCGTAGATTAGCTAACGAGACGATAACGGCAATCTACGACTAATTACCTTCTTTTCGAAGAAACTCTACGGCGCGGAACTAAACTACCCTATCTACGATAAAGAATTCTTAGTAATTATCGCCGCTATTAAAGAATTTAAGTATTATATACTAGGAACGAAGTTTAGGACTAAGGTTTATATTAATTACTAAAATATCTCCTACTTCGCTACGATATAAGAACTTAGCTTACGATAAGTACGATACGCTAAATTCCTAGCCGAATACGATATTAAAATTATTTATTAGAAAGGATCGGAAAACAGTAGAGTAGACGCACTTAGCCGCCGACTAGACTACGATACCGAAGTATAAAAGGCAAAAGGCTAGATACTTTAATAAAATAACGAAGGAAACTATATATAAATAGTACTTAACCTCCTTATATTTAGAGTCGAAGTAGATACTATATACTACGATAAAATATTAGGTTAGGTATCTAAACACGAAAAAGAAATACCGGACGACTATATAATAGAAACGGGAAAAGGACCCACTAGGAATAAACTACTCTAGATACTACCGCCGCTACGCGATAAAATCTTAATTAATATTCACGCGCACCCTACGGCAGGATATTAAGGAGTTAGGAAGACTCTCGAACGAATATAACGAACGTATGACTACTAAGGAATTAAAGTAAATATCGTACGTATCGTCGGATAATACGAAGACTATACACGCAGTAAGGCTACACGGCACAAACTATATAGAGAACTAAAGCCACTACTAGTACCTTTAAGACCATAGGAATCAATAGCCTTCGATTATATTACAAAACTACCTAAATTAAAGGAACTAGGATCTAACGTCGAATATAATAGTATATTCGTTATTATAGACCGAATAAGTAAATTCGGGTATTTCCTACTATACTAAGAAGCAATAGATATAGAAATACTCGTATATATAGTGCTTAAATATATCGTGGCTAACCACGGCCTTCCGGAAGAAATTATTTCGGATCGAGGAACGATATTTACCTCGAAGTTCTAGCAAGCTCTAATAGCTTAGCTCGGAACCAAGTATAAGCTTAGCATAGCCTACCACCCTTAGACAGACGGATAGATAGAAAGGTTAAACTAGATACTAGAATAATACCTACGGTGCTATATTAACTACGAATAGGACGATTAGGTCTCGAAATTACCACTCGCCTAACTCGCCTACAATAGCGCACCTATAGAATTAACTTAAATCTTACTATTCTATGCGAACTACGGATACGAGCCCGAGTTCGGTAATAAAACACTAAGGGATAGACCTCTTCCTAAAAAAGTAATACTTAAAGCAAACTAACTACGCTTACTATATAAATATATAAAAAGATAGCTCGAATTCGTACGTATACGAATATCGAAATACTATAATAAGAAAAGATCGAAGGGACCGATCTTTCGGAGGGGAGATATAGTCTACTTACTACGTAAAAATTTCATAATAACTCGACCCTTACTAAAGCTCGACTATAAAAAGCTTAGACTATTTAAAATCGACGAAGTTATCTTAGATACTAACTATAAGCTTTCGCTACCCTTAAGTATAAGAATATACCTAGTTTTTTATATCTTATTACTCGAAAAAGCACTATAAAACGCAAAAACAAACTACGAACTAGAAGTCCTCGAAGAACTCTACGAACTAGAACGAATTATCGATAAACAAATAATAGACGGAGAAGTTAAATACCTTATTAAATAGAAAGGCTATATAAGTAGCGAAAATATATAGGAACCCGCTAAATACCTTAAGAATTACCGTTACCTATTGCGATAGTATTATTAAAAAGAAATATATCGGGTATTACGCTTTAATCGATAACCCTAAACGCACCTAACTCCTAAGCACGCCTAACTACCTACTACTCCTTAAGAATAGCCTCTTCCTAAGAACGCACCTTATCCTCCTTATCTAACTCATATATACCACGAGATACTAACTCCGAGGTCCGACTTCGAAGTAGTTCTCGTTAGCGACGAAGGCGCTAAACGCGCCCTAGAGCCTCTTAGAGCTCCCTCTCGGATTTTTCTAAATCCGCTTCCACTCGTTTCTACTTAGATACCGCACGCGTTACTAAAATATAGGTTAGTATATACACGAAAAATATATATAGTACTCACGATACGACGCCACGCTAATACTATTATAAGTTTTCTTTATTTCGATATACGACGTATAGCGACGAGAATTACTATTTATACGACAAACGCGCTTAGCGCGATAATAACGAGTGTAGGGTATCTCGCTCTTAGAACCGTTAAGATAAATAGCTTTAATTAGGATAGCGCGACACGAGTTATTAGTTCCCTTATAAGAAGAGGGATATTTCTATATACGGTTAGGTATAATAAAAGGAAGAGGTTGCCGAATACGACTTACGACGGACGGCTAACGGGTTTTAGCTAATTCTAGGATAGAATCTCGGAAGGGGAGATATTATATTACGACCTAATATACGACCGTATACGCCTCTCACGTGACCCCCGCTTTTTTCCTCCTATTATACGTCACCCGTATACCACGTAGGATAGATAACTATAAGCGACTAGCGACTATAGTCGACTACGCTATAAAGGCGCTTATAAACGATAGTCGACTATCGTCGACTATATAATATTCACTTAGTATATAGGAAGCCTAGCTTTACTATAGTTAGTCTCTACTAGCTCCTTAGCTATTAATATAATTATCTACGCAAGATTTACTATCTCGTATATAGACTATAACCCGACCGCTTAAGTTAATAATATCCTAGTATACTTAGTTTATAAACCGACCTTAGATCTACCTACCCTATAGTTAGTCTGACCCGAACGTCACATTAAGTTAACGATATCCTAGTGTACTTAGTTTATAAACCGACCTTAGATCTACCTACCCTATAGCTAGTCTAACCCGAACGTCACACACGGCTACTTTCACCCCTAGGGGCGAAATTCTATGAGATTTTCTAGCCCTAACCTAATAGCCTAACCCCGTTTTTGCCCCTATAATTAGGATTTAAGTAACCCGATATATATATAGAACTCGATAAAGCGCTATACGGGCTAAAGGACTTATTAATATTATAGTTTAAGGAATTCTTATTAAAACTTAAAGCCCTTAGACTTATATAAAGCGCTAAGGAACCTTATGTATTCTATTCGCTTACTCAAGATATTTATATTATTTTCATAATAGATAATATATTAGTTTTTTATTACCCTTTATAACCCGCGGTAACTAAAGCTATAATTAAGGGGACACTAAGTAGTTCCTAGGAATTAAGATTATTCGAGATTATATAAAATATATAATTTACTTAAGCTATACTTAGTATATCGAAAAGATAGCTGAGATATACCCGGAGAGTATGGCAGATTACACGACTTCGGGCGAGATTGGATATCTTGACCGGCTGAAGCTGTATGAAGAGGAGAAACCGTATATTGTCACCTTTCTACTATCAAACACACCTGGAGCTAAACACAGTAATCTAAGCATTTCCTACCACCCTGTCAACATTCGCGACATCAGGCATTCAACGCAGACTTTCACAACAGGCACTCATGGATTCGAGCTAGTCAAGTTTCCCACCTCTGCCACGACTGAAGAGCTCCGCAACCAGGGAGCGATCCGCGATCTATACTTCCCAGAGGCGGAACAATACTTGAAGGAGAAGTTTGACGCAGAATATGTTTACTTCTTTGATGCTACGGTGAGAGGTCTTAAATATCACTCGACCAGTGTGGAATTAATTATCCCCAGGTTCGAGATGTAACGTTTCAGGAATACGATCTTGAAGCGGAGCTAAGGAACGAGCAAGGAGCGAGCAAATCCTTGGAGCAGCCTGTGACGCCCACGTTGGTACGGCTTTTTCATATCAGAGCATCTTGTAGCCGACGATTAATCACATGCGTAGACCAAACACCTGCATCTGTGTTCCGCAGAATAAAACATGATCTTCCGGAAAGATTTGAGGACTTCAAATCCCGCCACATTCGGGTAATCAAGTAAGCTCAATGTCCTGGTACTTGTATTCCAATCCCACTGACCCAGGATTCAACAGCATCTGGCGACCTTTGGCAGGACCACTTCAAGACTACCCGTTGGCCCTTTGTGACTGGAGAACAACACTGCCAGACGACTATGTGGCTTGCGACCTTCCATCAATCCACTACGTGGGCGAAGTCCTCCAAGTACATCACAATCCTGATCACCAATGGTGGTTCGCGTGTAATATGACCACAGACGAGGCTTTGCTTATCAAAATGTACGACACGGACGCTGAAACAGAAGGCAGCCAAGTTGCCATGTGTACGTATAAACGATTCAAGTCCGCTTGTGATCTCAATTGCAGACTATATGTACTAAGACGAAGCAAATAGGCCTCTCCGCATTGTGCGTTCAAGTGGGAGGATGCATCCAAGGACTGCCACCAGAGAGCGAGTATGGAGATCAGAGCCATCCTTATCAATTGATAAATAGTCTGTGCAACTCGGTCTCAGATAGTTTACAAACGGTCCTTTCGACTTCTCGCGAAACAGTCCTATGCACCTTTAGTGACTAGAAACTAGCCTAACATGTCGTGCTTTCGTAATGACTTACATTTGCGATAGCCAATATCCTCAGCCTGCCTTGTTTGGTTTGGGGGTGCCCTCAGAGCCACCCGAGCCGCCTGACTTGCGGAGCTTCTCTTCATATTGTCTCACGCGCTCCTCCTGGACATGTCTGAGGTCCGGAGAAGACTCAGCCTCCTGTCGCGCAGCGATTACTTGTTCGAGCCAAACCTTCCACGGCTGGGTTCTGCCATTCTCCTCAATGGCCATTCTTTCGATCGCGTGGTACTTTGATATCGACTCGCTGTAGCCTGCTGATTGGGTTAGGTGGTATGGGTGAGACAAGGCGTGGTGTGCACAGGAATGAGTAAAACAATACACGAGAGCAAAAGCTCTAAAGCAAAACCACAGCGCATTTGTTCTACCTAGGCTATAGCGCACTGAGATATGTGTACGGGCGGTATTGCTAGTCTGACTGGCCAATAAACCTGAGATAAGGCAATGTGTCACGAGTTCACACTTTCTGATTATCATATACAAAAGTATAACGCCACACCTTATAACTTAGTATTACTCCTTATAGCGTACGATATACCCCTTAATTAATTTAAGGGCTCTAAATTAGTTACTCTTTTATAAGTATTACTTATATAAAAAGCTCTAATTAAACTATACTTATTATTTATTATGATATTCGAACCTATAACCTATAGATCTAATATAATTCTAATAAATATTATTTTTTTAATCATTATTATAAAAAGTTCTTAATTAATAAATAATGAATTATTTAAGCTTATAATTATAATATATTATAAAAAAAGTTATTTAAGTATTTTATATTATTATAAAAAAAAAATTATTAAGGCTTTATTTATATATTCTTAGTTATATAAACCTATCCTCTTAAAGCCTCTTTCTCTAATATCCTATACTCTAGGTTATTTACCTCCGGTTTTATTAATTTCGGGTTCTTACCCTTCCGGTATTACCTTTTCACCGCTAACGGTAGAAACTTAATCGAGCCTAGCCCCGCTATAAGGTAGGCTTATTATCACATACCCCTTACTTATATAGTTATTTAACCACGCGAGTATTATTATTATTGCTAATTAATAAGGTTCTAAGGTAGGGTCTTTACTTTATCTAAGGTAAGTGCGCTCGTGTGAGCACGTTGAATTTGACACAGAGGATTGAATGATGCAGTCCCGGCGATCGCCTCCTAATTGATCAGGCAATGGATTGGTTCCCCTCATTCCAAGAGCAGCACAGTAGCCCCCTACTGTGCTGCCATCTCCTACATGAGATATGCAGAATGATTCCCAGGTCGGCGATTCACCCGGGGTGAAGTCATGATTGGCCACTCTCCAGACAAGCGACTGGTGACACGGAGTGGCGTTGTGACATTGAATGTGAGTGGTTGCGCTTGGCAATCTGAGGATACGAAATCACGAATACCTTGCGTATCACTGCGTCATTCAGCGAATAGCGCTCCTAACCGGTGAATCTAACATGCAGCTACTCCGTAGCAAGTGACTAGGAAGAGCTAGATTCAAAAGTCCCCGAGTCTCTCTGCCTTATAGCTAAAGACTTAAAGAGGGAATAGATTCCCACTTAGTCTAGCTGCTGAATTAACATAATCATGTCTTTACTATACCTTATTTATTGTGATTCCCGATTATCACTTTATGTTAATATCTTGATATCTTCTAACTTTGGGATTTCAAGAGCCTGACTCTATACTCATTCTACTGAAACGTCTCTATCTAAGGGTTTAAACATGTCCGACAGAAGTACTACAAGCTACGATGGCCATGGCATGGCCGAGGCAGTATGTCCCCCCTGCCCGAACTATGGTCAAATACTAACACGTTGGCAGTATACTAGCATGGACCCAGAAGGGGACAGACGTCGCGAAGAACTAGAAAGAGTTAAGGCTGCAGCTGGAGCTAGCGTTCAAAAACCAGAGCCGATAGCGTCACATGGAACCACGACACAGAGAACCACGACGAAAGAGGAGACAGAGAAGGCTACAAACCAACAATTCAATAAGGATGGGAGTGTGAAGCAGTAGATAGGAAGTGTATTCTAGAAAATGACCACTTCACGGGTCCATGAGACCGGATCTTTAGTTGAAATAGAAGAACTGTCAATCCCTGTGTGCATTTCTCATGTCTCTCAATAATTCCTGCTTCGCGGTAGGGTTCTCAGCCTCCGTCTCGCTCGAGTTAACCACCGGGGCTTTTTTCAGGCTGTACGTGTCGAGCTGCATTCCTAAGCGCCACAGCCATAGCAGTACTTACCCTTCGATACCTGCACCATGGACGTCTTTGTAACTCCACCTTCTTCCGACCATGTCGAAATGAAGGCGCAAATCGTCGACTTCACGGCTTTGGGGCGCATATGAACCCAGGCAGAGATCTCTTCCACAGGTTCAACGTCCAGGACAGCTTACGTGGCAAACGTGCCGGAGTCACCGTCATACTTGTGGACGGCTGGGAAGAAGGTCCAATGGAGAAGATTGTCAATCGTGAGGAGAAAGCCAGAGGCGACAAAGATCATGAAGATACTGAGAGCGATCAGCCACCTGCTAATGACCTGCCCAATGCGACGAAGCCGGACTGGCTCGTCCTCGAGAATAAGCTTCGTCAGAAATACGCGAATTCAGCTAAATATCAGGACAGGCTGCAGGTGGGGGAGTGTAGTAAGCTGCCTCTCCGGGAGAACGAGTGAAGCGCGTACTAAGGGCCCACGGCTGCTAGACTCATAGTATCTGATCTATCACTGAAAACACTTCCGAGGTCTCGACTTCGCAATTATCCGTTTGTCCACAACGTAGCAAGCCCTTGATCTCGTCTTTTTGAGAGCTGTGGTGCATGCCGGCCACCAGACCGATGGCTGTCTTACAGGACATCGTGCCACTCACATGACGCGACAAATTCGTGGATAGTTGAGGTGGGTAGAGGAACGGTGGCAACTTTTCCTTCTGGGCACCCGAAGCAAGTGCTCCCTTACTGGCATAGTCCTCCGGCCCGGCATTTGGATATGTGATGGACACCGCTGGACGACCTTGTGCTAGCCTAGGAGACACGACACTAGTCAATCGATCTTGGAGTCGATGCTGCGAGGAGTGGGTATCGCCTGACGGAAACGTGGCATTTGGCGCTGGCGGATTTGTTAGAGTTTTAGAACTTTTCGCTAGTCTTCTCGGATAGCTAATATTCGGTATGCTTGTTGGCGGAGGATGCTGACTAGGATCGGAGCTGTGAGTGGCCGTTGGCGCATCATCGTAACCGGTCGCACGGAGGTGGCGAGCAATCTCATCAGGCGCGACACCTTTGCGGTCGAGCAGCGCGCGGAGCCGATGGTTCTCCAGTTCAAGAGCCTTGGCGATCCGTTGTAGTTCAATGCTGGCCTGCACCCCCTCGCGTTCGAAGCGGGCGACCTTCTCTTGTAGGTCCTGAACGAGCTCTCTACGGCGAGCACGCGAGCGACGCTGATTTTCGCGGTTTTCGGTCGCAGAGGCCGGTTTTCTGATCTAGAATGCGCGAGTCAGATATTGTTTCTGGTGGGAGATAAGCGACCATGCCCTCGTTGAGTCAGACCTTCCTAGGCATGAGTACGGCGCGGAGACTATTGTAGAGTGATGTTGTTAAGTTACTTCGATGTCATGTTGTTAACAGCCAGTATCGCAGGATCTTGAGGGAATTATCTGCATCTTGGATACCCGGGAAGTAAGGCTTGTGACTCTATGGAGAGAGCATGCCGGACGAGCGAATCCTTGTTTTAGGGAGGTAATTATAGAAGAAGACTGTTTAATTTTGCCCCAAAGAATTATCAACACAATTGTTCGATTCTCTCATCAGATTGAGTGCTTTTTGAATCTCGCTGGCGCATTGTTTCAAACATTTATCTGGTCTCTAACCTGCATGTGTCAGGCCCCTTACATGATTGGTCGATATTCAGCGCTTGCAAATCTCCTAGACGGGCAATCTATGATCTACGCGCACGTTAGCTCCTGTTAACGTTTAATTCTTTCATTACGAATTAATAAGCCCACGATTGCATAGCTTAAAACTCATCACTATCTGTGGAGAAGGCGCAAAAGCATACCGCGTAGCCTTCAATCGGATAGAGCAATATTGTGTGTATGCGGTTAGGCGAGTCAGGAGGCATCATCGTTCACTATTCCACATTATCAACACCTCTCTCCCCGTCGTCTTCACTCATTATGTTCACGCAGAATGGGTACTCGCCTCCGCACAATTGCTTGCTGGCGTTCACATCTACGTGCTAATTACTCGCCTCGGGTCTTTACGTCTTCTTTTGCCTCAACAGCCATGTCTTCTTTATCGCCCGAAAAATTGGTGCACCGCCATGCCAACGATCCAAACTCGTGTTCTCTCAAAGCCAATGGCGGCGTCGTTGCTTCCCCGGATCTGCCCATCGGCGAGGCTCAGGATGAGCCTGCGATCAGGTCCAGATACAGGCCATTTCTTCTGGATCACGAGGGTGCGGCAGGCGATTGGGTGGCGGAACTCGAGCTCGACACCGTCACCGCAATGGCGCAAGCGGACGTGGAGAAGACCGGCTCCCGACTCAATATCCTTGTCCTATACGGGAGTCTGCGAAAACGGTAAGTGGCACCACCTCGCGGCAGAAGGCAGTGACTGAGACATCACAGATCCTATTCCAAGCTCGCAGCCTTTGAGGCAGCCCGCATCCTCCACAGGCTCGGATGCGACGTGCGCATCTTCAATCCATCGCAGCTTCCCATCCGTGACTCGGTCTCGACAGATCACCCGGCTGTCCAGGAGCTCCGCGAGCTTTCTCTTTGGAGCGATGCACACGTTTGGTGCTCCCCTGAGCAGCATGGCAACTTGACTGCCGTCTTCAAGAACCAGATTGACTGGATCCCGCTGTCCACAGGCTCCGTGAGGCCGACTCAGGGACGAACTCTGGCTATTGTTCAGGTGAATGGTGGCAGTCAGTCCTTCAACACCGTGAACAGTCTCCGCGTCCTGGGTCGATGGATGAGGATGTTCACCATTCCCAACCAGTCGAGCATCCCGACAGCTTTCAAGCAATTCGAAGACGAGGGAGGCGACGGCAGCGGCAAGGCTCGTTTGCTGCCGAGTGGGAACCGCGATAGACTGGTGGATTGCATGGAAGAGCTGGTCAAGTACACCATTATCATGCGCCAGCACCACACATTGTTCGAGGATCGATACAGCGAACGAAAGGCAAGTGCTGCGAAAGCAACGGCAGCCTTTGCCAATAGTGCACTAAAATGAGTATAAATCGATATGTCACATTATTTCGCTCAGTATAGACTAAAGAAGATTCGCAGAGATGAATGGATAATATGGTGTGGAATCCCAGATCCATGAATGCAGGGACATGGACCAGTGTATGTCTTTGAAAAGTATGAGCCCGGTACATGTAGGTAAGCAGAACTGCCCCCATCATTGAGCAACTTCTCTCCTTCTTGAAACTACTTCCATGGTAGGTACGAGGACCCAGACTCTGAGTTCTGGGTATATGTGGAGTGAAGGTACTGCTGCGGCTGCTGGTCCGTTTGACCGGAGTAGGCCGGCTTTGCAGACACAGCGACGGGTTTGCGATGCAGTGGGGGTGGTAACGCAGGCTTCTGCTCTTGTTGGTTTGTCTGGTTCAAGGACGACGTAACATTACTGCTCGCGGGGCCGTACGCGTGATACGGTGACTCCATGTTTTGTGCCTGCGGGTATGGCTGATATGTCTGACGCCGAGCGGCTACTGTCTCAGGCCCGCCTCCATGTTGTGGGGGCTGCTGGTGATATATGGGAGGAACATCCATCGGAGGATAAGGATCAAGTTGATACGACTCAGATGGCGCCAGCGTGGCCCTTGGGCCAATTGGCGTGGAGCTCACAGGACGAACGTCTCGAGGCAGTGGCTGGTAGTTCTGGGCTTGGCTGTGAGGATAAGGCTGTTGTGGAAGCTTCGACTTTTTTGAAGGGCCCTTGTACGGCTGGTACGGACCATAGTCGAGGCTAGAGTCCGAGGACAGCGAAGCCCTGGGGGGTGGCCGGCGAGGTTCCTGGCAGTAGTATAGGTTTGAAGTTCCGGCTGGCGGCACTCCATATCTTTCGCCATACTGGTTCAAACCGCTTGCGGACGCTGACTGATGAAGAGATTGGTCTGTGGACCTTTGCGCGAGCGATGGTTCACTTGATGTAGCCATGGTGAGCCTTCTAGCATACCCATCGTGGGCTGCGGATATCTGAGGCACACCATGCCGTCCAGGCCCTCCGCTGTTGGAGCGTTGGTGAGGCCCGAAGTTGCCTACATACTCTGCCTGTCCAGTTGCTCCTGGATCGAATCTCGTAGGCTGTGGGTGCTTTGAAGGATCAAGTGGTGCCCAACCGCCATCTCGATAGCTCGATCGCGGGTTGTCAAGCGGATGGCCAGAAGAGAAGCTACCAGACTCGGGGGCAGGTAAGGAGGCCAATGCCGACATTTCTGCCACGGAAGATAAGCCCCGTGAGATCATGGAGCCGGTTGGCTCCTGTGGCTTTCCTGCTGGGCAGTCGCCGTAGTCAAGGCCTTGGTTTCTGTTCTCAACTTTGCGTACCAGAGCCGACACCGCAGAATTGCCAGACGTAACTTCCACTCGTATCAGCTCCATCAGCGCTTCTACATGTTCAACAATGACGCTGATACACCCCGCGTTCTCGCTCATGACTGCTCCTTGTAGCGCGTTGAAGCCGTTCCTATTCGCGTGCAGCACGTCGGCACCACGGTCGAGCAATAGTTGCACCACCTGGCCGTTTCCGTTAAACGCCTCCATTATGAGCGCCGTGTCGCCGTTCTTATCTGGTAAGTTGATGTCCGCACCAGCGTCAAGGAGTGAGCGAATGGTTTCTTGCGGCAGAATCGTGGAACCTGAAGCAATAGGCCCAGCCATGTTTGGCCCTCCAGTGACATCCAGATTCGCCCTGGCCTGGAGGAGACGCTGTACCATTTCTTTGTCGCCTTTGCTCGCAGCAGCAATGATGGGATACTCATACAGACCCCCGCCTCGGTTGGGGTTCGCGCCATGCTCGAGAAGAAGGTCGGCGATTTCTACATTCCCAGCCTCGACAGCAGCTTGGAGAGCAGTCCCCTGTGGCATATTCTTATGCACGCTGAAGGCATTCACGTCTGCCCCGTGTTTCAGAAGCAGTTGAACAACCTCCACGTGCCCTTGACCGGCGGCAGTCTGTAAGGCCCAGCCGTCGGGCGCGTTGACATCGGCCTTGTAGCTAAGCAGATTCTCGATGATGTGAACTGTACCATCGTAGGCGGCAGCCGTGAGGGCGTTTCCGTATCTTTTGTCCCGACGTCAGCAACACATACTCTCTGCCTGGGGAAGCCGGCCCGTGGTCCTTACTCTTCGCCTATGGCATTGAGATCGGCGCCATATCTTAGCAGCAATCTGACTGTATTGGCAGACTCGAAATCAGTCGCCGCATATAGTGTTTTGTCCAAGATCGCGGTGGAGATGGTCGCGTTCGAATACTCCCACAAAGCTCCGAGCACTTCGATCTCCTGCTCGCCATCAAATCCATAGCAGAAGCTAAAAAGTGCCGCGTTGCAGTCAAGACCTGAGCATTTTGTCAGCAGCAAATGGATTATGTCGCAGCGACGAGTGAATGACGCTTCATCCAGAGCAAGTTGGATCGCTGATCTTGGACATTCCATCACCTCGAAGAGGCGAGTTAACGCCTCCATGCGATCATGACCGGCAGCCTGAGCCAGAGCTGTGTGGAACTCTTCCGGCGGAAGGTTGTGGCCATACTTCTCGAGTAGGAAGTTGAACGTAGTCAGGTCGGAGCGTGTTGCTGCCAGAGCAAGTGGCTCCCAGATGATCTCCTCTTCCTCATCGTCGTCATCGTCGTCATCGTCATCGTCTTCATCATCATCACCATCTCCTTCTTCTTGTTCTCCATCTTCGCTTTCTGGGTCCTCGGCTGTACTGCAGACGGCAGGACCAGCCTCAGAACCGGGATCATCAGCACCCATTTTGCAACTAGCATTGCCATCCCAAGATTGGCTCTCGTGATTTTCTTGGGCGTTAGCCTCCTGTTGGAGTCTGAGTTCACGCGTTTCCACCGCCCTCATCACCTTATTTTTGCGCCCAGTAAAATGCAGCGTATTTATTAGATAGTCGCCCACTACCAAATAATATCAGAAGTGTTTAGTATCACGGCTAGTTCTTGCAAGTAGGGACCCAAGACCCTCTCCACAAGACCATCCTTAACCCACCCAGCATCCCAGCCTGGTCGCCATAGTGCCTTACAATACTCCCAATACTCAGGAAAGAATCCAGAAAACTCCCAGTCCAAGATAGCCACGACTTTAGATCCTCGCACAAGAATGTTCCTTGGAGCGAAGTCGTTATGAGTTAGAACGATCTCGTGATTCTTCATAACGTCGAGTAGTGTCCGGCATAGAAGTCGCACGTACGCATCGTCTTGGCGGTTGTGTGACCACGCTTTTACAAGCCCTTTGTTAAACTCCGATTCATCATTATAGGGTCCAAACGCAAAGAGGTCATGTGAGAAGAATTGGTCGTCACAGGCGGTGCCATCTATGCCTCCGATGTAATTTCCCTTGATCTGTCGGAGTTCGTTGAAATAACCGCGAAGTTGCTTTGAAACGTCGTCTTTCTCCTCCTCAGTGTACTTGTCCCAGGCCATTTCTAGCGTCTCCCCGTCGACATACTCCATGACAATGCGAACCCGGCCTGAATCCTCGTCTTTGTATGCATTGTAGATCTCTGGTACTGGTATGCTTGTCTTCTCACGAACGAACTTCATCGTATTCGCTTCTGTGATCCGCGTGTTTTCGCAGGTCTTGACGATAGTCGCGCCAGCTAGGGTTAGGGTTAGGGTTAGGGTTAGGGTTAGGGTTAGGGTTAGGGTTAGGGTTAGGGTTAGGGTTAGGGTTAGGGTTAGGGTTAGGGTTA